CCAGAGCTTGTCTATGAAGTGTGATTTGGTTAGTGCTCTCTGATTTGTACTTACAGATCTTACTTTTCCGTTTATGTGTGTTGAGACCTACTGCAGCTACGGGTTGTAGCTCACTGTCTTTCTTCATTTGCATTTGTTGTTGTGTATCGGATAGAAGAGATAGTTCACCTGCAAAGACCAAATCGTCTAGCTTCATCCAAACTGTCAACTGTATATCCGTGCTTCTGCTGAGTTGTCGAGGTTTCAATAGTCTACTTAACCACTAGAAGAAAGAGGAAGGGTGAGAGTGAGTGCACCTGTGAATCTATGAACAGCACTGCATGTACGATTTTGTAGTTCAGTTGTTCTTGAAAGCTCCATGCTTCGATGAATATATTCTCAGGTGATCCATAGTGTTGAAGAGAGATCTATGGGGCTCTTCTTTCGATGCTGTCAAATTCTTTCTCACAGTCGAGGTGGCTGATATGTACGGATGGTTCTCGTTTGTTTGATTGTTCTGTGACGACTCGTGTTGTTACAGTCTGATTCGCATAAGATAGATCCCCACAAAACCCAGTCTGTTCGTCTAGAATTCGGGTATCTATGGAATCTTTTATTCCGCTTAACAGCACTCTATAAAAGCGTTATCTACTTCCGCTGCCTGCAAATGATGCAGTGACACGATAGGCTATTCTAATAAGTTGTCCCCGGCCAGGCTAACTATATCAAGATATCTTGATAAGGCGTTGAAGCGTATTCCACAGACACCCAGATAATACGAGGTCAACAAGCACACAAATCTAGGTTATTTATACATGATAGAAACGTGCTTAGGGGAGACAAAAATATCGTACTAAATTAATCCATCAACTAATGATTGTCAAGGATTTTCCGTGTGTGGGAAATGTAAGCTGAAGTTCAGCTGGTGAGAAAACATAAAAATTCAGAATTTCAGAATAAAATTGCGAAACTAAGACCTTTTCCAAGTGAGTTGTGGGTATGTAACGTTCCCAGCAATTACTTTAATCTCATTCCAGGAAAGCACGTTTACTTTGTACCTCACTGAATAAGGAAGAGGTCAATCGGTATGAGTATTTATTGGTACACTAATTTGGTTGACGACTTAGAACGTCTATAACAGTCATATATTTTGTACAGTATATTTACAGTCCATAAACTGATAACAGTTGAATTAAAAGTTATTTTCGCCGCAAACTGCAAAATAGCAACCATATAGTTTCGTGGGTATTTATCTATTCCAAAACCTAACAAAGGGTGAATGTTTGATCGCCATATCCAAATACTGATTTGAAATCCACATAGTTTCACGAAATTTACTGTTCGTAAGACCTAGTTATGAGTTGGATCTCAAGTTTCTCAATTCTTAATTACCGTTTCAACTTCTATTTCCTTAAGATGCTTAATCTTTCCTATTATCTCCAATACTGTCACCATTTCTCACTATGCTAAAATGCATTTGGGGACTCGTTATTGACCATTGGATGATTATTGTAGCCAATACTTATATATAGATTAGTTATACTGATTCCTATGCAGTTCACATGAGCCTACGTTTGTCTTGTTTTTATCATAAATCTCAAAAAAATCGGTTAATGTAATTGATTGTATTTGTGTTGACTGTTACTCAAATTATTAAAGCTTTTAATTTTTATCCATGACCAAATATCTCGATACTAGTTTTAATAACACATCACAATGAAACGGTGCTTTAATCTTCACTTTTATTTCAAATCAACTCATGGCATATAATAATATTTACTATTCAATTCTAATCTAATCTTATTTTTATTTCATATTTGTTGCATACAAAATATACACTGAAGTAATTATCATACTAAATTTTTGCATAAACTTTATGTCAACTACAAATGAATAAATTACAATTTATCGATTGAATATCATTGTAAGCCTTGTAACTACCATTTTTCACTATCCAACTTTATGGACAAATTTATCTTTCCAATGAGGAGTATTCATTATCATGTTGAAATTCGCATTAATACTATATCAATTGAACAATTCTTCAATGACATTAAAACATAAAAAGTTTGATCTTCTAACAGAGAAAATCATACAATTTTAGAACAATCCCTATTCACTTGACTAAACCAAAAAACAAGAAAAAACAACAATGTACCAGAATACGATCAAATGCATCACTGAACATTATACACTGTAATGATTTAGATTGTTCAGATCAGTTTCAGTAAGTGTATATGTGTATTATATTATGAGAGTAACTTCGATATATAGCCATGATAATACAATAAATATCACATGAAGTACGTAGAAATTGGTCAGCAATGGAATCCAGAATGTGCGGTTCATCCAATTTAGGACTAATAAGCTGGATGTATCTGTATCCGAAAGTGAACATCTACTCTAGAATACAAGTTCAATCAGTTGATTAGTCAAAATTTGGACAAATAAGAGACAATAAGGTTTACTAACTGTTATTGGTCAACAAATAATTCCTAAAGTAATTTAGAATCCACGCTGAACTTGTATTTTTCAAAGGCACTGAAGCTTGTCAAAAGTGTTCTCTTATGAAAATAATAACTTTTTTTTAAAAATAATTCCAACTATCACTTTTAATACAAATACTTTTTAATAAACTATTACGTGTATGGTAACATTACAGTCTGATATGCTCTATAGATCAATGACTTCAATTTGAGAAAAGCTTGGTCTTCACAACACCTATAATCCTTCTAGAATCACTGACGTTCCTAACCCTGAATAAATAAGAAGAGTTTGGCAAGCTCATTCTGTGAAACACTGATCGTCCATTAACTGACTTTTCTCAAATTTTTCAACTCTAGCCGCCCCACCTTTTTTTACGTCTTCTGATATTTATCGCTCTCATAATCTTCTTGACATTCAGATAATCATCTAGTTTTCTCTCTCACCATGTTAAATGATCATGTAATCAGCCGTCAATTTCATTATCCTTAGATAATCACTTTTTATGATGATTATGCGTATTGACAAGTTGGACATGATCTATTCTACTCTGTATCATGAATTTCCAACATCGATATTAACTAGGTTTATCTATACAGCTATTTTATGGTCTCAAACTTTACCAATTAAGTTTTGTTTAGCATTTGTTTGTAATAATATTAATAATTGTAATTTAAGAATGATAAATTCGTTTTATTCTGTAAACGTTTGCTAAATTCAACTGAACATTAGTTGACACAAATATAAAAATACAATAAACCAAAACAACCGTCTCGTCAATTGTTTATAATGCACATCACATTATCGATATTTTATTGATTATTAATTAAGTGATTTAATTAATAAATAACAATAACAGATGGTCATTTAAGTATTATTATTATTCACACTATTATTAATGGTAACATTTCATTATATATATAACTGAAGTCACGCCTAACATGACTGAATACCTAAAGTTCAATGTCAAGTTAGGTCATAGTGACGCACTACTTAGTTGTCCGATGCTAGGATATTTGTTTTATTTTATTTTATTTAAACACAATTATTGTTACAAATGGACACTTTAATATTGATGCTCACACACAAATCCATTGATTTGTGTGTTATGCGGAAGTTAAATCCCTAGAACTCACTTGGAAAAGGTCTTAGTTTCGCAATTTTATTCTGAAATTCTGAATTTTTATGTTTTCTCACCAGCTGAACTTCAGCTTACATTTCCCACACACGGAAAATCCTTGACAATCATTAGTTGATGGATTAATTTAGTACGATATTTTTGTCTCCCCTAAGCACGTTTCTATCATGTATAAATAACCTAGATTTGTGTGCTTGTTGACCTCGTATTATCTGGGTGTCTGTGGAATACGCTTCAATGCCTTATCAAGATATCTTGATATAGTTAGCCTGGCCGGGGACAACTTATTAGAATAGCCTATCGTGTCACTGCACAATTTCGTCTTTGCTCCGTTTACTGAGTAAGGTGAACTCGTAATAGTATTCAAGCATATCGATTGACGAGCATATCAGAACAGTTGGTTTTCACTGCGGGCCACTTCGTGTATCTTTGACAGGAAGGTATAATCTATAAGTCGGTGGAGCGACGTTAGGAGATGCAGTCCTATAGTAGTAATAATAATTATAACTTTACTCGATATTATATGTTTAGTGGATTATAAAATTCTCAGCTCGGAATATTTCAACGATTGTCCTTTCCGGTACATATTGTCAGCTACCCACAATATCTCTCTTTCTGCTTGTTTACTTTGATAGTTAATCAGTTGCTCATATCGTTTAGTGTCTAACAAACCAGTCATGTTTCGTAATTCAGTTAATAAATGTAAGTAGTTATTTATTTTCAGCTAATAATTTTCTTTATATCATATACTACAGTCAATCAGTAAACTTTGTCTTCAATTAGCTTCCACTTCTCATTGTATTAGTAAATTTTCATACATCAGGTCGATTTGATATGACTGCAAATGTTTATTGGCTTTTTGTTACGATGTCGATTGCCGACTTTCGGACCAGTTTTATAGTTTATTTTGTTTGATGAACTGAACAATGCTAAACTACTTCATTCTGTAATAATTATTGGTTTGTTACATTTTTAATATCCAATTAATGCTAAGGAATATTCTTCGAGTAGTAGCAAAATACAGTCAAATTGACTGACGTTTGGAGGCAAACACCATTGAAATCCAATTTGTGGTAGATCGAAGTGAACAGACTGTGAAACCGAGAAGTTCTTAGTTCGATCGCTGACAACCTTGTTGATGTATATTTACTTGCAATGAGGTGCAAAGAGAATGTGGTTCAATCTCACATTTATAATTTTTGATGATATTTTAACTCATAGGCACCATACAAATACACACAATCATTATTAAGGATTTTGCTTTTACACAACAGAAAATATTATCATAATAATAAATTATTTTATTCCATTTCATCCTCAAATCAATGTACATGTAGATGGGAACGCACGCAACACAATTTTCACTTATAAAAATACATATATATATATATATATATATATATATATATATATATATATATAGGAATAAATTGGAATATTACAAAATACCCGATCAATGAATAGTAAAACAAATAATAATAATAATAATAAACACATGGATAAAAACCTCAATCAGAGAACATTTCAATCGATACTTTTGTTTAAAGAAAAACAAAACGAAAACAAAAGAAAAGTAAAAAAGCGAACAAACCAACCAACAGACGAGAATTAAAAGTAGAAAATAAAGAAGAGAGTATTTCATCAAGTGCACGCACGCCAAGTTAATCAAACATATAACAAGTGAATGTGATCATTGTGTGAGTAATCATTTTGCACCTAAGTATTAAATGTGTATGTGTGTGAAGGAGTTGAATGGTGGATTCAATTCACGCCTCCTATGAATAATCATTTTCATATATTAAACCCATTAATCAAGGTGTTGTTCACAGTATCACAGTATTTGAAAGTTGGGTAAATCTAACCAGAAAATCAGATGTACTATTCATCAAACAAACAAATAGAAAAATGAAAGCAATTAGTACATATACACACGGACACACACACACACACCCGAACCTACAACAACACAGTATAGACGCTTCAATTTGAATGCAACGGCTGTTTACATTGAAATTCAGTTACTTTTGCATTCTTACATGATATGAATGAATTGTAAGGATAGAATTGAGATAGAATAAAGAATCTTCTATTTCTGGGCATTAGTAGTGCAGTGGATGAGTATCACAACAGTAGTTGAAGTAGTAGTAGTAGTAGCATCAAAGCATAAACTAAACACACACACATACACACATATATAGATAGATAGATACTCATACAAATGATATTGAAAGAAATATATTAAAATAAGAAAATAGAAATCAATACAGGGCTGCATTAATTTATAGACAGAAAGTATAAACTATTTTATTAACAATCATCATCAATCGGAATAAGGCTGTGAGTGTTGAAGATGGTAGAATATTCTTGAAGGCAATAAAAATACTTGACAATGATAATCATTTTTTGTTATTGCCCAACATACAACATATCAAATCAACAATAGACATTGGATTATTTTGACCAATCAAATTTAGTGAGGTTATTTGTCGATGAAATTGTATATCCTCCATCAGCACCACCAGTGGAATCATTATTATTATTATAACTGATAGTAGTAGCAGTAGCAGAAGTAGTAGTAGTAGTAGTAGTAGCAGTCATTGAGGCGTTACTGTTGGAACGAATTGTCGGTTGCATGGTAACGGTAGGTGACTTCATAACAGGTGCATTGATTGACTTTAATCGTACCAATGAAGATTTTATTAATTCAATTTGGGACTGAAAATGTAGAACAATAGAACAATGTTTATCCTCTATGAATATAAACAAAACTATGAATTGGTCAATAAAATTTATTTATTTATTTTTTTTCATGCATTTACTAATTTATTTTCCAAATTCAGCTACTTATTCAGCTTTATTGTATAATAATAATAATAATAATAATAATAATAATAATAATAATAATAATACAACTGATAACTACTTGTGACTGTTCAGAAAACAAAACCATCAAAGAGTCAAGCAAAGTTCGAAATTTTAAAGTCAGTAAGCTAATTTAGGTAGGTGACTTGATTATTTAAATGAGCTTAATAAAAATTTGAAATGAATCCTCATCATCATGAACTGAAGGAATCATAGAAAATGCGAAAGTAGTGAATGACTAACTACTTCATGTTTAATTTAAAGTTTCCTAGTGAACTGAACTGATTGAATAGTCAGGTAAATGAGCGATTTAATGATTTATTATAGTATGTTTAGTGATAAATCTAATCAATTATAATTATTACGACAGAAAGTCACGAATAAATTTGCATCAGCCTATGTGTTATTAGTATCGCACTGTGTCTGTGCAATGAAATGCTTTAGGTGGAGAAGTCAAAATATAATAATGTTGTTGTGATAGTGTAAGTGAAAATAAATGTGAATGGTCGTCAGTGAAGGTGGACCAATCGGGAACTTGGATTAGATTGACAATGTGTGATTTCCCGTCATCTTAGTGATTTCTACTCCATATTCACTAAGAGTAATTTAATTGTAATTGTATAGAGTACAGCATTGTTTATCGCTTATTCTGATTGATTGTTTTTCGTTGTGAATCAAGTATCGAATATAACTGTCATCTGTAGCCAATCGTTGGAGAATATATTCAATCTAGCTTTATTTTTTATGAATTCAGTTTCACTTAGACTAGTGTTATTTCGTAATTATCGTAGCATATTAATTTTTTTTTAATATGACGAAGGAAATAGAAACCTTTTTTTAAAATTTATTCATCTCAATATGAAAATGATGAAGATGAAAAAAAAAATCAAAGAAAATAGTTCATAAAGAAAAAAGAAATGAATTGCATTGAATCTTTAAAATACACAACAGTGAAAACAATATCGAAGCTTAAGATTTAGAGAAAGATATATGATAATTGCATTTCAATTGCAATGACCAATTCCATGCTGTATAGTTATGAACTATCAAAGCTATTCTTGTTCACAGGATAGTTCATTCCAAAAGTGTTAATTAACATGGAGTAAAATTAAACTATTACACATAGTATGTCTAATATCTTCACGTTCACTAATGAAGCAAACATCAAAAACAGGTCAGGTAGAAAGATCGGGAATATTATTAGAACTATTAAACTGCTCGTAGGAAAGCTCTTTGTAAAATCACCATTTAGCACGGGGTGCACAGCTAATCATCGTCTGCATGATAAAGGGCAATTAAAGAGACATTTCACGTGGCTAATTTTACATTAGCAGTTTCTGATCGACAAGTGATGTGTCTAGTCAAACAAAAGATAAATCCAATTAGTCTTTTGAAGATAGCCTATATACGGCGCTTACCACCCAATTAGGGTTAGCCAACAAATAGGCGAACATCTACCAGTTTGGTTTGAAAAAGTCCAGACGAAAACAAAGCGTAACTCTAATCTTATCACACCTAGTTGACATTGGTCATCACATTGTCAAATAAAATGAAAGGCTAATGCTCATTGAGATTTTTCTAGTCATCAATAAACTGTTTAATTTTAAAGCCTGTTTAGAGACAAGACAGTTTCTAAATTACTCATAAATTAGAAATGAGGCTTGAAGAGAAGATGAACACTTCAACTTTCAAGATATTCAATTTGTATGCGATAGAATTGAATGAACATTGTAGTTGAAATGTCAAAATAGTTTATGCAAAGTTCTATACAATCAATAAGATATTGATGACATTGTTTTGTATATTGGTTCAGTGTCAATCATTTGAAAATGTAACAAATCAGACATTATATTCATTAAAAAAAAATAACTATTTACCTTAGCATGTTTTATTTCTAATTCAGCAAGTTCAACTAAATTCTTGTGAAAATATTTAATTCGACGAACTTTGAAATCTTCTAATTCTAATTATTAAAGAAAATAAATGAAACAACACAAAAGTATGCGCCAATTAAAAAAAACCAATTAAGGTGTAAGTAATCAATTCATGAAACAAACAATTAAAGGGCTAAAAGTAAGAAATAGGCAATTAGAGTTTGAATAACAAAAAACAACAACATGGAAGCTATTTTCAAAGTGTCAATGAAACAGTACAGTCTGGCAATGAACTAAAACACAACCACAATTAATTTTCATCCAATTCATAGTCAATCAATCAGAAAACATCTTTTGTAAATAGATTAGTTTATGGGGAAGAAAAAGAAAAGTGCTGTAGTGTAAATCGATTTTCACATAATTGATTTCTACCATACTATTTAGTTTAACACACGTTACTCGGTTTGTCAATTGAAATAAAGCAACAACAACAACAACAACATATAAAATCCTTCTTTTAAAATACAAACTATTCATTTTCTCGAACGATGTTAGATCCACAGAACTCGCTTGATAAACATCTTTATTTTGGATTTATTTCATTGGCTGATCAGTTGACTTTGAGACTGTATCATCTGATCATTCATTCATTGTACTTTCGTTTGAGTTATTTAATAACTGGATTGACCATCATTTTGTATTTGAATAATTCGATTACAGTATCGATTATTCTATATATACATATTTTCATTGCGGTGCTGACTTGTGTTGTAGAATACAATGTCTACGCTTATCAAGACTTCTGTTTTGCAGTTTCGGATTCAAGGTAGCCAGCCTACCTGGACGCTGGTAATTGTCTCGTTCGCGTTCACCGACTAAGGAGAACTCGTAATAGATTCAAGCGTACACAGAGACGAGCGTAACAGACTTAAATGGTTGAGTTTTTTGTTTAAGTCCCTTTATATTGTTCTTGATTAGGGGCTAGGAATTTAGGATATCAATAAAGGGTTGAGATTTTCATCATCAAATACAAATAGATAGATTTCTAGCAAATGAACAAGAAGTGTTAAGTGATTAGTTCATCAAATGAAATGTAGTGCCACTAGGTTATGGTCGATTTCAATGTTAAGCGTCAATCAATCCATACTGTCCATTGTATTGTTTTTAAAATCTATTCAAACAACAATATCGTTAATATTTATTAATGAATTGTTAATCTCCTATTATATCACTATATAATTTCATCATATTTTAACTGAAATAAATTTTAATTGCTACAATCATTATTGAGAAGTCAATGGGCACACCATGAACAATTTATTTATTATTAGCAACAAACCGTAGATGCATAAAGCGAACACAGTACAACAAACAGTTATATTGAAAATTAAGAAAAACTCCTACTCATGTGTGGAATATTAAAGGATATTCAATTGTGGGTTATTTTAAACGGGCTCAAGATTGCAATGAAATTTGACAATCTTCATAACCCCTAAATGACAATAATCACGTGTTCACTAGTGACTAGCTTCACCAAGGAAGTTCTGTTGTCGTCCTTGAGAGAAACCATGAACAATGGAGTTGAACCATGTCGGATGTGAGGTAGCCTCACACACCAAAGACAATGGGAAAATGGTTGCACAATATTGTGGATTAAAGACGGACATTAACGTCGTTAAATGTCAGCTCAGTCGTTTAGATGGTAAACTTTTGCGCGCAAAGCCGAGGGCCCCAGTCACATGGTTGTGGATGCGAAACGCTGAGCAATCTCATTCTAGAACGAAACGGCCGTTTATTGGTTTTAGTGGTGGTCTAATTCGGATCAGTTAACGATTTCATGATATTTAATTTGGCTTAATTTTGTATTTCATATTCTTTTCGATCTTATTATTTAAGTTTCTCAATCGCATAGGATTCCAGTCACGGACCAGATAGCTCAGACTATGAAGCAGCTAGACGACATGAGTTCAGAATCCACAGGAAGCATTAGTTCGCTCAAAATTTAAAATAAGCCTTGTTGATAAGCATCATCTAACACGGAAATAAGATCTGTGGATTACTGCCAACTAATTGTAACCACATCAACACAAAATTTTACACAATATCCGTGGCCTCACATGAGAAATATGACGGAATCTATATAACTGTGTATGGTAAATGAGCTACATTAATTAATTCAGTCTATTTATTACACTTACAAATTGAATTTTGTTTTAACTTTAGAAATCATACGATACTGAGGATACAATACAATTCAGTACAGTGTCCATAATTTCATGCTGATTGTCTTCGACTACCATATGACAAATCAACATGCTGCACACGACATCGAATTACTTGGACTGGTAGCAACATTATAACTTGATCGATACAATTCTATGAGGATCAAAAAACTTTATAAACATGACCGATAAATCATAAACATAAAACTCTGTTTCCTTTCTCTTTACTGAATGAATTTCAGTACAATGATACAATGTTTGAAATGTTAATTCTTATATATGCCGCTTATTGTAGTCCATGCTTTTTTCTATCTCCATCAAATCGTTGAATAGGGTAGGTAGAACTTAGTTACTTTGATTGAGTAAAATTTTCTTGTTTTCTCTACTAGTTATGTCGTGATTGAGAGAAATCGATATTCTCAACTGAACTAATACTTCAGACATAGTTAATTGTCTATCGATCCATTAAAATGAAGGTAACCAATCAAATAGTTTCATTTCGTGCTTCTAATCAATCATTTTAATCATACAGTTCAATGTGTAAAGAAAATGATAAGGATGTGATAAATTAACTCAATTTAGAAATGTGAACTTTACGGTCAACATAGAGCTGCATACTTTTTGTATATGAAATAGCTAGTGATACTATCGTAGCAAATATCCATTTATTTGGTGTACGATGCGAAAGCATCACTTAAATGTATGGTCATAATCAGTAGAGGTTTTAATATAGGCGATAACTGCGATGTGCACGTTACCCAACTAATCTTTGTATGACTAACCTACTTTATTTAAAAAACAGTTGAATGGATCAGAGCAAACGCTTTTTGCAACTTTTCTGTTGTTGACGATTAACATTCTTAACAACTAGATCTATTGTCCGTCGGTGTAACTATCAGTAGTCATTTCAGTAATACTGTTGCTCGGACGACGGACGCCGTCACTTCACGGTCGCAGATATCGGAAAAGAGTACTTCTTGGGAGATCCGATTAGCAGTGGTCATTCTAACCTGAGCCCATGACCGTAAAGCCCAAGTTAGACTGCTCAAGGTTTATGAAAATTTTTTATGAGTTCGTCCCAAACTATGAGGCCTTATCACTGGGGATGGGAATCTATGGAGTAAGGTAAAGTGTTATATTTTTTGATTCGATCCTTTCTGACCCTTTTTGTTGTAAATAGGCAGCAGTGTTGCACATGTCGATTGTCAGGAGGAAACATATTGCTGCAGTAACTTCCTCGTAGAGTCTGCAGAACGACAAAATAGAGAAAAAAATCCAGCACCGGTTTGTTTTCGTCAACTTGTATTATTGGAAAGGTAGGCAAGATGCCTGTCTGACAACTGACGGTCGAGTATGCTGCTCAAAAATTCGCCCTGTTCTACTTTACGTTACTCTACCGTTAGGTAACTAGTATTCGATCAAAAGTATCTCTAAATCGTTGCTTGTGAGTTTCGGGACCATCAAGTGAACAGTTTTGAAGTTAAATGTACAAGACGAGATAAAGATAAAAAATCGGTTGATGAGGTGGTGAATCTTCATCAACTAAGATGGTCAGAACATATATCTCGTTCGCACAACTACCGATCACCTCGATGCGCGATAACGGCTGATTTAGGAGAGGTTGGGAGGAATCTAGAAGAAGCCAAACCTAGACATGACATTAGTCCATGAAGACAATGAATGCTGGAATCAATCATTTAAGTAAGTACAGACCACCCGGTTGAATTCCTAGTAATTAACATAGTAACCAATGGTCAGAGACTTTAGGTGACAAGAATCAGTACTGTTCGCAATGGTACAAGTGCACTCACTTTTTGTATTTCCTTAGTTTTTAAATTGCTTACAATTCTCTTCCTTATATTTATTTCACTGACCTACATTTTCTTCTAGAATTTTATCTACCATACTGAGTCATTTCCATTATGACTGATATTGTTATTACTTGTTGTTACTGTTACATTGTGTCAATATGGTACTATAGGGACAAAAACCGATGAACAGGTGTGTTAGAATTTACATTGGCATATTGACTAACTGATGCCTCCTACTCTAACAGATAAAATCGTGAAGCGTTTCATATTCTTCATAATCAAGACACCAAAGTGGTTAGAGAACGCAACACAACTAAAAGATTGTAGAAGATCATCACACCTTTAAAGGCCAGAAAAATAAGCAGACTTATTATAAAATTTCTCAGAAATTTTCTGAAAGTCTAGAAGACCTGAAAAGTTAAGTTCTTTTGAAACTATTTTAACAAATAGTAGGGAAAGAAAATTAAAATTACCAGAAAAACTTTTCTGATCACGAACAACTAACGAAATAATAATACATAAACATATTGATATTGGCGAAGGAAAAATGGCTCGAATAAATAGGGCACAGGCTAAGAAGTGAAATCATTGTTAAACACAATCGTCACTAGGCTGTATAATATTAAATGTGATCATTGAAATGAAAGAAAATATTTTTATTGGTAAGAAGTATGCTCGATTTACACTCTGTCCTCTGACCTAATGATAAATCAAACACGTATTTTTCTGAACGTAAAACGAATAATAGCCTGAAGTGCCTCTAAGGTTACTGCCGGTCCCAAGACCAGATAAAGAAGGAGGGTAGGGAAAGACGTTAGCGAACATATCAGGCAGAAAACCTAATCAGGTTCTAAGTCTTTCACGATCTACTCGACGGGGAGGAATCTTACATGGAGAACAACTAGAAAGGGATCTATTTCAACAGATACACGACAGTCAATTCAGAGAGGTGTTTTGAAAAGTTGAGTAGCCGTCAAGTTCTAAAAAATGTCCTCTTTTAAAATCCAAAAGTCATAATCGGCATTCTTCACCACACGTATGCCTGAAAACATTGTCTTCGTGCACTTCAGCGAAAATTTAAGAATTTTATTCTGACTTCTATGATAACTTACTTACTTACGCATGTTAGCCCCAATGGAGCATAGGCCGCCAACCAGTGTTCTCCAAACAAACCTGTCCTGAGATTCCCCTTCCAGTTCTTTCCAATTTTTGTTCATTCTTTTCATGTGTTCCTTGGCCTTCCTCTTTTCCTTTTGCCTTGAGGGTTCCATGTTAGGGCTTGTCTTGTAACGCAGTTGGGTGCTTTTCACAGTGTGTGTCCTATCCACTTCCACCGCCTCTTCCTAATTTCCTCCTCCACTGGAATCTGGTTTGTTCTCTCCCACAGTAGGTTGTTGATGAGAGTGTCTGGCCAAAGAATACGAAGTATTTTGCGTAGACAACTGTCAATAAACAATTGTATCTTCTGGATGGTGCCTTTCGTAGTTCTCCGAGTTTCCGCCCCATACAGTCGAAATATCTAGACATTTGTATTGAAAATCCTGATTCTGGTGTTGATTGATATTTGTTTCAACTGTATTCTTTTTCAACTGTAGAAATGCAGCCCCTGCTTTGCCGATCCGCGCCCTCATATCTGCATCGGATCCACCTTTCTCGTCGATGATGCTTCCCAAATATGTAAAGGTGTTAACGTCCTCCAAGGCATCTCCATCATGAGTGATTTGGTTGGTGCATGTTGTGTTGTATCGGAGAATTTTGCTTTTTCCTTTATGTATGTTGAGACCTACTGCTGCAGAGGCTGCTGTTACACTGGTCGTCTTCTCTTGCATTTGTTGTTGCGTGTGCGATAGAAGAGCCAGGTCATCTGCGAAGTCCAGATCGTCCAGCTGCGTCCTAACTGTCCAGTTGATACCGTGCCTCAATCCAGATGTCGACGTCTTCATAATCCAGTTGATTACCATGAGAAAGAGAAAGGGTGAGAGTAAGCAACCTTGCCTGACACCGGTCTTCACCTCAAAAGAGTCTGTTAGCTGTCCTTCGTGTACGATTTTGCAGTTGAATCAATCAAAAGAATTCCGTATGATGTTGACTATTTTCTCAGGCACACCGTAGTGTCGAAGAATTCTCTATAGTTTTGTCCTGTCCACGCTATCGAATGCTTTCTCGTAGTCGATGAATTTGATGTAAAGTGGTGAGTTCCATTCTACTGATTGTTCCACAATGATTCGTAATGTTGCAATTTGGTCAGTACACGATCGATCCTTACGAAATCCGGCCTGTTGATTTCGAAGTTGGACGTCTACGAAGTCCTTCATTCTGTTTAACAATACCCTGTTGAAGACTTTGCCTGGTATTGAAAGAAGAGTGATGCCTGTGTAGTTCTCACACTTGCTGAGATCGCCTTTCTTTGGTATTTTGATCAGGTATCCTTCTTTCCAATCTGATGGTACTTGTTCCTCATCCCAAATCTTCTTGAAGAGGGTGTGAAATATTTTCGCAGTTGCTTCTACATCTGCTTTCATTGCCTCTGCTGGAATGTTGTCTGGTCCTGCTGCTTTGCCGCTCTTGATTTTTCTGATGGCCATACTGATCTCCTCAATCGTAGGTGCGCCAATATTAATTGGGAGGTCCGTAGATGCTGCTTCGATGTTGGGTGGGTTAAGTGGAGCTGGTCGATTCAGGAGTTCCTGAAAGTGCTCTACCCACCTATTTCGCTGTTTTTCAGTGTTGCTGATTACTTTGCCCTCCATGCTTTTCACTGGTCGTTCTGGTTTACGATAGTTTCCGGACAGCTTCTTTGTTGCTTCGTACAATTGTCTCAAGTTTCCGTCTCTTGCAGCCTTTTCCCCCGTCATTGCTAGATCTTCCACATATTTTCATTTGTCAGCTCTGATGCTCTTCTTCACTTTCCTGTTTGCTTCTGTGTATGCAGCTTGTGCCTTAACTTTCTCTGCTCTTTTTCGGCTGACATTGATTGCTGCATTCTTGTTCTTCCTTTCTTCGATTTTTGCAAGAGTATCAACAGAGATCCATTCCTGGTGATGGTACTTCTTGTGACCCAGAACTTCGTGACATGTTTAAGTGATTGCCTTTCAAATTGTTCTCGAAGGTTGTTTCCACTCCGTTGAGTAGATCGTGCAATGCCTGGGACTTATTGCTGAGGGTTATCTTGAATTCGTTGAGTTTTACGGTATCCTGAAGAAAGGCTGTATTAAACTTCTGTGATGTTGTCTGCCTCGTTGTACAGTACTTCTTTAGTTTCAGTTTCATTTTGGCAACCAGCAAGTAGTGATATGAAGTAATGTCAGCTCCTCTCATGGTTCTCAACTCCTCCATAGTCCTTCTGAACTATGTATTGATACAGATACGGTCGATTTGGTTCTGAGTAATGTGTTCCGGAGAAATCCATGTAGCATTGTTTATGCGCTTGTGCGGGAATATTCTGCCTCCGATGACCAGTTTGTTGAAGGCACATAGGTTTGCAAATATCTCACCATTTTCGTTCCTTTCTCCCAGTCCATGTCGTCTCATGATGTCTTCATATCCAGTGTTGTCCATTCCAACCTTGGCATTTAGGTCTCCCATCAGAATCGTCAAATCCTCTGGTGAACATTTCTCGACGATTGACTGAAGCCTTTCGTAGAATTGATCTTTAACGTCGTCATTGTAGTCATTGGTAGGTGCATAACATTGGATGACGTTCATTGTAATGTCCTCTTTCTTTGTTTTGAAGGATGCTTTAGTGATCCTGGGTCCATGAGATTCCCATCCTATCAGTGCCTTTTGTGCATGTTTGGACAGCATCAGTGCAACTCTTTGTGTATGTGAAGCATTTTCCTCTTCATGACCAGAGTATAACAGCAGTTCCCCTGAAGCTAGTCTCAGTTGTCCTACCTGCGTCCAATGCGTTTCACTGATACCGAGCACCTCGAGGTTGTATCTTTTGATTTCTGCAGCAACTTGAAATAGTCTTCCAGTCTCCCACAATGTACGAACGTTCCATGTACCTAAAAAAATGTTTGCTCTGGTTGTCAGAAGAGGCATCGGCACCGTGACTTCCGAGGGAACTTGGATTTCATCACGCGACGTTATAATTCTTCTTTCAAATCCCAGGGCAGAGTTAAAGTGGTTTGGATTATTTTTTCTGGTTACCGTTTTTTGGCAAGTTAGTTTATAGTTGGAATGGGGTCGTCAACCCCATGTCCAACCCTCCTCCTTTATCCGGGCTTGGGACCGGTAGTAGCCTCGAAGGTCCTACAGGTAGAGTTTTCTATGATAATAATGAGAGTCAAATAACTAGGTTTTCTTTAATGTTGGAATTCGATACACAAAAATTCCTTTTTAATAGATTAGATTCTAGCTGTTGAAATAGATACACGAGATAACATTACTACGGTTAATAACAATGTGTGTTACTGAATTCGAAAAATTGTAGTGTTTGTTAAAAGTAGACTCTTCATTGTATGTTTAGAAAAATGCGTGTTTGATTAGTCGCAAGGCGTCAAGGGACAAGGGGTAAATTGAACATATTTCATTTAACTAAAAATATTTTCTTTCGTTTCAATGATCACTTTTATTAATTTTTGCTCTTTTAATAACCATCCTTAATAATGCTTGCACTTCATAGCGTGTACCTTTTTTATTCGCAACACTTTTCACTGATTCTTTTGAATAGATACCATTGACATTTTAGATTACAACATACCAAGTTTAGCTGATTCTGAAATAGACTTGAAACGTTCATTAGCTGCAGTTTGTGCGTCTTCCGCTGTCTGAACATCTTTCATACGTGCTCGAGCCTTATCAAGATTACGATTAGCGGTTTCATAATCTGCTAAAGCACGACATCGGCGATAAAGTAGGTCACGTGCCGCTCCAGTATCAATTGCATAATATCGAAATGTATCAGACAGTTTCAAGTCTTCATCCGCACTCAAACGAACCAAAATTTTCTGATAAATATGAAACAAAAGAACAACGAATGTTGTATATCTTAGCTTGAAAGTTGAAACAATAGAATTAATGCCCTAACTCTTTATTTTTAACGATAGAAAAAAGGTGTTCGATTTTCAGCCATTAGGTCCGCGGTTTGAAGCCCGCTTCATAAATTTAAGTTCGCTTAACCGGGTAGTATTATTAGTTCTCGTATAGTGTGACTCATAAACCAACTACCTGGTAAACGAGTTTACCTAATGAATTATTAATCACAAGGTACTACATATGCACAGGCATACTAAACTACAGGCACTGATTAAAATTTCATTATCCGGCTACTAGCCTAAGTGATTCAATAATAATGTAAGGGCAGTTGTATACAAGCATCACAATAAATCAGCAGACTTAAGTTTCTAGCCAACCGATATTTTAGAAAACTAAAACACTAACCTAAATACGATAGTGTCTGTGAGCTAATCATGACGAACCAGACAACAGATGTTCTATTGTGAATCCCACAAAGTAATGAGTAACATGAAGTCTGTAAATTTAAATCTAGGCAGAACCTAAAAGAATGTAAGTCTAATGAGGACTATATCCAGCAAAACAACGTACATTTTACACTCTTCCTATTTATTTATGGTAAAACATACTAGAAAATCAACTAAAAATTCAGATTACAAATGTATTTCGTATAGAACTAGGTTACTAAACAAAAATTTTTTAACACACTGCATTTCATTGATCGGTTTTATTATTATTATTATTAACACCTGGTTGTGTTATTAAACAACCAGATCTTGAGTGTATATAATTATGTGATTTAGTCAACTCCAGTTTGTAACAGTTTCGTATGATAAAAAAATAACAAATGTTGAAATGTGTCTATGATCTAAGACCAGTCGAAATGTGAATATCTGATCTATAAAGCCACGTCTAGATCTGAAACCAGTTTGGTTTTCGCAAGTTTGCTTATCAGGAGCCATAATTAAGCGTTGAAGTATTATTGAAGTTAATATTTTGGACAGTGTATTAGTTAAACTGAACTCTCTGTGATCATCATAAGAAAACGTTTGTCCTTTCTCATGTACTGAGACAAACAGCAATTGAGACCAGTCAGATGGTATTACGCCCGTGTCACTGATTCTAGCTAAGATCTCATTCAATGCAACTGATAAAACTGGACCATAAGTTAATCCATCAGGTCATTCGGCTCTACCTCGCCTGGGAATGCCTATAGCCTTTTAAACCTCATTAAGAGCTGGAAGACTAACATCAACCTGTTATCCAGATTCAATAGAAATCATGGGCAACTGAAGTGTGGCTGAAGGCCAGTCTTTTTCTAAGAGCTTCACTAGCAGTCGGATTTCTAATATTAGTTTCTTTGATAAGTCTGAACAGTTATCTACTGGTACCTCTGCTGTTGCCTTTTCTATCTCTTTCACCTTCGCTACTCACCACCGTTCACGATCATTGCGGATGATTTTTATCAGCCTGTGTTTCAGCTGCCTCTGCACCTCATCGTGTTCACAGGTAGACGGTATGAGTTTTCGAGCGTCAATCAGTTCAGTAGATGTTACTGAAACCCACTGATTTTTCCTAACGTTTTGGTTTACCTTAATGACAAATAGCAGAGCTGCTTTTACAGTTTTTGGATATTAGTACAAGCTGCCTCAGCGTAGGCGTCAATTACATGGTTGTCTATATATATTTCTCTAGCTGCTCATGAAATGTACTACTGACTCTTTTACCGTTAAATAAAATTCCTAGCGTTTCCTAACCGTAGCTTTCTTAAATACAGTAAGCCGCAGACAAATACGTGATGAAAACCTAAACATGTATTCTAAAACGAGCAACGATCTTCGATCGAACGGCTCCATCAGCTGCTGATAGCAATATTGGTCTATTTAAAACTAGCGTTGAGTCCATTTTTGGCGTTGTCAAGTAGAAACATGCAATAAACGGAGGCAATTACCTGTTTGATCAGCAGCGACAATATAAGATCGAAAAACGGCAGGTCGATTTCTTTTAGTTTACCTACTTGAGCATTAACACTACCAACCAGTACTACTACATCCGAGCAAATAGCTTTTGAAGGTTGGAAAGCTTTCCATAAATTTAATCTTTTACCTCATATGAGTTATTATCATGTTAGGATATTCAGAAAACCATCCCAAAAAATATGCTGCTAAGTTAAAGTCTAATTCTATCATTCAAAGCAAAATCCTAAGTGTTCACACACCAAACACATCACATATTTCATCTTTATCTTCAGCTTCCCTTGGCCTTGGTTGATCATGGTGACTGGTCCAGATATCTTGGTTCACCTTGACATCATACATGACGTTCCGATGTTTTTTTGTAACTTAACTCTCAATCCATCTATCATATCCGTGTTTGTAGTCCCACGTATACAATTTCGCACCAACTTCATGAGGAATCCAAGTAGTCTGTATCTGAGGGCTTTGCTGGGCCAATCGCTTGGGTGTTATCGCACTATGAAAAGTTCGTAGCTTTCGTCCCATAAGCATGTCAGCTTGGGTTTCGAAGTTCGGCAGTAAGTCACGTGGGGTCGTTCGGTACACAAATAGAAATCATCCTAAGGTATAGTATGTGGTCCCCTCCCATCGTGCTTTAAGCATGGCTTGTTCAAATGTGTCAACGAACCCTTCAGCTTGTCCATTAGATTGCGGGTGATACGGTGGAGAACGGACATGGTTGATCGAGTTATGCAGGCAAAATTCTTGGAATGGGCTGGATGTGAACTGCAAACCATTGTCTGTTACTAGTGTTTCTGTAGGACCATACCGAATGGAAATCTGATTAAGGAGTTTGATGGTTCGAGTTGTAGAGGATGGCGCAATCTGCGATATCTTGGCAATTTGAAGAACGGAGTCAACCAGTATCAAATACGTGGTACCATCTAGGGGTCCAGCGAAGTTAATATGCACTCGTGAACAGGTTTTTTAACTTTAGCCAGGGTACTGGTGGGAGGATTATTGGAAGCTGTTTGACGATGTGTACATCCTTTGACGAAGTCGAAAATCTGCTTATTCATGTTCGGCCAATATGCAGTGAATTTGATACGGTTTATCCCTGGGTGTCCGGAGTGAAACTGGCGAAGGACCTTGGAACGTAAGGCTGTTGGAATTACTACGCGATCACCGAACATCAGACAATCGTTAACAACATAGAGGGCACTGCGACGATACGCTAGATGTAGCATATCACTACTGAGCTGCTTATCTGGCCATCAGCTCTGAACATAGGTGATCGCTTCTTGGATAGTCGGGTTGTCTCTTGCAGCTTTCGGAACATTAGCGGAATAGGAGGGGATGCCTTTCTCTGATCCAAGGATTGACAACAACGGCTTATGGTCTGCGAACAAGGTGAAACGACGCCCGTAAAAGAGTTTGTGGAATCGCTGGACAGAAAAAATCAGGGCTAACGCTTCCTTCTCGATCTGACTTTAACGTCTTTCAGCAGGTGTTAGTGTTCTCGAAGCATGCATCACCGCTTTCTCGGGACCGTAGGGAAAGACATGTAAGAGTACGGCACCCAGTTCATGTGTTGAAGCATCAGCAGCAACTACAATGGACAGTTTCGGATTGTAGTGGGTTAGCAGTAGTTTGGAGCTTAGCATGGTTTTAAGAAAGCTGACTCACATTGAGTGAACCCATTCCAAATAGTGTTCTTTTCTAGCAGATGATTTTATGTATATCGTACGTCATGTAGTGATGGAATAAATGCTAAATAGTAGCTAACCATTGCCAAAAATGATCGCAGTAAAAAGACATCAGTGGTGGCAGGCATTTGTTGGAATGCATGAGTATTTAGAGGATCAGGATGTTGTCCGGAAGTATCAAAGATTAAACCAAGGTATTTAATGGAACGCAAGAAAAATTGGCATTTCCCTGGTCGGAGGCAAAAACCATTATCCTGGATGCGTTGTAGGACTGCGTTCTTGTATGCAATTCATCAACAGTTGAGCCGACAATGAAGACATTGTCAAGGTATGTAGCAACACCAGGAACATCTACCAGAATAGTATCCCTGATCTGCTGGAAGATAGCTGGAGCAGATTTGATATCAAAGGGTAACCGGGTATACTGAAAAAGTCCTCGGTGAGTATTGATTGTCAACAACGCTCTTGATTCGAAAACGACAGGAATTCGAAGGCAAGAATCCACCAGATCCAGCTTAGCAAAGTTAGTACCATAATTTAAAATAGTAAATAAGTCATCTGGAATCGGTAGCGGATAGTGATGCTGTTGTATTGCGACGCTGAGTCCTGTAGACAAGTCTGCACAGATGTGTATGGAACCATTAGTTTTTTTTACAACTACGATTGGTGCAGCCCATGATGAAAAAGAGATAGACACAAGAATACCCTCAGTTTCCAAAGGTTGAAGTTCAGCGTCAACTAGAGGTAGAGACGCGTATGGGATTGGACATTTTGGACAAAAAACTGGCGTAGCTTCTGGCTGGTCTGAAAACAGCTTCCTTTGTGGAACAGTCTGAGGCCAGGCTGAGAGAGTTCAATGAATCGTTTTTGGAGCTCTGCAGTATGCTATTGTGTAGTGGCAGGAGTTTGTACTTGATTGCAGATATTCCTAATGGGAAGATCGGGGAGATCAAGTTCTAAACCCAGAAGGTTGGGAGGAGACTTAGTGTGTAGCACGTTCAATCGAAGGTTGAATCTCTGAACGAAATGCAGCGACCGAGTTCACGATGAGGGAGATGACCCCCACAGGCGCTGACGGCAGTCTACGAGGATAGTTTGATCGGTGGTTTGCCCAACGTTAGACAAGCCTTTTCCGACAGAATGGTGATATCCGATGCAGTATCGAACTGCAGCCGAACTGGCTGACCATTGACTGTAAGAGTCAGAAATTCGCGTCGAGTAGCGGCACGGTTGTGGAAGGCTGATGCCAGATAGAGGGTGAAATCACAAAAAATCATCGGAACGTCATGTATGATGTCAGGGTGAACCAAGATATCTGGACCAGGTAACACGATCAACCAAGGCCAAGGGAAGCTGAAGAAAAAGGTGAAATCACGATACGATTCCCGCTTGATCTGCTTTCCCATAGTTTTCAACTTCCACCAATAGCTTCAACAGAGACTACTGTCATCTGCTCAAGCAGAACATCCCTCAGGTTGAGGGTTGTTACCTCGAAGGTGGTCGTAACGCAGACGAAGAGAACCAAAGAAAGTAAACCCTCAATTGTGTCCGTATTAATTTTTGCAAACGAATTTGTTAGGTTAATCGTAAAAATATCCCAAAAATTACTCTGTTAAGTCTAATTCGATCATTGTATGTTTTCAAACTTTTCAATTATTTCTCATTTTTCAAATCAGTTGGAGCGTAAGCAGAGACAACGAATAGGTAGTAGTGAATATCCTCGTCTTTTCGAGTTCTTACAGTTTCGTTTAGTTGGACAGTCTCCCATACTCCAGTCAGGGAGTTAGTTCTGTTTTTGAACTCAATACTATACCTACACCGACGAGGTGGGGTGTCCAAATACACGGACGGCAAATCTCAACAAAGTGAGGTCATATGATACAGGTTTACATGGAACTTTGTTTCTTTTTTGATAGATAGTAAATACTGCCTCGAAATAGAGAAGCTTTTAGTTTTAGACCTAGTTCCCAACTATTGGCCATAAAGTGGAAAGAATATAACTGTACATAGCAGAAATTATGGAAATTAATTGGAAAGAAACTAGACTTGTATGTTCACAGAAGTTACATTCATCATTTCGCTTGACGTAACCCACAATCGGTTCCGTCCTCTTTCTAATTTAACCGGCTTAGTTAGCTTTATTTTATAAGAAAAAAAAATACATTCCTACGCCAACTCCACAAAAGCACTAAACTATGTTCTAAAGAATAAGAAAATTCAATAAAACACAGAATTAAGTCATTTTCTTTATGGAAATCATGTGAATGAATAGATTTATTCGGGCAAATGTATTAGTAATACTGAAGATCAATAAATAACCATAAATAACTGACATTGGTTTTTAGCAGTAAGCACTTCATGAAACAATTCTTATGAACAACTTGAAAATATAGTAAAAACTACTGACAAAAATCCAAGGCCTTGATTTTTTTTCTATAGAAAAATATCTAAACTAATCAACTGCAGTTCTGAAAGTAGAAATTTTATTAAGGAATAAATAATGTTAAGATATATGTGTATACCGACCTCTTCCTACCTCAGTATACGATGTTGCTGGAAAGAAATGGGAGCCATTTAAAGGCATAGTACCGGTACATAAAGTTACTGAAAATTGGATTGAGCCGTGTAAATAGATATAAGACTATCAACTGAGTTAGGAGGTTGACATGATTATTGTAACCAATAACTAGAGAATTTGAATGACATAGCTCATGAACAATCGTAGGTTCTTAGTCTTTTTGTACAATCTAAGTTCCTAAATTTTCTCGACATCTTTTTTCTGCATCTAATCTTTTGTAATACTAATGATGATGATACTACTTTTAACACTGGGATTTGTTTTACAATAAGTTTATCTAGCTATAGTAATGTTTTAGGGCGACCTAAACTGATGAACGTATGTGCCAGACTCCATGTTGAACATAACTGACCAACTTGGATCGATGTTTACGGTGGATTTTCGTTATCTGAGCTGGATATTTTAGTTGCGGAGCTTTGACTGTTCTTCTGAACAACACCATCAGCATGAAATTCAGGTAGAAATTGAGTATTCGAATTTATCCTCATATGACTAGTAGCTTGTTCTGTTGACCTCGATTGGTTACTGTTGACTTTAACCTGTCGTTGTCTGCCTCTTCATTTTGATTGTATCCACTTTTGATCCGGTTCTTGATCCTATGTGTCAATGATTCCTGTGATTGGTTGGTTAGGCGGAATAATGTCCAAGTATTTGTTGACTGCTGACTGACCTGAGTGCCAAGCTCTTAAAAATTCTCTAATGTTCTTTGTAATCCCTCTATCCAGTATTCCAACATTTTTTTAATCAAATGTATGTCAACAGTTATCCACATATATTGATATAAGGGAAGAAATGGCATGGCGTTTGACTACCAACTAATGTTCACGTAGGCGAGGCTGAAGAGGATGTCCACTCTGTCCGTTGTAGTGTTTTTCAGTGTTTGAACGGTTGATTTGATAGGTGATATACGGTTTTTCTTCTGAAATTTTTTCTTTTGGTTTACATAAGACTGATTGAAGTTATTCTGTTGCTTTATAAGCTACAACTAATTCAAATGGCTTCAGTAACCTTGCTGTAGTTAATGATATGCCTTTCATACATGGTACGATGATCCGTTCGTTGGTTCCTGTACTTGATTTCACTTCCGTTGGTGGTTTAAATTGATATTTTTTGATGACATTGAGTGGATAGACGTTGTTCCGAAAGATAACCATAAGATATTTTTTATTTTTCCGTGGTGCACGCGTCTTTTTTCTCGCTTGAATAAAGTTTGTACGCAGCTGATTTTGTGAGTTCTTAGGTTGTTGCTACTGTATACATTGGGAAATTTGTGTTGTTGGTGAGGAGTAGGATATAGTTTTTTGCGCTAAGCTTGGTTCCACTATGGAGTCCACTGAATGTATAGATATTTGTGAAATTTCTCTTGGTAAGTTGTATGTTAGGGTTCCAACGAGGGACAAACTTCGACGTAGTGAAATGATGGGTTTGTATTCCGCTATCTAAAACCATAGTTTTAACACATTTAGTCGGTTCGTAATTGATTCATTAACTAGTTAGGTCCAATTTATTTACTGAGTACACATTCGTGTACTAGGCTTTAGGCTACAATTTTACCAACAACAAGTAGCAGTAATAATATTGAAGTATGTGGAACAAGACTTGAACTAACAGCACAATCTAGAGGTTGTAATTCGGAAATCCTAACAACTATGTTATCCATGTCTCCATATAAGTGATAAACAATACACATACAGGTAAGAGAAAAATAAACATTCAAATCAAGAAAATAAAAAATAACTAAACAAAATTCAATCTAACATATAATCATAATCACTTTTTAAGTGAAACAATCAATAAATATTTAGTGATAGTTACTGTATATTTCATAAAATGACATTTGTAATGGGTGGGTAAGCAATAAACAATTAAACAGAAATGAAACTAAGATTTGTAAGACTGTGAAAATAGTTCCATTTCAAACACCAAAGTATTTATGACTAGTTGATTACTGAGTAGTAACCAATTTCATGAACGTTAAGTCATACTCAGTGCTGACCGAATTCTACCTATCAAGTTGTAATGTAACCACTAGTTTGAAGAATTTCAAATAGCACGAAACCTAGACCCACAGCATTCAGTAAAATTACCTTCAACCACCATTTTATAACTCAGCACAGTTCACACGATGTTGAGTCGCTTGGACTAGTATCCATTACATCGATTCTTGACCCGCAGAATTCGATCAGCACTAATGAGGACTTGATATATGTGGCAGCAGTCACTACTGAGTGATCAACCAATCGGAAGCAAATCTCAGTAACCGTGTGAACAGAACAGTTGCAACATCTCTGACTATAAAGCTGGGTGATAAGAGATCGAATCAACTAGGGAGTATCTGTTCCCGCCAGATTGCTGGCACAAGTTGCTAACAGGTAACGCCTAACAGCGTGACACATAGACGAAGCACGGTTACCAATCGAATAATTCTAAATACTATCTTAAACACTAAAGTAATACATACGAATAGTATGAACTCACTTGAAAGCTTTCAAAGAAATCGGTTAACAAATTTGTCAAACTGTTGAAAGGAAATAATGTTAAAAAATTATGATTTAATGAATTAAATATATACTATTACTGTGACAAGAAAACTCTGAATAATGTTTAAGCAAAAAAGTTATTTACATATTTTACTTCAGTTTGTAACGGTTTTTTCTCCGGATTATCTAGTTGCTGAAGTACGTCAAGCGAATTTTAATCAGTTTTTGCTGGTATTTGTGTATCCTGTGCGGTTAGCTCCGATATAGATCAATGTCACACATTTCTTACTGAAATAAATTGGATGTGGCTAGCAGTGGAAGCTAGAACGCATATTTGCTCCTACTTATACAACAATATTTGGTCAATAGTTATCAAAAGTAATCACCGAAATTCAACGACCGTTAAGAAGCGAACATTGAAAACAATGTACACGATCTGTCTTATCTAATTACTTTCATATAGTCTAGAGTATTCAGTTATTCATAATCAATGTAAAATAACTTCACACAAATGTGCATCAATAATCTGAGTTGCCACTACTGTGAACAACAGTACAATGAAATGAATTGTAAATGAATTGAAGAGCTAAACCTGATAAATCTATGTCAAAAAAAATTTAGTAAATAAATATCTTGTGATGATAGTCATATTCAAGATTTGCACGGAAAAGATGGATATTGAATATAATTCCATAATATTCAAGTGTATTTTATGAACTGGTGTTATGATTACAATACATGCAAATACATGAGTATGCATATATATATATATATATATATATATATATATATATATATATATATATATATATATCGTACTGAATAGCTAAAAACTGAGTACTAATAACGAAAATATATTGAGTGTTAAATTAATTTTTGAACTTGTTAACATTCAGTCTAACAGAAGAGAGTTGCCAATCGCACAGAAGAGTGATAGGGTACTAAATTTTAAATTTTTCTACCGCTTGACAATTGCTTATTTAATTAATCAGGTGCTTACTTCTCAAGTATAGACTAACCACCCATAATAGTTGAATCATATGAAGTGAATTTTTTCTCTGTTAAATGAGACTTGAAAAAATTTACTAAGCTGAAAGATGACTAAGTTGCCTAGTTAAAGCTCTACTGTAGTCCAAATTTGACCATTTTATTTTTCTCCTAAAGTTCTAATGAGAAACTGTGATCGGTAGAGTTTAACCATGTTCGGTGTAGAGCAGTTACCTATGGACGATAGTTGTGCGATATTGTGAATTGATTGGGGTTAGACATGTAAATCTCTTGGTACCGACTTTGCAGATTGGATGTCAAGCGTTCGCGTGCGAGACTGAAAGTCGTGAGTTCCATTCCGGGATACCATGTTGTGGATGCGTATTGCTGGAGAGTATCATACTAAGATGAAACAGATGTTCAACGCTTTCAGATTTTTAACAGTTGTCTAGATAAGATCAGTGTATGATTGAAAACATGAACATTACATTATTTCAAATAATTGATATTTCTCTCTCTCTCTCTCTTACAAGTGTGTACATGCATCAATATATTGGTTGCAGCTAAAAGTCCAACAAAACAAAAGTCGGTGTATCGTATACAGTTGGAGAAAGATAAAGATAAACAATAATCAACAGATTAACACTACAAAATAAACAATTTAATTTGTTTGTTTTTTTTAAATAAAAAAATAAATCCAACTAACTCTGTTTCAGAAGTGATACCGTATTCTTTTGGAATTAGATTAGACAGAGCCAATTCGATTTGTAGTAGAGTGTTTGCATTAGTTTTACGACATTTAGATGCTAAATCAGCTGCTATCGTTGCATCTTTTATGGCTGAATGATAAACAGCTAAGACGCATTTTTCTTCACGAAAGAATACATCGCTATCACGTTGATTATTTAACCATAATGTTTCATCAGCTGATTTTGAAACAGATTTAAAAAAATCAACTGCCTAAAGTAAATCAAATATAAAGCACAATTGTTGTTTTGTCAAAATTCATAGCATTTATATCTTGATAAAATTTATTAGAAAAAAATGAATAAGATGAGGAGGCAGTTACTCAACCGATAGTATTAAAATAATAACAATATTCAACGTATGTAGTAGCATTTAACTGAAGTGTAAAAGAATGGATCACTGGATTTTGATACTAATCAATCCCAAAAAGTAATACGCCTTCAATGTATGGAGATGATAATGAAGTTTCTGCACTCTAACCACGATGACATTATGATGAAGTTCCAAATAATCAATAGAGAATTACATTTTGGTTAGACAGGATTAGGTGTATGATAAACAAGTAAAATCAATAAACTATCTGATATAGTAGAGTTAATCAGATTGTATACTTGTAACATATTTCGCTCTTGTGCAAAGAATAAATTAGTCAGTTTTCATTATTAAAATATGTACTATACACTAGCTACTCAGTTGATAAATATTACACAGTATAATCAACAGAAATTTTGTACTTAACTATCCAGATATACATTTTGTGCAACGTCTAATAATGATACAATTTGGCTGTTTTAAACGAAGCATAATGAAACAGGATTTGGATGCATGACTGACTGACTGATTGATCGAAGTGTTAGTAGCTTTCAACAATTACTACTGATCCATTGTTCTTCAGAAAAAAAAGAAGCATCAAACAACTAGAAAAGAACAAAATAATCGTCTACATAAACAACACATTCTGGCTCAGTGCATATGGGGACAACTAAGCATAAACGTTCAATTACAAAAGTCAGATAATTTATAGAAGCCTAGCACAAATGTAAAAAGGTAAATAAAACAAAAAAAAAAAGAATACCTTTTCTTTTCTTGTCTTATTTCGTACATTTAACTCTTCTTCAAATTCCAAAAATACACGAAAACCACGATCATGTTTAAATGTTGGATGTGATGCTAATCGTTGGAGAAACACTTCATGCATTGCTACTGTTTTCTTAAAAGCAGCTAAGTATTCACTGAAAAAATTAAGTGAATAAACAAAAGAATATGAGCATACGAAATATTTTGACTAAAACTGGATAAATTATAAACTGACTATTAAAAACAATAAGAGTAAATGGTGATATCTTATCGAGACGAGTGTAGAGGATTTTGAGACTTGTAACTAATTTACCAGTTACGACTATTATATAACTAATACGTAACTGAAATGATATATTTTTTTTACTACTTGTATTGTAACCTACTGTGAGATCTACTAACTACTGGTATTCAAGTTATTAGACGTTAATTATATATGCACCGTTTGCTCCGTTCTATATCACTCATGGTATGATTGTATGGAAAGGACTTTCATATTTGGGGTAAGCTGTGGACAAACTCCGCATGAAGCCCCTCTAAGTTTAATGCAAGTCCCAAGGAGGGTAGGGCAAGACAAGAGGTCGATGGAGAGAGTTGACAGCCCTGACGGACACCGCTTGATGTAGAGAATTCAGATGACAGTTCGCCATATGCTCTCATTATCACTGTTGATTGGACTGCTAAATAGTTCACTTTCTACCATTAGTTCAGACGTGACCGTTCTCCAAGTGGTAGTCTTCAGTGAATTTGTAGGTGGCCTAGAGATAAACCAATTAGAATGTATTTGTTGTGTGAGAGATATAAAATGTAGGAACATGTCAGAAATACGGAGGATTAGGAGCATTAATAAAATTACTAGTGTAAAATATTAACAATATAGACTTCACAACTACATTTACCAAACGACGAAAACCACTTAATAGAAGAGTTTTAATGCTTTTTGTGTCAAACTTAGAAATAACAAAGGTACTAAATAGTAGATTTTGGCAAACATGTAGTCTATCCAATGAATAAGAGAAGCAGGGGATTAAAAACATTATTTTAAGAACTACAGTGTTAATCAAAGTAAGCTGCGATGAGGAATTATGTAAATTGTTGAATGAGATAAATCGTGTGCTATGAATGCGATGTGAGCATGCGCTTCCTTAACTGAAAGTTCAAGAAACAAAACAAACTACTTGAAATCCTGATTTGTTTATGAGCACAAGTATGCCAGTCCGTTAATCAACTAATTACTTATAACTAAGTGATCATGTAAGATATTGGAACTATTTTAACAAATATTATCATTATTTATATGTTTATTGTACAACAAGTGTTGGATAAGTGGATTATTGTATTCCTATATTTCTTACATTTATAGGCCAATGTGGATGGAACCTAATAACTATTTTTATGCAAATTAATATTCTTTAATTAATGTTCATTAATTATCTGTCATTTGCTCCATCCGCTGTAACTCATGGTGTAATTCTATGTAAGAAATATTTTTTTATTTGGAGAGCGTTGGGGCTTTATAATAACTGTTCTTAATCAGTGATTGAAATATATACTGGTTGCCTGAAGATAGAATAGAAGAAACTAGAGTGCTGTATTTTATTATCAAACTCGAAGTCAGGGGGACCGAGGAAAGCTTGCATATCGGTGGGCCAATGAGGGTTAAGACTATCTTATCAGTTCTCAGAGTTACTAGTGCTAGCCTGGGTGTCTTATCGGTCAAGCAAGGTAGTCAGACGACAGACGAATTAGCAGGTGCATCCACTCGCCGTGTTCTATGAAATTCAAATCTTCTGAATTCGTCATCACCTCTACCTTTCTCTTTTTAAATTTATCTCACTGAACTATACTTTTTGAATAATATCTTCGAACCCTAATCTTCTATATTACCAGTAATACTTCTACTATCTCTACTACTATGGGATTTGAACTAACAGTTGCGTCTCTGTGTTAATGTGGTGTGGCACCCTGAACTGATGTACGTACGTAGGAAGTTCTACGTTGTAATTGATTGACTGACTGGGACGAACTAGGATATTTGGATTTGAGAAGAGTAAATCGGAATTTTTATTGATGCCTTTGCCTCTTGAACTATCGATTAAAGAAGTGTAGGTGAACTAGTTTAAACAGCGGACATCAGTAACTACGAGTTGTAAAAGGGAAGCTTAGTAATACAATGAAATCATGTCACTGACACTAAATGTAATAAATCAATAAAGAGCGTCGAAGGGATTTACATCAATAAAGATGGACGAGGTATAAAGTCACTACAAAACAGCGAACGAAAAATAACCAGATTCCGGAGAAAGCTTTGAGGAGATATGATAAAAGTAGTCAATGAAATGCAACATTGACAAGCTTCATTAAAAGAAGCCATAAACCAAATTGCAACTACGATAACTGCTGGTTTGTTGTATACAGTGTCAGCTGTGATTCAAATGAAACAGATTATTCGACGCGTATATGATCATCTGATTCATCTATCCAATCCAACTTTATTGAATGCAATAATCCTAGCGTCTGGATACAAGAGAGCTCTGAGATAGAAAATTTTCTTTCTACACGATAGCGAATCGATTGAAAAATAATTTCCATCTTTTCTATTACTAATAATCAAGAATCGTTGTAGTGTCCTCATTATAACGCCCATGGAATAATTCAAGATACCGACACTTACCTTTACTTAGATCTACAAAATTAATGCTTGTAAACTCAATACGATTATTCCCTTAGTTTACATTTTAGTGAACGACAAAAGTACGAATCTTCGTTAGCACCCCAAACAAATTGAATGGATAGAGCCCAGCTTTGAATTCATCAACTATCATAGCAAATATATATATATATATATATATATATATATATATATATCAGTATTTTGATAGGTACATTCAAAATGCAATAAAACAGCAACGATTGCCCATTTCCGTCTGAGTTTATATATACAGTGAGGATTAAATAAATTAATAAACTATTAAAAACCATAAAGTAGTGATATGTGAATCTATCAGTAGACAGAACGACCTTTGTGTCGGTTGCAGATGGTATAATTGCAGTTGAAAATCTAAAGAAGTCATCATTTGGAGAACGAAGAATAAGTTAAAGGTACTAACAAATCGTTTTGAAGACATCTGGATCAGGAGAACAACAGGATGATGAGGCAACGATCCAATTTATCAAATAGTACTACAGAACGTTTGCATTTCCGTTGTGGAAAATTTTACTCAAACGAATTATGAGATAGACAGGTATGGTAGAGGTTTTAATCAACTTGATTGATATCGGTTTAAATATCTGGCGATTTATTGATGTGGTAACACGGGTAACACCGACTCAGCTAAGGAACATCGATTCCCTCAAGATTACAGGTATACCTTACTGACAGCTAGCATCGAATAGCTCATGAAACGTGAGACAGGGTGTTTTGCTGACTACCTCCAAACACCAACTTACATCCCAATCACTATGACCAGTGACCATATTGCAACTCGATCGATAGAATTCAATCAGTAACAGAAAGGACTTAACAGATATGAGATTGGTCACTAGTCAGTAGTTATCAGTCAATTTTAGACTGTATTTTCTACTTTCTTCTGGAAAAAAGGAAACGAATACAAAGATTATTGACTCTCATCTTACGCTTCTAACTCAGCTTTCATTTTATGCAAATCCTTTACGGGTAGATTATCTTCATTTTCCCCTAATCGTTGTAATTTCGCTCGAGATGCATCGAAATCTGGTTTGGGTGGTACCGGTGGAACCTTTTGTTGAAAAAAAAACCAAAAAGAAAATTTATTGTTCATGTACTAATAAATTATTATCAGTATTAACTACTCACTAACCGGTGTATGGAGTTATGTACCTAACTAAGGGTCATACTCTAAGCCGGTTAGTCAAATCGAAGTAGTACATGGAAGAGTAGAAACTTGCAAATTAGTGTCTGAACTTTGAAAGTCTTAACTATTGAGCCAACAGCCCCACCAACAAATTAGACCAGTAAGGACTGGTACAAGAGCTGTACTTTTACATACGACTGAATACATCTATTTGTTCGCTTTAAATGTTTCGACCATTAAATTATATACTTCCAAGAACAACTTTTATAATAATAAAAAATTAGTCTCCCTGATTGTAATTATCTGGTACACACATACTAATGGATTGTAAAGAAGAATACAATGCAATAATTCAGTAGACTCATCACTCATTAACGAAACAAATAAACATAGATTTGACCCACTAATTACCTACACAAAAACAAACTCTCTTTTAGTTGCATAAACAATTTCTATCATTAAAAAAAATTATTTAGTTGTATGATTTGTCATTAGAGAAAAACAGCAAACAAATAAACAAACGAAAATCGATGACACTATGCACTTCAACACGTAAACAGATAAAATTGCTCATTTAGACAACTCAAAGAGAAATAAGTAGCTGATTTAAATCCAGAAACAAAAGTGAATACTGTATTAGATATATGTATACTCCTGTTAAATACACAATTTTAAAAGTTGAATGTAACTCATGAAGCAAGTCACAGGCTTGTGTATTTTTGACTGTGAGCCAATGTTTCAGGATCCAGTGGTCTCAATTAATCAAAATAGGTAAACAGTGTTTCAAGTCTACCACTCAATAGCTAATGAGTACTTCAGTTACTAAACCAACTGCACATCATCAACTTTATAACTTTTTAATCTGTTGACTAACTAACAGGCTAATTGACCGAAACAGCATAAAAGGAAGCCTAATTTCGAATCAGTTTAGAATAGGTGTCGAAATAAGTAATGAGTGGTTAACAAGACGAACAATGTAGTATATGGCAATAAATAGAGGATATTTAAAGAAAGAATGAATAAGGATAGCTGAAAACAGTTTAGAAGATGTTTATCTTTGAGAACAACTTTCAATCGATTCATCTGCTTTACTTCTATTGATATATATATATATATATATATATATATATATATATATATGTATATCCTAAGATGAAGTCATTAATTTTTCGAGATGGTGTGGAAAATTTGTAGCTTAAGTAAATGATTAAAACGGAGTTTTGTTCCCTGAGCTCAATGATTTTGGTTGAGCAGTTTTCATTGTTCTTCTGTAAAACATTATCAGCACAAACTTCTGCCTAAAGATGGTGCTGAAATATCAAAGGTTACAAGTGCCTAAAAGATGGAACCCTGATTTATAATGCAATGAACAGACGAAACTACGAAATATTTCATAATTACCAATGCTAAATTTACTGAATAATGTCATTAAGACAGCAGTTTATTGAAAAAGAATTTGCAAAGTATCATAACATCAATCCGTTACAATCATATACAATACGTGACAGTGTTGTTGTAGGTGGCTAAGATTAGAAAGTTTCTCTCTTTTGCATTGCGATGCAGTTGAACTTTTCCTTTTTAAATCCAATTATCAACAGTACAACTTGAATATAAAACTCTATATTAGGAACCACTATCAGTAATAAACCGGTGTATACTTCAACATCTCAATTAAAAATACTACCCAGAAACAAACGAATTCACTGCTAAATAAAATAAATATTCAAAATATCCCAGAGAGAAAAGACAAGTTAATGTAAAAATTGACCTACAATAAGACCTGCATATGTTTCATTTTCAACTAAATGATCATGAAGCCAGACGAACTCTTCGTGCATTCGTTGTACATTGCATTTATTTTGTTTAAAATCAGGCAATGTAGTCTAAAATTCAAAAGTAATGTAGAAAATCAAATCAGTAAACAGATTAGTTGACTAAGAGAGCCACTTTTCATCTCATTCTTAGACAATTAAACTGCAATACGACTTTGGTACGCTAAAATTAATGGCCATTTCAAGGTATAACTAGCTAATTCGATTACACAAAAGATTATAGATGAATTGTAAAGAAATAAACAGTAATTAGTGAATACAGCTTCGTTAGTTGAGCAGTAGCTTAGTTTTTAATGCATCTGACATTTAGGAACTCGGTCAATTACAAAGTAGAACTTCGTACATACGTACATCAGTTCAAGTTTCCACGCCACATTAGCACATAGAGATCAAGTTGTCCATTCAAATCCCATAGTAGTAGAGGTAGTAGAAGTATGGGCAGTTATCGGAAAGATCACGGTCCGAAGATATTATTCATGAAGTATAATCCAGTAAAATAGATTTGAGACGATAAATATGGTCATGAGGAGTTTAGATTAGATTTGGGAAAACGCAAAGGATGGATGAGCCATGGCAAACGATTCTGAGCCACGTCATTTAAAGTCTCTAACAAACGGTTACTACCATATCGCGGACCACAACCAGGTAGCCTACACTTACCAACATGCCTCAGTCCACTTAGTGATTTCATGGATATGTGCCATTTTTTGGTCTGGCCGCCCCTAGTTTCCGTCCAACGTATATCACAAAATATGATTCGTTTAGGCAGTCGGTGGACAGTCATACGTAAGACACATCCCAACCACGTCAAATTATGAAGTCTTACTACTTCATCTATTGACCTGCAATCCTTACTTAGGATCCAAACAATGCTTCGAAGACACCTATAATCGAAAACTATTAACCTACGAATTTCTTCCACTCTGATTGACCATGTTTCGCGGCCATAAAGTAGGACAGAGCTAACTACTGTGCAGTACACTCGTCCTTTAGTCAGCAAACGGATATCTAGCCGACGGCATAAGTGACGCAGGTTCGCAAAGTCAGTTGATCCTTCTGTATGCGTGCTGAGATTTCGTCACACACCAGGTCATCAGCACTGATGAGAATCCCGAAATAAGTGAAGCAGTTGAGCGTGTCAACTGCTTCACTCCCTATCACTAGGCGAAGGCTGACTAAAGGACGAGTGTACTGTGCAGAAGTTCGCTCCGTCTTACTTTATGGCTGTGAAACATGGCCAGTGAGAGTGGAAGAAATTCGTAGGTTACTAGTTTTCGATCATAGGTGTCTTCGAAGCATTGTTCGTGTATCCTGGGACAACCTAGTAAGCAATGTGCAGGTCAATAGATAAAGTAATGAAACTCCATCAGTTGTGGTGGCTAGGACATGTGCTGCGTATGCCTAACCACCGACTGCCTCGACGAGCTTTGTTTTGTAGTGTAGGAATAGGTTGGAAGAAAGTTAAGGGCGACCAGATCAAAACATGGCAGCAATCCATGAAGTCAGTGACAAGTGGACTGAGTCATGTCGGTAGTTGTAGACCACCTGGTTGGGGTCCACGAGATGATAATAATTGATGGTCAGAGACCCTGAATGACATGGCTCAAAACCGTTTGCAATGGCGCCAGTGCATTTATTCTTTGTGTTCTCTCAAATCCTAATCTTCTGGATTCTTCAACACCTCTAGTTTTGACTTTCTAAACTTATCTCACTGAATCATACCTATTTAATAATATCTCCTAATCATAACCTCTGCGATTACTTCTAGTACATTTACTACCTCTATTACTATTGGATTTGAATTGACAATTACACCTCTGTGCTAATGTGATATAGCAACATGAACTGATGTACTTGCGTGCAACGTTCTACGTTGCATCTGACTGACTGACTGCTGGCCATGTTTCACAACCATAGAGTAAGATAGAGCAAATTGCTGAAGAGTGCACCCGTTTATTGTTGAGCAAACGGATATCTCACCGCCATAAATGACGCAGATTGGCAAAAGCCAATCGATCCTTCTGTACGCGTGCTGAGATTTCGTCACACACCAGGTCATCAGCACTGATGAGACTCCCGAAATAAGTGAAGCAGTTGACACGCTCAACTCCTTCACTCCCTATCACTAGTTCAGGTGCCGATACAAGCCAATCCTGAAGCAACATTTTGCATTTCGATGGGGAGAATCGAAACTCGAACATGCTTACATTGTTGCTTAGGGTGGTCAGAAGGACGTTTAGAAAACAAGTCCCAACTTCGAACCCAGTCTCAACTCTACAGTATCAGCAACCGGTACTACTGTTCTTCGTATTTAGAGTATGATTCATACCTGAGCACTTGATGAATCAAATATCAAATATAATAATTTCAGTAGCAATACTGTGTAATGAGACTTATCTACAGTAAACACTGTAGATACCGGATAATTTTAATTATATATAAAATAAACAGATATTAATGGAATGTGAGAAAAGTGGGAAACGATGAGATTTTAGCCATGTAGATCGGGTTATACAACAAACTAAAATATACTGTTATAAATAAATCCATGCTAATCCTGGTAGCACAACAGAAAGATATTAAATAAAAAAGAAAAATATTAAGGAAAATATAATCACCTTCGTTTGAATCTTGAACAGAACTCGGTCTTTATCACTCGTCGCTCCAGAAATTTCAACAGCCAATGACTCGGAACTTGAATCAGTTGCATCTAACCATCCCCGTGTTTGGGAAGGGAACTGCGGAAATGATGAACCACCACCGATTGAGACAGTATCATGATAAATGTTAGCTGGATGTTCACCAATATGTTCCTGAAATTCCGGATAATGAAGTGCCTTGGAAATGATTCATAGAATGAAACAGCGCAATAATTGTAGTTAATAAATACAAAAATACGTGATTTGGGCATCAGGAAAGAAACAACACAGGAATTAACATTAACATACAGAGCTTCGCATTAGTACAGTGCGAAGAGCAGCAAGGAAGTCAGCAAACTTTTTCAATCTACCAGGCTGTTTGAAATGCTTTGCTTAGGTTGATTTATTCCTGATAATCGACTAACACTTTTTTAACGGGAATGATTAACGACTAATGGCAGAAAAATATGAATACGTTCGATTACGTTCTTTTGAAACCAGCATTAGCTAAAGGCTTGGTGTCCATTTCTCGCAAGAAATATACGCTAATCACTACGAAAGTTGACGCTGCATGCAAATTACAAAAACTGATGTACTTAACGACACTTTATACAAATGTGTGGGCTTTGAAGGAACTAAGACTATATTGCCTACAACTGTACATAGACGAATAAATAGCTTCGAATGTTTCAGCGATAAACAAGCATATCAATAATTCAGATGACCCAAAAACGAGTAGCAAGGTGGGCAATATGAGGAAACATACCCGAAACCAACAATTGTTTTGAAGTCACTAGATAAGTAGAACACAGCACCAACGAAATAGTATCCGTATGGGCAGAATAAGTTTTAGTGAAAGCATACTTAAGTTCTATCTTTGCCGTGACCCTGGAATACTGGCAAGTGATACATATATAAAAATAACTAAAAAGATCATGAATTGATTTACTTATACGGGGTAACCCTTTCCTATAAAATTTTTTAATGGTTCTGTTTTGCATTGCTTATCGACTAATAAGGTCATAAGTTCACACAATAAATGACAAGTCATCGGAGAACATGAATCTAATACATTTTTCTTGCGCTACTTGCACCACAAACCACTTGGAGATTTAAAAGTGCTTATATCAAAAAAATATGAGATATTTAATGGTCAATTTACTAAATCTGGATGAAAGAATACGAGAACAATGAGCATACAATAAGGCAATGAGACCCTAAAACCAACCATAGTAACGCAGACGTTTAAAATTTAAGCCGTTCAATGTGAATATTCCGAGTCCAAACCTCAGATTGAATTTCCAATATCCAATATACAATATCTTTTTCACGAGCTACTGTAAACCAGTTGATTTCTTCGCCCTCGATTCTTGTTCTTTCGGTACGGTTCCAGCTGTTCGGTAGTGTCAAACGGATGGAGGTCTAGCTACTCGACTAACTAATTCTAGTCAGTTGGCAGTTGTTTATGAGTTTGTATGTCTAGGGATTTGAATGAAAACGTTTGTTTCAAAGCAGGAGAGTTTCTGGATAACAGTAGCTATCACATCAGAAGACCAGAGATCAGTTAGTTGCAATGTAAAGAGTAACAAACATAATAAGGATAAAATACTTATGGTAATATGAATCAAATTTCAGAACTGAGTAATAAATAGATGAATTTACTTTGTTAATTAGTAGTGAACATTGTGAGATAGGACCGTGGTGTAATCAAGGGACACGAAACAGCAATGATAAGCTAGCTAGATTAAGTTTGTGGTGTGAGGGGATGGCAATGATAACAACGAGTAGGTCTCAAGACATAATATTCTGAACAGCTTGTCCAAGAGGGAGGTGGTACGTGATTTGCGTAAGTGATCATGAAGTCTCTGCTTAAAGCAGTCTGTTGAGGGGGCTGTGGTCATCTGGACTGGGAGAGCGTCCCCAGTTGCGACGACTCTCGATGAGGAAAAGTGTGCACGAACCTAAGTACTCACTCTTTGATGTGCAGTTTTTCGAGGATTCTCTCGAGGGGAATGGTGGTGATGCATCGGTGAAATGCTCACGTTGAGATGGTTTGGCTTGTTTGGTATTCTGTACGCCATAATCAGATAACCTCTGATTCTTCAGTAACTTAGGTGAAATAATCCTATTGTCGTAAGTTTTATCTTTCAACCCTATCACCCGTTTCGTCGCTCGTCTCTGCACTCGATCCTAGAGATTGATATCTCTTATAAGGGGAGGGTGTGCGCCGACGTTGTGAACCTCAAATTGTGGGCGTGCATGTTTCAAACAGTGTCAAGAATAATTCTAGGGTGATACCATCAAGTTTTCTTCGCATAAAGTGAAGAGTCGCAATGGCTTGGCTGCGTCCTCTATATAGTTTGAGCTAGTATGGAGGCTTTCTGTGATTATTAAACCAAGATCACTCTCCAAGGAGACATTAGGGAGCAAACTTCCATTGAGGATGTAAATCGTTTGCGTCGTGTGAAGCAGAATGTACATGACGTGACATTTCGGCTGGTTTAGTTTTAAATCGCTTTTCACTGCTCATTCCTCAACTGATGCAAGGTCCATTTGAAGCTCAGTCGAATCCTCTTCGCCTCTAATAAACCTCCAGATCTTCGCATCGTCTGCGTAGATCAATGCCGGTGAACTAACTAAGCCTAACAGGTCGTTAATAAATATCAGGAAGAGATGTGGATTTAAGATGGTCCTCTGTGAAACTCCCGATGTTGATACTCGCCAACCCGCGAGCACTCTATTTACCTTGGCACGAAACGTTCTATTCTCAAGGTAGTTTCTAAACCAAGATAGTAGTGGGTCGGTGAAGCCCATTTCCGCAACGTTTGCTGTTAGTTGTGTGTGGGATACTGTGTCGAAGGCTTTGCAAAGTCAAGAAATAAAACGAGCACGGGTATTTTCCTATCCAACCAGGATATTCACATGTCCCATGTATGAGATGACTGGATGCGCACGAACTGCTTTTACGAAACCCGTGCTGAGCTTCATGGAGTATTTGATTCTTATCCATTTACTCCCTCATTTGGTCGTCCACCAGCCGTTTTATGACCTTAGATAATATAGGGAGTAATGCGGCGGGTCTTTGAAAGGCTTGGTCCTCTTTATCTCCTTCTTTGAAGATTGGAAAAGAGAGTAGCTTGTTTCCATTCAACTGGGAGTTGGTTTGACCATGGCGAATGCCTCCATAGGTCACAAACCGGGCTTCTGCACATTGTTTCAAGACTATGGGACGAATATTGTCACATCGTTGTGACTTACCCGGGCGTAAGGATTTTAATTTCTTTAGTGCTCAGTCAAGAGTAATATGGACAGTTCCAAAGCCGCCAGCTGGCACTGGGTTTGCGTAGTTCTCTGAACATGTAGGTTTTCATTTAGTCGTGAACCTAGAACGACGCTTGGGGTTTGCCTGTATTTTGACAGCTAGCTTCATCTGAATGTGTCTCCTATCACTTCGAACTTAGGCATTGCATCTGTTTCTCAATGCCAAGTAAGAATCGAAATCCTAAAAGGAGACCTTTCAATTGTGCCAGTCTATCCTCTTCGCCGCGTCTAACGCGTGTTCTTCTATTTCTGGGTGTCTAGTGAGACTGAGGTACATTGCTGAGGACAGCATTCTGAATTATGTATCTCACTGTTTGCTAGTGATCATCTGCTGTCAGCCTCCCTCACTCTCGTGGCCATAGGGCATGTAGAAGGATCACACTCATACTCGTGTAATTTGCCCTAGTGTTGCAAAGAAGGGGTTCGTTTTCCTCCAGCCTGAGTGTTTTGTTTATGCCCATGTGCTCAGAAAGCCCAAAGCTTCTAATGGCTGCGTCAAGTCGGCCTCGGAACCAACCAGTGGGAGTTATACCCTGATTGCTGTGACTTAGAGATGGGGTGATCAAATCCCAGGAGTGGCAGTTGCAGTATTGCCTCAGTAAGTTCATCGTTATGGGCCTTAGGACTTGAGGGAGGCAGATATATCCCTCCAACCAATTATTTCGTGCCATTTATGTGTCGCATGGCCGCTAGGGTTCTAAGTGACTGTTGTTTATACATTTAGCCACTCCGCGTCCTGTTTGGCGCGGATTAATTAAATTAAATTAATTAAATTAAATGAAGCATGCTGCCTGTATTTCGCCTTAAGACACATTTCATCTATTTCATAAAAACTACTTAAAATCCCCTTCCAAGTTAGTATTGTTGGATATAAATGAATAACTTGAATAATTATTTAAATAGTGAAATACACGTCAGTCTTCTTCAACTAAACAAACACATTTTCTTCAACACTGTTCATTGTGTAATACCAGATAAAAATTTATGTTGTTACTAACTGATCTTCTATTCAGCGACCCCAAAAATATGACTTGTAATTTTAGGTTTATGGAGAGACTCGATAAACGGCTATTCACATAAGGATTACTATCTCCTTCTTGGACAAGCTGTATCTGATGCATGTCTTGAGACCTGCTCGTTGTTATCATTGCCATCCCCTCACACAACAAACGTAATTTAGCTCGCTTATCGTCTCTGTTTCGTTTACCCTGCTTAAATTTCGGTCCTCTCTCACAATCTCCACTAACAATTATAAAACAAACATATCTATTTATTTACTCAGTTCTGAAATCTTATTAATAGCATTAGAAGTTTCTCCTTATGTCTCGCCACATTGCAACTAACTGATCTCTGGTCTTCTAATGTAATAGCTGCTGGTATCATGAAACTCTACTGCCCTGAAACAGATATATTCATTCAAATCTCGGGACATGCAAACTTACAAACAACTGCCAACTGACTGGAATTCGACATTTGAGTAGCTAGACCATTGTACACTAACAAATACCTGGAGCTGCACCGAAAGAACTAGATTCGAGAGCAAAGACATGATTGGTTTATACTAGTTCGTGAAAAAGATATTGGATATTGGATGGTACTACTTTCGTTACTTGAAGGATGGAGGTTATCGGACGGAATTAATATCCAATTGGAAATTCTCTTGGTCTGATCGCTTCTTGGGAAGATTATTAATTGCCGAGATGATGCCGTAATGGTTTTATGACAGTTTGAACTTCAAGCTCTCAGCAACATCCATAAATGGACAATGCCGCTAGATCGGTAGTAGGAAGGTAAGGGTAAAATAACTAAAAATATCCGTAGAAAAGAGAGAAAATCCAACTATATAACAGGCCTAGATTTTTACTTTAGTATCATATTAGACGAACGCTTGGTATTTTGTTTTAATGTGTTCAGTACTGTTTACATGTAAATTATACACCGCACGTATTTAAAATTTTTCTGACTCTGCTTACTCATATCAAAACATGAAGTTCTTTGTAGTTGTGTCCAAAATGGAGCTGTAGTGTTCTGCGTAAGTAAGATAATTCACTGATGACTATATGTACAGGATTTTACCATTAAGGTCATTAAAAGCAATGAATCAGTGATTATAGACTTGTGTGCAGTTTTGTTTGCACTAAATAATACAGCGTTTCGTCATGTATTCCAAATATTGTTCAAGGTTTCAAGAGACCTAAAGTTATTTTTTGTAGCTTGAATAATTTGTGTGTGATAAACTTAAAACATTTTTGATTTCAACAGTTACCTGCCAAGCTTAAAAAAGACACCGAGGCGTTTGTTGAAGTGAAGCAATCACCGAAATACATTTTAAAAACGTTTCGAGTGTATTCCATTTTGATATACTAAATCTCGAAATTGTTTGCGAAGTAATGGGTACAGAGTTTAGCTTTTCTACTGTTCTTTTTACAAGAAGCAGAGATAATGCCACTGTGACACGTACTTTAAAGTAGATACCGAAAAATTCGGAATGACATTTACTTGAAATTCTTAAGCTCAGCTTTAAAGAACAGGCGGTTGCAGTGGGGCCAGTTATAAGGCTATGAGATTAGCTCTACGCTGTACACTTTAGGACTCTTGTGCCTGGCATGTCAAACTTCGGGGAACAAATTCAAGTTTTCCATTGTTCAGTATCAAAGTATGCTAAAAAGCGTTTTCGGATGTTCCTCTACCGTCATACTCACAACTGAAAGTTTACTAGTGTTATATTTGCAATATTCAACAAGATTTAAACCTTGTTCAAAGACACATTCTGTTGGAAATGCTTTACTACAGTTTTCGTTTACTGCTCAGACACTTGATTTATATGAAAGATGTGAAAAATTTTAGTCTATTTGATTCGCTAAAATCTCACGGAAACAATCTTTTGCGTTACTAATTTTAAATTAGCTGATATTCTTGTACTTTTCAGTCTATATATATCGGATTCTGATTTTCATTACTCCGGTACACTGTTGAAATATCTTTTCTTGTATCTTACTTGCTGTACAATGCAATAAATCATCGTCTTATCTCATCTTAAATCAAGTTATTGCTTTTAACATGCACATTTATTGATATCTATTCAGCAAAATACTGTTAATTTACAAATGCTATTAATGGTTGCTTTGTAAACAGTATATTATCTGAAGTATTAAAATAAAATTCAAAGTTTTATTTATCTCAAATTGACCTAAGTTTACCAACAGATCAATACCTAGAAGTTCCTAGGAAACATAATCAAACCTTGAAATTAGAGTCTCGAAAGTGTGTTGTAAGATTATAGGAGTTACACCTATTCTTACATGTTTAATGTTACAGTTAAACTACAAATCAATGTTTTCTTGTTGCTTTGGCACTAGCTTTCTAGCTTAAGTCAACTTTCTGCAGTTGTTGTTGCGAAACCAACTAAATCTTTTAAGTGGAAGAATGAGAGCGCTTTATATTTCAAGCAATTAGCTGTTTCATATTTTTATTTTTTGGCACTCAAGCTTTTATTAAATCAAGTAGAAATGGTGATCAAGTAACTTGCACTAGCACAAATCGATGTCAAGTTATACGTTTCCCATTGTTGATTATATGAAGATGACTTTGAATAATCTGTTAGGAGAGTTTACTGAAAAAAATCTGATGTGAAAATATCTTTTATTTCAGAGAAAGCATAAATATCCATAGTGGACACAAAAATCCCTTGCTAATTAGTCATATTCGCAAAACAATATTACTGAGCAGGTTTGATCTAATGATCCCGTTATATAAATGGCTTTGAATGAATCGAAAAAATACAACTTTTAGTACACTTGATACTTGTCATGGAGCATCGGCCGCTGACCAGCATTTTCCAACCAACTCTATATTCCCTCGTGATGCAGATGGGGGATTTCCTTAATGCGTGTCCTAGAGGTAGTCGTTTGAGCAGCCGATTGGGACTCGCTGGATGTAGTTCAGGTAGCACTGATCGTCTGCTGTAACTTTGCACAGACTAAAACCTTTTTCTGGCTAGCACTAACTATCAGCACAGTTAATACTGATGTTTTCGCTGGGGTCCCGACTCGTATCTGAAGCTCCAAACTCAGACTGATCACATCTCACTTAGCCACCCCGTACTTGGTTGTATAGAGAACTACCATTCCTTTTGAAATGCTTATTCGGATTCCGATCATATCTTTGTTTGCGCCTTTAAAATTGAGGGTAAAGTTACTCGTGTCTTTGCAAAATATCCCACTTATAAACACTGAGTTTCCATAGGCTCCTTACAACTCATTGTGAAACACTTTAGTCTACTCCGTGCAACCACAAGTTTGACGGCAAAAAAAGACTGTCACGTGATCAAATGGTGCAGAGTTTGCTCAAGGATCGAGAAGTTTGGTTTTCAGAAAGCGATAACGAATTGAAAGCAGCAGCTGGGTCTGGTAACTGCCGGATCCCCTTTCAGCCCATATGAGCCACTAGCGGCAAGAAGTCTCATGTGAGTGAGACAATCTGTGAAGCCTGTGGGACGGCGATCAATAACACTGAATGGTATCTTGGACGATGGACAGAGATTGTTAAGGAACAGTTCAGCTAATCTGCCTCTCCGACGACACTGATTAGACTGTTCTATTACCCGTGACCGGTGACGACTGATCCCTCCAAAGACGGAAGTTTGAAAGGAACTATAACTCCTGAAGAACCGTAAATAACCAGGCCCAGATGACTTACCATGTTCCGTTTCTAAAGATGGTGGTGAGCATCTGATTATCAGACTAGTGAGTCGTTTACAAACGTCTTACAATGATAGAGAATTCCAACATCCTGGAATGAGTCGAAAAGTTTTCCCAATCTTTAGAAGGGGTTCACATCACCAATGCAACAGCTGTCGAGGGATAAGTCTACTACATTTGTTCCCAGATTATTGGCTTCCACCAAGCTTCGCAGATTATTCAAAATTCGTGAAAGATTGACTATCAGTTGTTTCATAAAAAAAGTTGTATATCAGAGGTTTGTTAACATCTTGAAGGATATATACACAGGCACCCCAGATTGAGTTGGGTGAAATAAACATCTCTCCTCGTTACTATGGTTGAGCAGTAGAGCTAAATATAGTTGCCTAATCTTGCCGTTCCTCACACACTGCCATCCATGACATTCTGGGAACAGAGCTGATGAATGTAGGTAGTGGTGGTATGGATCAGTTACCTGGAGTAAAGAATTTCCGATTTTTAGTATACAGATGACATTATCTTACTATAACTTATTACAGACACTCCACAAATCGAGCCTGATGCGTTAGCACCGAGTGTCTGTAGGCATGCCGTGTACCCTGCATCTAAATGCAAAGTCCGGTTGTTAGACTGACAGGACTGTGTACCTGCATCCACTGTTGGCAGTGAGCAGGTGCAAATAGTAGAAAAGTTTGTGAATTTGTTGTGTCGCGTGAGTCTTGATAGTGGCGCGCTAGATGTGACCAACCTACATATAGTTAAAGCCAGAGAGGCTTATGCCCATAGTCATGTTTGATCCATTCATAATGCCAGTCTGGCTGTAAAAGATCGCGTCTGTAGTACGTTAATGAAAGCAGTTCTGCCGTATGCTTGTGGAACACAGTCTCTCCGAATTGAGAACGCCAAGCAACTCTCTTTGTTTGACCATCGATATCTCCGGAAGATTGCTAGCATTCATTGGCAACACGATGTTAGTAATGCGGACGTTTGGCAACGTGTGTTCTGACACAGTGACGGTAATTCAATTCGTGGAACTATCTTGAAGCATCGACTTTGGTGGCTTGAACACGTACTACGTATGTGGTCCCAGCTAATTCCACGTCTTTCGTTATTTGTCAGCACTGGGATTGACTGGGAAATTCAAGATGGTTAGTGTGTAACATTGTATCTTGGTATGAAAGAAATCTGTCCTGAACTGGCTTCTGTTGGACCTTCACAACTCACTGGTTAGCATCCTAGAGATGGCGTAACACAGTTATTAGACATGTCTCGAAATAGAAGCTAGTGGCAGTCAAGTTGTAATTTTCCTGTACTTTCTTCATCCAAATGAGAACAGCTGAATTAACAGCAACAGTTCTTTCTGGTTTTGCTTTTCTCAGTTGAAATGCTTCTCTCACTTATTATATCTTTATTTTTGTTCTGTTCTTCATTGTATTAACTCTCCTTTCTCTACCTCTTCACACCCTCATTTTTATTGTGCGGCTCATGTAAATTTTAGTGGCAAGGTTGTAACGACTCTTGTTTGTTCAAAGAACTACATAAATAAGTGAAAGTTAGATATCCAACGACCAAGCAAGACGTGACATCTGAAAAGCGATGACATACATAGGCTGCAGTTATCTGAGTGTAATCGTCTGTGAAAAATCTTTTTTATATCAATGTATACTGAGTGAATAGTCCTTAGAAAAAGATTTTAAAAAGTACCTTGTTGAGGCTGTGAACTCTCATCACCTCAGGTCGCCTGGATATGCGTTATAAATCATCAACAAAAGTTTATTTTAACGTTTAGTGATATCAAGTGCTAGAGTAGGTTGAAGAGGGGTTATCATAGCTAAATAAAGCCATGAAACCGTACCATGAAGCTGCACACAGTTGGCTTGATCTTTGATGGCAAACGGGGGCTCGTTGGTTTGGATCTCTGTGATCAAATGTCTTTCAAATGTTATGATTCTGAGACTTATCCACTACCCACCTCTCAAAGATCTATATTTTCTGAAACGTACATGTTTATTCAAAATATCATTATAGGCGTTCGCAATTTTGAATACATAACGCCAAATCTGATCAAATATACGTAAGCTCAAACTTAGCTTTTGTCTTGCGGAGTGGTTATCAGTGTCCGTAATCCCAATGACATAATCTACTGACAAGCAATTTGTCGATTGCATGATATTTTGATACTACCATTCTAATCCGAGTTAAAAAATATCCAGGATAGCAATCTATTTTTGAAATGTTTTAAACGAAAGTTCTAAAGAGAATCTGTGTGTTTCCCAACTCCAAATGACCAACTTCATATCTGATTTAGTAAAGGAAGATGGACTTTTTCGAGCACTTGAGGTTATTTTGACAGACTTTCATTTGACGAAAGATTTAGCCGTAGAACTATCAGTGTTCTTCTGAACAACATTTATTCCAAACAGCTTCAATAACCCAGTTGTTTTCTATGAATTTTAAATGTGATAGGATGATCTGTTTACTGGTTTTTATATTTGATTTCGTTTTGGCTGATGAATTGATTGATATTTTTGATGAATCTGTGTGTAAAGCCGTTCTTTTGAAGGATAGTCACTCGCTATCTTTCTTTTTTTCGTGTTGCAACTGTTCTGCAGTATGTTCTCGCTCTTTTGAATTAAGTTTTTACTCAGTTAACTTTGTGAGTTCTACGGCTGTTGTTATGGTAGTAAGAAATCGGATTTTTGTGGGTTGTCTTCGGATATACTCGAGTCTCTAGTTTCTTGTGTTGGTTCTAGTGGTGAGTACATCTAAAAATGACAGTTTATTGTTCAACTATTCCGTTGTGGATTTCATGTCATCGAAGATGGTATTGACCGAACTGTTGGTTTTTTCCAGCTTCAAAGCATGAAATGAATAAATGAAAATCAAACATTAACTGAAAAATGAACCGTTCTACCGTTTTATCTGTGATTTCAGAGATAAGTCGAAGGTATTCACAAATGGAATGATAATAGGTGCAGATCACCTGGCATCCTTATGCATTGGAATTTATCAGAACATATTCTTTGCACTAAAACCTCTCATAGATAATACATAGGCAATCTAAATAATGTATGTGAAATCTCGGTCACTACATTATTTTGTTAATTGTGCAGAGCTATCTGCATGCACCTTTGTTATTTTTATTCGACTAATCCTATGATCTGGATATCGTCATCTTTACACCTTTCAATTATATTCTTTAAACTATTAGCATCTGCTGAAACATACTTAAGTAATATTCGTCAAGATGAGAAGAAATATGATTTTATTATTCAGATTTGTATAGTGGGGACAGATGGATGATAACCCATGTTGGTCTCTTTCTGTTAGTCTTCTCTTAATTTAGTCAAATGAAGGTCCATACATTTCCTCTGGCATCATATTCCAGTAGAGCTGATTGCGCAAGGGCTAGTTGTACAAGATACGTAATTTACTGGTAAAATGATATATTTAACGCAGTGTCATTCATGGTGAATAACTTGTAGATCATATTTTCACTTTGCACAATAATTCTTCGGTTTATTGTTTTGTTTAGAAAACATGACAGGTTTAGAATAAACTAAGTGTAAATTAACGTTCACTGTTAATTAACAATAATTTAGGAAAAAATGTTTTTCTCAACAAGCGCAGTTTGATCAGTTTACTTCTTCTTTCCTGTCAATAAATATCTAGAAGTAAAGGTCACCTTTAGTGTAGTAATAACTATACACTTGTAGTTTGCTTATTAGTGAGACTACCTTTGAGACGTATCCCCGAAGTGGACGAGCGAAGTACAGTCAGATTGAAAATAAAACGGCTTTTTATCACTATGAGTTGAATGATGGTTAAGCAAGATATCGAACTGACTGAAGTACGAAATTTAGAGCTTCAGGTTTTGATTTATTTGTTAAAATATATTTTTTTAATTCGCGAATGTTGACTGTTCTTTATTTGATTCTGCTGTGAAGCCATGTCCACTCATTGCTAAAGTCACGAACTAGAATAAAACAAGTATTTGGGATCTTTCAGCTTTTAAGATTTCCCTTTATGACAATGCACACTGAAAATCAACTATACACATAAATTATTCTATGTTAATAAACTATGATGAACGAAGTCGAATGCATAGATAAAGATATATCTGATTTATATATGGTAAATAGTTTATCTATACTAAGAATATTGAAATTAAAAAAGAATTTTCTTTCAGATATTATCGAAACAATATGAATTTTTGCCTTATAATTTTGGTCTAAAATAATTATTTATTTCCGTTGACAAGAATATGCCATAATGACGAAGCAAACAATTCAAATTTATCTCCGTCTTCGTCCATCAACTAATAGAAAACAAATATCAGTAAGTCAATACAACACAATATGTATTTAACTTTCTAATTCAGAAGTACAACATTGATGATTTAACTTACCATCATGGACAATGTCAGCAGTCTAAAAAGCCTAAAATCACTTTTGAATGTACTCGACATGCTCAACAAGATGAAGTTGTATGTAATCGAAAAGAATTCTATAATTTCCAGTTCGATGCTATATTTAATACAAAAGTTGGACAAGATCAAGTGTTTAGCGATGTTGCTAAACCGGTCATAGAAAAGTCAGTTGATTATTAACTATCTTCAAGTTAAGTATTTCAATTTCATGTAACCTTTTCAACATTTTAAATATAACTATTTCTAATTTATTATTATTATTATTATTATTATTATTATTGATATGGCCAAAAGGAACTATGCAACAAACTGAAGGCATTGCTGTTGATAACTCACAAACAGACAGCAAATACAATTTCTACGTCTAGTACTTTTTCATGTTTCTGAGCTTCAGGGATATTAGAACAGAACACAGCCTAATGATTGCAGAAAAAGTCAGAATCAATTAACATACGGGAAAAAAATAATCATTTTTCACTTATTGGCTGTTGATTTCTAATTTCTGAAAGACATCAAGAACCGATTTAAGTTACAGAGCTATCAGAAATCTGAAAGTGCTAAACAATTTCGTCTTAGTTTAGGACTCTACAATTAAGAGCATTCACGACTCTACCTCCACCTCTCACAGGCCATCACTTAACTTTTAGACTACACAGCTAGGTTCCAACAGTGTTAACGTATAACTTCAATTAACCCGTAATGGTAGGTACTTTCCTATTACAGAAACCTCCTGAAATTGTTTCAAAAGAATTATGCATCATAACAATGTTTCGGGATAAAAAACTAATAGATTTACTCGATATAATGTTTGCAATCTAAGTTATGAGGAATCAAAGTAAGAGTCATTCTTTGGGGTTAAACTGTGATTGATAAGCAATTTAAATATTCCTTTCGTACTTACTTACTTACTTACTTACTTACGCCTGTTACCCTCAATGGAGCATAGGCCGCCCACCAGCTTTCTCCAAAACACTCAGTCCTGGGTTTCTCTTTCCAGTTCTTCTCAGTCTTTGTTCATTCTTATCATGTCTTTCTCTATTTCTCGGCGTAATGTGTTCCTTGACCTTCCTCTTTTTCTTTGACCTTGAGGGTTACATGTGAGGACTTGTCTCGTAAAGCAGTTAGGTGCTTTTCACAGTGTGTGTCCTATCCACTTCCACCGCTTCTTCCTGATTTCCTCCTCCACTGGAATCTGATTTGTTCTCTCCCACAGTAAGCTGTTACTGATAGTGTCTGGCCAACGAATCAGAAGACAACTGTTCATAAATACATGTATCTTCTGGATGATGGTATTCGTAGTTCTAAAAGTTTTATGCTCCATACAGTAGAACTGTCTTGACATTTGTATTGGAAATCCTGATTCTGGTGTTGATTGATATTTGTTTCAACTGTATTCTTTTTCAACTGTAGGAATGCAGCCCCTGCTTTGCCGATCCGCGCCCTCATATCTGCATCGGATCCACCTTGATTGTCGATGCTGCTTCCCAAATATGTAAAGGCGTTAACGCCCTCCAAGGCATCTCCATCAAGAGTGATTTGGTTGGTGCATGTTGTAATGCATCGGAGAATTTCGCTTTTTCCTTTATGTATGTTGAGACCTACTGCTGCAGAGGCTGCAGCAGTTTAAATTTTCTTTTCGTGATTGTTTTCAAATAAATATTCGTGAAGACAAAAATATGTGGTTTCGATGCATTCATGCAGTCATTCAGTCAATGATAAACAAATTAGAATTTACTAGGAATGTGCATTATTACACGTTATTATACTTTATATCAGCATCTCGAGAGGACAACAATGATGAAGTCGAAGTAGCAATAGTAACAGTCATCAATAATTCATTGATATAATAGCTTATTAATGAGATGTTGTATAAATGTCTCCAGCTATTTTGAAGTGATAGTTTCGATTCTGTCCGTTCTAATCCTCAGTTCGTTCGCCATGTTTTCAGTTATTTGAATCATTTTTACTAAAAAAGAGCCTAATCTGAAGTTGTTTTATCTACTTTCTACCTCATTGAATATGTCAAAATTATACTGATTAGGTTGATTTTTTCCCTTTTACAAGGGCTCTTTTAGGTTATAATGGTACAATATTTGCATATGGTCAGACAGGCAGTGGGAAAACTTATACAATCACTGGAGGTGTAGAGAAATATTCAGAAAGAGGTATAATACCAAGATGTCTTGCCTATCTCTTTGATCATTTCGAAAAAGTAAGTTTCCATTGTTCGTTGGTGAAATATTTTTTTGTTAAAGACTGGTTGAAAACAAATTAGGGATTCGAAACAGCATTAAAATTATCTTGAACTACGTCACTGCATCACTTTGGGTGTTTTAAAGTTTTCCTTGAGCTGAGAAAGTGTTAGTTGTCTTTAATAATGGAGATCTACTAAATTAGTAGTGTTAGTTTTGATACCTTCAATTGTGTTATGTTCTCTGTACTGAATGGTTCAGTTGCAAAGCTTTCATTATCATTCTAAACAACATAAATCATTGTTTCCTTCTTCTGAAAACAGTGTTGATGATGATGATACTCAGAACAGTAATGAAAGTTACAATAATAAATCATGCAGTTCAGAGAACGTATAATCAACAAATGTTACTTGCTGAACTTTAATCATTTAGCAGTATTGCGTAACTATGTTACACTGCTTGAGGCAGATGACTGTCTTACACCATGACCAACTAATTTGGTTAAATTTATTGGAATTTAGAGGCAATATTTCAATCATGTAATGATGAGATTAAATTATCTCAATTTCAGATGGATCATGAGACAAACATAGTTCAGTTTGCCAGGTTGAAAATTACTACAATAATTATTACACAACCATTGAAACAACAAAATAAGCACTCTATTTCATACTTACAAAAACAGCTACAATGAATAATAGGAAACTCCTATATGTTCCATCAGATTGATTTCGTTATGGGATCATTTTAACATATTCCACTGGACTTGCATAATTTCTACAAGTATTTCTGGTTATTTTTACCAGTTAGATGCATTGCTCGAAAGAGGTTTCACAGACAACTTCATCTGTCGTATAAACCTTTTTTTGTTAGTAATTTTGTAAGGGATGTGAAATTAATACTGTGATCTATTTAAGTCAAATACATTACAATTTGAAAATCAGACAATTATGACCAATGATAGTGAATGATGATAATAACACTTACTAAGTTTCGAAATGACTGAAGTAGGACAAGAATGAGATCAATAATTCGTAAAATGATGTCATATCTGATTATCAGCCTTTCAGTCATTTTGACGACTGTTTTCATTAAGAAATGATGCCAGCTAAAACAGTACATTAAAAGTCATGAGACGATTGATAAGTCCTTTGTCTATATTCTTAGATGTTTTACCAGAGTGAATTCACTACCTGATGTGGCAGTAGAAAACAAAATTCTATTTTTTTAGGGAGTCCGTGTGATCTCAGAAAGCAATAGAGAATAGCAGTTGTGATGGTTTAGTTATGCTGTTGATTAATTCACGTAGATTATCTGTCTAGTACCAGTGACCTTCGGTTCAACAAAGATACATTAGTGGTGAGCCGATAGATTAGAATAAGACTTAGTAGCTATCGGTCTAGAATGCGTTTTTCTCCAACTTGCCCGCTTGACTGCTGGTGTGGTTTATACTACTTGCAATGCAGCTTATCAGTAGTATGCAGTGGATGTTCACCGAAGTGTCGCCGAGAAGCTATTACTTAAGAGGAGAGTCGGATTCGGATTTATAGCGCAATCAAAGTGTATTAAGGGTTAGAAGACATGTGAAAGGAAATAGACAATAATATGCTTGTTTTACAAGTGAATTCTAAAGATAAGTTGAACATAATTTACTAGTAAACTATGCCTTCTTTCAGTAAATCACTTAACCTATCTGGTCTTATTGCCTTCATTCACTAAACAAGGATAAAATACAGAACAATGGATAGAAGACTTTAAACTACAGAGTTCAGTTACATGACTCAACCTGTAAAATCTCGACTACACATGACCACAATTAGTAAATTATAATATTCGGTATAACCATTCCATAAGTGGACGAGAAATGAGTAACAGATCCGTAAACAATTATCTGTAATTTAATGAAATTACATTAGTTTGTAAATCTTGTAAAAATCGTATAAACAGAAGGATACAAAAATACGTTAGTTTGAGTATTTATTAATTATCTGAAAGTTCAAAATTGCATTCTGTTTATTCCGTTACATCAGCACCAACTTCATCTCTCACGATACGATGTTATCAATGCTTTTCAGTGAGAACCAAATAATGATTTATCATTTCCCAATTTCAGCTTATAATTTTTTATAGATTGTAAAATGTTTTTATCCTCTTTTGTTGTTTTGTTTATTTCTCTATGGAATTCCATTTCTTGAGGATTTATCAAGTGAATATACTTTAAAAATTTCATATATGGAAATCTATAATGAAATTGGTTATGATTTATTAGATTCCAGACATAATAATATCACAACGAAATTAGAAGATTTACCGTAAGTCTAATCATATTTAAAATCATTGTTTGTTTACTATCCAGAAATAAAAGTGTGGTATAGAGATGGAGGAACCGAAACTGAAAATACAAGTCTTAAGAGTCTGCACGAAGTTCAAGTATGATATATGACGAGAGGTAGAAATATCTTTTTATCCTAGTGAAAACATTTGAAATGATAGCAATGAAACTAGAGAGTTCAAATGATGATGTCTTTATAGGTTTTATGCATCAGAGGGAATCCAAAATATTCCTAAATTCTAACCTTTTATCCAGAAATTAACTTTGACCTGATGGTACTTTATTATTTAATAGATTGACTAATCAGATAGCGCCTCCTGTAATTTGGCTCAAAATCCATTCATTCATATGGCTACAGAGGAGTTTGACATTTTTGGTAATGTCAACTTGTGATGTAAACCTTAACCATTAACTTTAATCAATTAACTTCAAGAAGGAACAATTTACAGATTGAACAATCTACTTGGATCATTTTAAGCTTTAGCAAGGATGAACAATCTATATTCATTAAGATGAATCTTTTTGCTGTTATTTTCCCAATATACAGGCAGAGTTAACCTGTAGAAGACGTTGTTCATAATATTAGGTACAATATATTTACACTTGGTGTGAGTATTGTCCTTTTCTTCCGGAAACTACCCATTTCTACAAGCTGTTTTCTAATTGGCTAGAAGCTAGCTGAAAGTTCATCGTTTTAATGTTGTCACTAAATTAGAAATGTTAAGATTTTCTACTTTAAATCTAAAACCATGTCTATCAGCTGATTATCAGTGATTTCTGAATGTAAGATCTTTCGAAAGATCAGTTAGCTTCAAGGTAAACATTAGCTCTTATGTTGAATATGAAAATGTTTTCTATGTTATGTTTTTGAGCAACTCTAGCCAAATACTACTGGTTGTTTAAAGTTTAAAACGAATTATTGGTGTTATGAATCAAAGTTTTTTGAAGAACTGATAAACATTGTATCATGTTCTTGTGCGGTCTAGTAGACCGATAAAATTGTAGTTTTATTAATTTAGTTTTGACCAGTTAAGACCTCAAAGAAAGTAACAAAATGATTTATCCAAGCACAAGTAAAACGTATTAAAGTTGAACTTTATGAAACCCTTCGTAAGCTATATACATTTGGACATCTAGATAACTGTAAAATGTTACGATTGGTAAAATTAATCAAAAAATATATTTGAAACATTGAAGAAGCGTTGAGTGTCTATTTAAAGGTTAAATAGATCTTTAAACACTAGTCAGTATATTTAATATCGGTTATCAACAAACGTCTAGTATGAATTAGTGTGAGGACTAAGATAAAATCAAAAATTATCTTATTAGACTGTCTTGTTGAACAAGGCAGTATGGTTGTCATAATACTCAGCCTGGCATTGAGTTTACATAAGAACATGTTGAGTTGCTTAAAAAAGTTAGAAAGTGTTATCTAATGTTAACAGGAAAAGCAAAACTAAACAGTTTTTGGTTGGTGTGAATTTCTATTACAGATAGAAGTTAAAATAAAACTATGACACCAAGAAACCTTGACATTTTTATCCCACATTGAACACATGTATGGTATAAACCAAAAATCTTCTGTTAAAAATATTATGAATTCAAGACAGATATTTTCCTCTTAACCGAAATCGATCTGTAATCCATCTGCTGTAAAACTAGAGGATTTTCAAAGTGGAATGAAATCGACTTTTCCGAATCGGTCTGTTGTATAAATGTTTCAAAGGTCAACTAAGTAGTGTTATAAAATCATTTCACAAGAAATCATGGCTTGTTAAAAAAAACCAGCTAGCTCGCTCTTCTTCGATTGGTAATTCATGAAGAAAACAATTATTTGAAGTCCTGATTGATTCTTTTTTTAGCTTGAATATAGGCATACGTCTGTTGAGTAGTCACTTAACTTGACCGATTAGACGCCTAGATTAGCACGAGACAATCTGACATTTTACTGGTTTATTGATTCGGACTCCAAACAAACTATCGTTGCAATATTTCAGCACAGATGCATTTATGTACGTGCACGTCAAGCCACATCCCATTCTATTAACTTGTCAAAATATGCATTTAGTACATTTTCACAAGATCGTATTTCCATTTGATGACAGCACAATTTATGTTTACTCATAAATCCTTAGAATTTTAAGCATTACATTGATGTATTTTCTTCATAGTTTCTCTTAAATTAAAATTTAAAAAAAATCGAAAGTTACTCTCCGGATTTCCATAAAGGAAATAGTATGGCATAATTTTACCGATAACTTGTCATTGTCTGCTCTTTGATTTTGATTTCTTCTCCCTTTATCTGATTGTTGGTCATATATTTATTCATGATGTTTCTTATGAGTCGATGAACTGGACCGATTTCGATGTTTTTAGTGAGTGTTTGAGTGCCAGACTTTAGAAATTCCTCTGGTCTTCTTAGATTTCCCTCTCTTCAAGATTTCGACACTTTTATCCTGCGAATGTGTGTCCATGATTGTCCCTATGCAGTGATAGAAGTAAAGATAAAGCATGGTATTCTACTGCTAGTTGTTCATGCAGGCGAAGTTGAAGAGGACGTTCACATTGTCCGATGTAATTTTTTTCGCTGATTGAATAGTTTATTTTGTTTAGTTCTTTTTTTGTCATTTTATCCTTCTGTCTGTCCTTCTGTTGTATCGATTCCAAACGGCTTCAATAATCTTGCTGCGATTTCCGATATGTATTTTATGTAAGGTGAGACGATCCGTTTGTTGATTCTTGAACTTGGTTATTCTTCTGATAATGAATTAGATTGATATTTTTCTATGAAGCTGCCTGAATAGCTGTTCTTTTGGACTGTAATCATAAGATATTTTCATTTCTATGTCCCGCATGTGTGCTGTATTGCGTTTTCACTCGCTTCAATAAAGTTTGTTCATAGTTGATTTGGTGAATTTTCGGACTGTAGCTACTGTAGTTGAGAATCAGGTTTGTGTGGGTTGTCTGCTGATATACTGGAGTCTCTAGTTTTCCTGTGTTGCCTCTGGTTATCAGACCATTCCAAATCGCTAATTTATTGTTTGACTCCTATGTCCTCGAAGATATTGTTGATCTGATTGTAGGTGTTCTTCAGCTCTTCCCTTTGATGATGATGAATGTGTTGTTTACATAGTGAACCCACATTCTTGGTTTGATCACTAGTAAAACCAAGGCTTACAGTCTTCTTGTCTTTGCTTATGCATTAAGTGCTGATATTAATAATTCCATTTGGTGTTCCTTTCATTTGTTAGTGGATTTTGTTGACAAATTGCAAATATTTTCACAGTTGAAATATCGATTTGATCTAACCTAGACGACCGTTAAAACCTTGAATGCGCTGAACAATGGGTTGATTGCTATCTAATATAGAGAACCAGTAAGAATTTGCCATACTCAAAGGTTGCTTGATGTTGTTCTAAAGGACGAGTTCATATCATTGAGCAGCAAATGAATTCATTTTCTAAGGGGAATGAATGTGTATAAATGAGTATTGTCACGCATGGACGTCAATACGTCCATTGGATTGCTCGAATTATTACGAGTTCACCTAAGTCAGTAAATGAGAGCGAGGATCGACGATCCGGCAACACGACAGGCTACTCTTATCCGAGTGTCCAAAACCCCCATTGAGTAGAAGAACACTTGATATGTGGAACGTGTATTCTACAAACATCCAGAAAGTACGAGGTCCGAGTCCAGAAGAAGACAATGCACATTTTTGCAGTTAGGTCGAATAGGAAACAACATTGAAGTATGTGACATTGATAGTTAGGACGACCAATTGGAATTAACCTGTAGGAACTGACCAATAGAACTAGACTTACAAATAATTCTCTTAGGTTATTGAAGGAATATCCTAACAAGTATAAATGGCTATTTATGTCTATTATTAAGTAGTCTAATTGCCTTCATCTCTTACTCTTGCTTTCTTGCTTAAGTATTAAGTTTAGGGGTTAGCGCGGATCACTTTCATATCTCGGACAGCTCTTCTCATACTACTTCCAAATACCTATTATGCAATATCAAGTTATTTAAACCAGCGATCTCAGTGTAACTTTAATCTATAGAATTCAATTAACGCTGACAAATACACACACATGGTATTAGTCACAATTTAATTGCTAATTAATTATTACAATAAACTTGCTGGGTATATCCTAGTAATGAGCTCACTTAGTTAACATATCGCCTAATAGTCGTCAATCAGAAAACTCATTGTTTTCAATCGGTTGTAGGACATGTTTACTAAACATATGCTATATATATAATAATAATAACGTTTATTATTATTATACAGACGAGTTACCCTATTCGAACATACTGAAGCTGGAACAGTACACTTGAAGAATTTGTCAATACATTCGGCTTCAACTGTAGATGAAGCGTTGAATTTACTTTTTATGGGTGATACAAATCGAATTATTGCAGAAGTACGTTCATAAAAATCATCACGATTTAATAAATTTATAATAAAAATAAGATTTTTATATAATGTGAATGTTCGGTAAACTTCTTCTTACGGCAAACTAATTAATTTAATTGGTGAATGAAGTGTAAATTTTTCATTATAGAGTTATTGAGACTGTTGTTTATCATTGAAACCATGAACCAATCATTGTTAGACCTTCATTCAAAACCTGGAACCACTAAATGGCTTGTTCAGGGATCCAGAGGTTAAGCGTTTGAGCGTGGGACCGACAACCCACGGTCAAAATTCTGTGAGTGGCAGGATTCGTGGATACGCATTGCTGATGAGTCCTATACCAGGAAGAAACGGTCTTTCAATGCTTCCAGGTTTCTAATAGCAATGATCGGTTCATAATTTCATGATTAAAGTGTGAATCGTTATTTTATCATTTCAGTATTGTTTGCCTCAGTACCTTCCACCGTCTACCTGCGGTCTGAAGTCACTTAAAAAGTATGTTACATAATCTCTGTAACAGATTTGTTATAGTGCGATCTTTTAAAAGCCTTTTGACCTAAGTAAGTAGGTTTTTATCAGTTATTGATGTCTTAAAGTTGACGCCATGATTAGAACATGAATTCCAGCTTGATACACTAATGTGAACATCACGGTGATAACTGTTTTAACTAAGGCAAGAACAATTAACCTTTTAATATGATATGAATTCAATAAATTTCGTAGAAAAGAAAATTCTTTTTATGGAATCCAGTTTATTTTCATTAAATGTAACCCTTCAAAACCATAAAATAATATAACAATCATTAACTCAGTACAGATTATATAAGAAGTCAGCATTAATGATGAATGTCATGAAAATAATGAAATAACAAACCCTTATGAATGAGGTCATCCTGGCAAATCTTTTTGAATGTACAAACCTGGTTTCAGTCTCTTTATGTCAAATAATTCAGTAAACTGTAGTAAATTTGATATTCATAACTATTTTTTAAGGACTTCAAGACATCGTCACCATGGCCACTGTTAAACAGATTGAGTTCAGCAGCGCTTTATTCTCATGGTCGAAACTTCTGAAAAATATTCAGAGATATGCAAACGCTAGCTTGTCTTTCTATTCTTTCGATGTATGTATATATATCCTGTGCTAAGGAAATAAAGTGCAATTTAGACTTTGAAATGAAATTCCCATTGAAAATCATGCTCTGATATGCACTCTTCATCGATTAAATGAACATATAGACACCGGATATTGGACACTTATTGAACATTGAAAAGCAAATACTCTACAAAGTCAGTCAGGGTCATCTGACTTTTACTGTCTTCCTTCACTCTGCTAGATGTTGAGCTATCCTAAAATACAAGCCATAATGACTACTTTCTACGTACATATTTCCACACCCATTTAAATTCACAACTACACTGCTCCACTCTACAATACACAGTTCCGTTTAATTTCATTATCTCAATAGTTTTATCTTAGTCATTATACTGTTTAGATGTTCATTAAAATAATAATTTGAATTTATTTCATTTTGTACAATTAAATTGTTTCAGACGCCAATAAACGAAGCTTCAACTCGATCTCATTGTATATTCACAATACATATTACATCACAACAGCACGGTTCATCAGTTTTACGACGGTCTAAATTGCATCTGGTCGATTTGGCTGGGTAATTTATTGTAACGTTCAATGTTAACACTATATTCATTTCCTTGATTTAAATTCTATTACATAGCACTTTCTTTGGCATAAATTAATGTCTAGTTAATTATCATGTTACATTACCTAATTTAGTTTTTTCAAAGACATTTAAAGCAGTTGATTGGTGAAAGGTAAACGGAACTAAACTCTTGACTTTGTTTTCGTGATGGTCAGTATTTATGAGAATGGTCTACCAGTATTCTTAGATTAATGTGTTAATATGGAACAACTCAATACTAAATAGTAATCACGATGAAGGAGAAAGATTACAGGATGCAAACCGTTTGCATTTCGAATACATATCAGGTAGAAATCAATTCTAAAGATCATTTATAGATTTCAGATAGCTCTAGTTCATTCGATTTTCAATACATTTTTGTGAAGGTGTTTTGTTCTCTGGGCTGGTTGTTTTGGTTGTGGAGCTTTCATTGTTCTTCTGAACAAGTTTTCTCCACCATCTCAATACATTTTTATTATATTCATTAAATCCGTATAATTTCTGATTGATGTAATGTTCGTTTAGTTTGGCAAATTATTTGATCAACTGTTATTTACTTAGTAAAATCAGTGTATAATTGTGTGAATTAGTCTTCGGTCTAAAAAGGACTGTCTTTATGACCCACCACTTTGCATCGATGTTGTTCGTAATGGGCAGAACTAACTGGAACTCTATATCCAACTATACTCTGATGCACAGCGGGGAATTCCTTTTTTCTGTTCCTACCAAATAAATCTTCCCAACAGTAACGAGGGAAAGAAGAAATCTAATGTATTTTCGCCAGTGAAGTGTGATTAAGAGTTGCCTTTATCTGGCACCCACATCAAGAAGGAAATCATTGCTGTTCACAAATATCAGTCGTATAGTAGGGATACCAATAGATATCAGTTGCTTTGATTGCTGTGTACATGATGAAGATTCCTGTATATATTTTTTTTCAAATGATCAGAAATTATCATTTAAGCAGGGAAATTACTGTGAAACTAGATAATAATATCAGAAAGGTTTTTCCATTCCAGCTTAAGATACCTCGGTTGTGCTTCATGTATCAATGTAAATCGTTAATAAGTTGAATTTAAAACAAAATTGTTTTGTTTAACGAATCTAATTTCAAATATAATTTTCGAAAATCTCTAAATTTTTCCAAGTTCAATTTTTTTACATTTCTTTTTCGATAGTTCAGAAAGAGTGTATAAATCCGGTTTAGATGGTACTCTATTAACAGAAGCAAAATACATCAATTTATCGTTACACTATTTAGAACAGGTAAGTTTATAATATTATTAGCAGTTATATCTTTTTTTCAGGAATCCAGAATGTTTCCTAAGTCATTTTTATATTTAAAATAATCAATATTTGTTGGTTACATGCATTTCATTTTACATGTATTGAGAGCATTGCACGAATACACTGAGACCACTGAGTCGGTAATATTCAGGTTAGGCACAGAGTATTGCTGAAATGTGGAAAATCGATCGATAAGGTAGTGAATCGTCATCGAATCAGGTGGTTAGCGCATGTGTCACGTATGCCCAACCATTAGTCTGCCTGGGCGCATGATGTCAGCTCGTATAGGAGTAGGTTGGGAAAACTAGGAGATACGACACCAATTCACTGTTAGGGGCGGTGATTGTAACCAATTGGTAAACATTTATTTTCTAATTGCATATCTTTTTTATCCACTACTATTGATACTGTGACTGCGTCGATAACTCTGCGATTTGTCTTGAAATAATTTTGTCATTTTGCATTAATGCGGTTTGTTAACTTAAACCAGAGCACATGTGTGTTAAAGCCTGTGTCTCGTGTAAAGTAACTGACAAATTGAATATTGAAAAAATCAGTTGTGAATGATCTGTTTACTTCATTAGTTAGATATCTTTGTCTAAATTCAGAACCGATACTTTCATTGAAGGCAATAACTCTAAAAAAGTTACATTAAGAAATAAACTTGACACATGTGTAAGAATAATTTTTGTTTGAATAATTGAAGAGTTCTTGTGTTTCTGAGTGATCAAGGAATTTCATCCATACAAGTGCTAAAAAGACTCTTGGATCTTGTTTCTACCGCGGAAACATTTACTCCAGTACAAGCAAATTGTACAGTGAACAGTCAGATTAACTTTTGAGCAAAAACATCAACAAATACCAAAACAGCTGTATGACAGATCCATGACAGAAAATCACTCAGTTTATTATGCAATGATTATAGGCCACAATTATCCTAAGTATATAAAAAAATGAGCTTAATCAATCATATAATAACTGTTTTTAACAATTTATTCTTTTGATTTTCTTGCGAAACATGTGCATCATGTTGTTTACTGCACAAGTTTTTATTTGAGTTCTGCATCAAAACTGTAAACACTAAGGGAATTTGTTTTTGTTAGAGATCTTGCATTGATGATAATCAGATACAATTTAATGGTTCCTGATGTACTTGTATAAAGTTTCGATTTTTTGTCTAAGGAATTTTCAGATGTTTTTCGATTGATTGTAGGCATTGAGTTTTATGTACAACTATTACGCATCCGTATTTCTATATATAGATTTAGTTCAAGATAGGCCTTAGCAATAAGTTCCAGCATTTCACTATCCACCAAATGAAGGTTGAAACACAATAGAGAACTGCTGGGAAGGGATTAAAGAAAAATTCAACATTTCAGCAGGTTTTGATCCAGAAGAAGCAACATTAAAACAAATGGATTTCCGCTGATCCTAAGAAAATGATTCAAGAAAGAAAGAATAGGGAGAGAGAACACAAAACCGGACGAACAAGAAAAGAGGAAAAAAGACACAAGCTGAATCTTCAAAATCAAACAAACAGGTGAAGAGAAGAATTACCGATCATAGGCGGAAATAATTTCAAGATCTAGCAATCAAGGCGCAAAAAGCTGCAAGAAAAGGAAACATCAAACAATTATACTAAACAAAAAAGAAGCTCGGTAAAAATTATCGAACACCAGAACGACTAATGAAAAGCAAGGAAGACGAAGCAATCACCGACAAAGAAGAATAACGAAACAGGTAGGTGGGCAAGTTTGAAAAAATAGAAGATTCAGTAGAGACCGAACTTCCAGATAAACAGGATGGATTTCGTAAGGATCAGTTGTGTACCAAACAAACCGCAATATGACCGATCATTGTGGAACAATCAGTTGAATGGAACTCATCACCATACATCAACTTCGTGCATGGAGGATAACCCACAGATGCATTCCAAGGCAAGGCCAATGTCATATAGGGATGCTTACTGTCATTTTTCCTCTTCCTTCTGATGTTTGACTGAATTATAAAAACCTCAGCATCTCAGGAGGTGCAAAGTACACAGTGGACGGCTTCGATGCAACCAGACAACGATGTGGACTTAACAGATGACCTGGCTCTACTATCAGACGCACAGCAACAAATGCCAATGAAGATGGCCGTTGTATTAGCAGCATCTGCGGACGTAGGCCTCAAAATGCACAAGAGAAAAGATATGAGCCTTGGATACAACACGATATGCACCAACAAAATCATTTATAAATAAGGAGGATTTGATGTAAATATTAAGACCTTGCTTGACAAGGCAAAGACAGCATTTCTATAACTAAAAATCACCCGGAACTCAAAACGTTTACTAAGCAGTATCAAAGTCAAAATATTCTACACAAACTTAAAAACAGCTCTGTTGTATGGAGCAAGAACTGGGCAAAACACGAAAACCATCATCAGAAAGATACAGGTGTTTATTACCAATTTTCCATTGGAATTACTTTGGATCTGTTGGTCAAACGTCTTCAGAATCAAATGACTGTGGGAGAGAACAAACCGGATCCTAAATGCGAGTAGGAAATTAAGAAAAAACTCTGGGGTTAGGTAGGACACACAATGAGGGAATCATCCAAGTATTTCATCAGCCAAGAATGTCTTGAAGCTACAGTTAGTTATTTTGTGAGCAATTAAATCTTAGAAAAGTGTAGTTAATTTGGATGTAGCGAAGAAAAATGCAAAATGGAAGTAGAAAAATAAATATTTTAATAATAACTTGTACAAGGGCAATTGATAGATCCAACAGTCTCTCCAATTACAACTAATTGTCAGTTTGATTAGTTTGTAGCTGAAGATAAGTATAAGATGTTAATGAATGCATAGTATTCTGCATATTATGTTATTCATGCTCAGTTTACATTGATCAAAGTATCAAGTAAGATGAAATCTTTTTCTTGATTGCTTAGTATATATATATATATATATATATATATATATATATATATATATATATATATATATATTGAGTACAGGAATTCATGTTACATTATAATTAAAGTCTATAATTGGTTTACTTTACACAGGTGATTATAGCACTAGCTGAACGACAACGTACACATGTACCATATCGTAACAGTATGATGACAATGATGCTGAGAGATAGTTTGGGCGGTAATTGTATGACATCAATGATTGCTACTTGTAGTATTGAACAAGAGAATTTACAAGTAAGTCATCTTCTAGAAACAAACACTTTAGTCCTCATCAAGATTAAATTCTAAGAGTACACATAAGAGTGTGCACGTAGTAGGTCATCAGTTGGTGAAACAGATAGATCTGTGCCAACTGGTCACAAATTGTACTGACAATCAGTCTGAAGATTATATTAATTAGCATAAAATAGAAATGGTGTTATCTAGTTCCGAGACATATTTATCTGTATGCCCATCCAAAGTATGAGTAAACAGATTACGATCATAACACTGATCAGCTGAAAATATTCATTATATGATATTCATGGTAGAAATGTGTTGCATTGACGACCTTGAGAGATTTATCAACTAATTAGAAAACAGTGTTTATTTACAAAATAAAAACCTTACAGTGGATAAGTAGTTTTTCTATGGTTAATCAAGCCTTATTTAATCATTTATTGTTGTAAGGTGATGAAAAGTAAGGCTATATATTTCGAACTATGCTAATGTTATGAGTTAAGTTTAGGGCTTTCGTCACGAATTAACATCACCTCTATTACAAAAAGGTTAGCTATTTGGAGTTAGGCTAATGTTGATTTACATCAGATGTAGTTTAATAATGCTTTGACATCATTTTTTTTATATACTTTTAAAAGTTAAGGCTGAGATTTAAAGTTAGGAATTAGAATTTGACAATACTGTTTAGCTAATACAACCTCTCGAGACAATGCATTGATCAACATCAAGTAAATTAACGTACAGTCTGCGTCAGAAACTGGTATTTCTTGTAATTCAGCTTAAGTAACATGTCATATTCACTGATTGTATTTTTACACATTTCAAGCATTTTACAGGCTACAATAGCCAATTTCCATTTAGTTCGCAATAAGATACAACACAGGCAAAAATCCAGAAGGTGCTGTCTTCTTTCTAAACGATTCACTGAAAGCAGTCAGTATAGTGTGAAGTTGTCATATTTGGGCTTAACATTTATTATTTTTCGAAAATTTAGGAAACAATATCAACTTGTCGATTTGCACAACGTGTTGCTCTAATTAAAAATGAAGTAACTCTTAATGAAGAACAAGATCCTTACTTAACCATTAATCACTTAAAATGTGAAATCGAACATTTAAAAGCTGAATTAGCTTTTGCTACAGGCATAGAAAAAGACGCTACGTTGAACATTGAAGATAAAGAAAAGTAAGAAGATTTAAATAATTCATCAAGCAGTTATCATTTTTTCAATTGTTAGAAATAGGTAAGGCAAGAGAAATACAAAACTTGACTATCTATCTCTTAGTAAATCAGTTTGTACATGTTTAACAAGTATTTATCAAACAGTTTATTATGGGCATCTTTAGCTAATGCTACTTATAAGTTCTTTACACATTGATATATTTAATTTTAGGCATGTAATGAAAAATAAGACATGTTTTTGTTTCAAATTAGGACTTGTAACCTGAATGTATTTAAGTACCTGTGTCGATCTTTAAATTGAAACTTTGATTTAGTATCTTTCACTTCAATCTATCCTCATGAGTAATCCAATGAATATCGACACTGTCATCTAGGTACATAGCAGGTCGTAATTCAGAAAAAATATATTTAACCTTCTAGCGTCCACCTACTACATGTTACATACACTGAATTATGTAGCATAACTCTGTATCGAGGTAATGCGCTGAAGATGCACACATGATAGAGAGATTGATAAATTGTATTCGAGAACAGCATTAATGGGAAATTACAGACTCTTACTGATATTATAGCGTTTTTTGGCAAGTTAGCTTTTTGGTGGGATGGGGGTCGCCAACCCCATGCCAAACCTTCCTCCTTTATCCGGGCTTGGGACCGGCAGTAGCCCCGAAGGTTCTTCTGGCGGAGTTATTAATATTTAGACTATTTATTATAATTATTATTACATAATGATTTTTCATTTAGTTTGTATTTTATTTAACTAAATAAGTCTACAGTAAGGCTTATGATGAGATCTGTCTATCTGATTTATACACACTAAATGAACGACACAAGTGTAATTGGTTCGTAAAATCCCATATGTATTGGGTTTTCTGTACATGGTCTCCAAACACGAATAAAGATTATGCCGGAGAAACTAACGAGTAAATCTACTCCCCTCAGTACGTCGCAAACAATCATTAAGCGCTTTGTTTTAATTTAGATTATCTTGGTCTACTTCCTGCTCACACATACTAGTTACTGCTAAACTTTAGATTAGGTGAGCTACTTGAACTGAGAACCATACACAATAAAATAAATTAGAACAGAGGTTTATACACCAAACGTTTCCGACAATTCTTAGTTAATACACTTTCTAGAGAGGTGGGCTCATTTTATTGAATATAAAATATCCCACGCAGTCTAGCTGTTATAGCTACCGAAATCGTGTTTACTGACATTTTGATAAAACTTACTTACTAACCTACGCCTATTACCCTTCATGAGGCATAGTCCATTGACCAGAATTCTCAAACATACTCTCCCCTGCACTATCCTTTCAAGTTGTTCCATGGTGATATTCATTCTTTTCAAGTCTGTCTCTGTGCATTATGTTCTTAGTCTGCATATTTCCTTTAGCCCTGAGGATCGCGAGCTAGAGTTTGCTTCAAAAGGCAGTTGGACGTTGGATGTCTACTGAATCTTCCATTTTTTCAAACTGGCCCACCTACCTGTTTCATTATTCTTCATTGTCAGTGATTGATTCGTCTTCCTTGCTTTTCATTAGTCGTTCTGGTTTTCTATAACTTCGACCAAGCTTCTTTTTGTTCTTAAAATATTTCGTTTTCTACTTCCCTTTTGCATTTTTCTTTGCTGCTTTCAAATTAACCACACTTTTCTAAGATTTTATTGATCTTCCATTCTGTTCAATTACATTCTGTTGAAGACTTTTCTTGCTATTGACAGAGGAGTGTTTTTTGTAGTTCTCACATTTACTTAGATCTCCTTTCTTCGGTATCATGATGAGGTGTCCTTCTTTTCATTTATTCCTATCAAATCTCTCTGAATAGAGCGTGAGATATTTTTGCAGTTACTGTTATGTCTTCTTTCAGTGCTTTGGCTGATTTTATGCGGTCTTGCTGCTTTGCTACACTTGACTGTCTGATGGTCATGCTGATTTCTTCAATTGTCAGTTTATCGAAATCGACTGGGATGTCCATGTCCTGTTTCTATTTTTGGTGGATTCGTTATGGAATAGCAGTTATTTAGGATTTCAAACTAAAATTAATTTAAACGAAATCATTTTTGATTTGGAGAAAATTCTTATAATCGCCTCAATCCTTCATGTTTAGTCGCTGTGTGTAACATATGAATGGTTAATAATAAATATATTAATGCTAAAACTTAATCTCTCAAATTTCTACCTAATACTTGTGATGATCGTGTATTAGTTGTCAAAATATGCTTAATATTTAAGTACAATTTTCTTTTGAAATTTAGATGTGAAAAATTGATACAAGAATTTATTACTACACCACCGAATGATGAAGAAGTACGTGTACCAGCTCCCATTCTTTCAAATATTCAAATGATAAGTTTAGGATTCTCACTAATGCATGTAAGTTATGCGGCAACCTGATGTATGTCATATAGTGTTTGGTTTACCTTAAATCGTGTACATTGTATTTAGTTGGTTCATACTAAATGGTGCATATGTCAGAGGGTGAGTGAAATAGGATGCGATTGAAATGGTAATACATGGAGCCAGTCAGAGGTAGCCTAAAGTGCAGGTCGTTTGATGACAGTTGTTTGAAGAAATTTACTAGTTTTCTAAGGAGAAGATATACATATACATAAATGAGCAGTTTTGCATATTATTCGATTTTCAAACGAACCTTCTCTACTACTCTTGCCTTCTCGTTCGAGTATCCAAGTTTTGGGTAAGCGTACACTGAAGTTCAGTTCTCGGACACGGTACTTCACAACGATAGCCAGCACTTCAATAAGGGCTATCATGGTTTTAAACATTTATACGTATATAAGTTTGTATGAAACATGCAGTTTTACACAATAAATGAATTACGTTTAACAATCAAGAAGTGAAGTCAACAAACGAAATTCCACTGCAAACAAGTGCCCACATAAACTTGTGTGACTAAATTTTATTCAAAGGAATCTATTTTAGCGTTGATTTCGGGCAGCATTAATGCTTCGTTTCTAGACCAATGAACAGTCATTCAATAGTTTTAATGTCTTAAATCAACAAATTTCATCTGTCGCCTGCTAAGGACAACTGTGATTGTTTCCCACTGGTCATAAATCACTACTGTAGAGTCATATTCTAGGACAAAATTGCCTTCATAATGCTTCAAAGTTTTCAACGTTGGCCTAACTAAGATCAGTTCGTGACTGGTAAACTTTTTGGGAGACAATTAATTCAGTCAGATCAATCATTTAACAATAACTGTTTTCTTAAATTTTCTTTAACTAAGAATTCTTTCTTGCAAAGTCTACTAGATGAAACACAGTGGAAAAAGTATTAATTTTGCAACTTTATTAATTTCATTGTCTTAGCAAATCTTATAATCATCATCATCATCCATCATAACGTGTTGCACACAAAATTGTTTCATCTTCAGTTAGTTTTCTTAATAAAAACTATTTATTTTGATAATATTAGTGTTTCTTGACTAAAAAACATAGTTAAAAAATTGACTTGACAGTTAACTATTTATAGTTTGATAATTAACTTGACTATTTCCATTTTATATCGATTTATTTTCTTGGTTATATTATAGCGTTAATTTCATCTACTTTAATGTTTACAGTCAGAATGGTTACCATCTTTTAATGCATCTTGTACTTCACTTCAGAAAAACTCTTTCTGATTGTATCGCCAGAGATGATGACGGCATTTTCTAGATAAGTGTACTGACTTATTAATTGTTGAGTTTTTGTAGCTTGGACATAATGATGTTTGCAAAATAAGTCCTACTGACAACCACAAAATGCATACCATCACTATTGTGATACAACTAATCTTTGTTTTCGGAAATCGATAATTATTTTAACTTCATCCTACATTGTTCGAAATTCATTTCTCTACTACACATATGTATTATTAGTGCGCATGTTCAATTTTCACTTAACGAATATTTATATTTTAGGCGTTTCATTGGAAAAATATAAAGAAATTCGAATCGATTAAAGCATCCACTAAACAAGTTGTAGTTCCCTCTTTACCTAACACTACCAAAGAAGCAGATCAGTTACGTGATATTTTAGCTCAAAGAGATCATGAAATTCGTATCCTTTACTAAAGAATTTATATATATATATACCAATCTGAGATATTCGTCTTTCGATTTCAGTAAACAGGACTTTCAGAAATAATTCAAGTTTTCAAACAAACAGGTAGTTTATTTTAGATAGTCGGAGGCATTCGAAAACAAATCCAGCAATATCATTTGTTCGATCAACGTCGGGACCATTCGTTTCTTTAAGATTACAGAATCATTTTGTTAATGAATGTCAATTGGAATGAGATCAAAAATCTGTGTTTTTGTTCATAATATTCAATAATCTAGTATCGAATACAATCGTTAACAGTCTCAAATCACCTAGTCTCATTGTCAGATTGAAATTTGATTGATACAATCCAATCAGCATGAATAGTTAAACATGATAACAGTGTTTACTACCGACTAATTGAATAATAATAATAATAATTTCCTCGATTTATTTAACTTGTGATGAACTAAATTATCATGTTTTTGATATTTTTTGACTGAATTTCTAAAGTCTCAGTTGATAAATGTGTGTATCTGAGCCGATTACTTCGATAATAATCACACTGACTCAAACTCATATAACACTGATCAAATCTTAGTCAAAATATCATCAATGAGATAATCCAAACCATTATAAATTAAATTGAATTTTATCAAGGGTCGCACAAACCACAGTCTGTCCAGACTCAGTAGCTAAATGAATAACGAGTTGGCCTTTGAATCTACGCGTCCTGAATTACTCTCCCAGCCTCACATCCTAATCTATTTTGAATAAATTTGGAATGTTTTCTCCCAAAAATGTGTGACGTAACACTTAAATTTAACTTCAGCTATCGCTTCTTAACAAAAAGTGTAAAACACATTGAACAGGTGTTTTAATCAAGTTATTAAAACAGCAGAAGCAAAAAATTATTCCAAGAAGCTTCTCACTGAATGAGTGCACTAATGGAAACATTGAATATCACGAGGACGATAAAAATACAAATGTTGAACATGTGAATAATAGATTAACAACTGTAACTTGTAAAACACGGAATCAAAATAATTTTGAAGAGTATGAAACACTTCAAATGCCTCATACGAAAAAACTCTTGGATGAATCTAAACGTGCGGTTGATCATGTGGCAAAATGGTTAGAGCAACAAGCCAAAGGAAAATTACGTAAGCGTTTGTTTTTAAAATGTTTTATATATGTTAATCGATTGCTCTAGTGAGATTCCTTATATTTCAAGCCTATTGGATATCTTAATTTCAGTTATTATGTTAGAGAATTCAATGAAGAAATACTTGAAAGAAGAAAAAAAATCATTTTCTGATCTTTTCAAAACAGCCTAGTGAAATAGCGCTTGTTAGATGCATCAATCAGAACCCCGACTGAAGTTTATTTACTCCGTATATGTCATTTCAGCTATGGCTAGCGTGCTAAACCTGGGCCAATGGTACCTTGCGATCAACACGATTGACCTTGAGCTGAAGCTAATTTAACCTTGAATCCTATTGACTGGATGATTTGCATGTCTTCGATTTCCAGCCTTCAATCTAAATAAAAGAACACTACAATCAAGCTAACAGCATTAGATTTTAACCACTCAATACATATATTTCGGATACTCACTAGTCTATATGAATAATTTCATGAATTATCGAACTGATAGGCGCTTCACATACAATAAAGCAAGTTATAAATGGTAGAATCTGTAAATTAGTCCTTAAAGTTTCACTGCCTTTAACACTTGCTCTGACGTAATATGTAGTGTTTTGGGCATAGGGAGTAAGAATGTTTTAGTGTTAGGGACGTTAGATCCCCAGAACTCGTTTGATAAATGCCTTATTTTGGATGGGCTGATCAGGGAAATCCTTGCCTGTGATTGGCTGCTGTGTATTTTAGCGTGCTATTTTTATGACTGTCCCAAGGACGTTTCTATTATTTATAAATAAACGAGATTTGTGTGCTTGATTGCGTTGTGCTTGCTGGGTGTTTGTAGAACATACTTTCTACGCTACATTAAGACTTGATTAGTCAGCAGATCAGGGTAGCCTACCTGGACGCTGGTTCATTGTCTCATTCGCGTTTATCGACTCAGATGAACCTGTAATAGTTTCAGGCATACATTGTGACGAGCCTAACAATTAATCAATGAGATTTGTTAAGGAAATACGCAAAAACATACAAACTGAAAAGGGAACGAACTTGAGTCACGTTGATAAATATAATCATACAAATTGTTTCTAAGTTTGAATTCTGTAATGTCAATCAATCAGCTGTGTTTTTGATTTCCATCAGACTAAGTTTTATTTTGATAATAACATCAGATGATTAGTTTGAGACTGAATTATAATTATGAACTATGTGATATATAAAGTAATTATCCTGGTGGTTGCTCTACAGTGCTATGAATGTTGCCAGTTCAATAGTTTGTCAACTAGTCACTGATCAATCTATTTTATAAATTAATATTTACTGGACTCTACAGACTACACTCATTACCCCATGAAAACTAACAAAAAAACATATATTTAGCATAAATTGTTTCAAACAGACGGACTAGTGTGCATTTTTAGAAGATCAAGTTGTCGAAAAGACTGTTCCTTTAAAACACTTTGTATGTCTTTTTAAAATCATGGATCGATCGAATACGGTTTCGCGGATGATTTTATTTTATGCAATCATTTGGGCGGGCAAACATGAGAAGGAAAACGTACAATCTAAACGGAGAGAAGTGGAGAAGGCGAGTGAGCTAACTCTCATGTGCTGAAGTAATGACTAAGTAGTTACAGTTAAGCAATAATAGGTTCGACATGTCATCAGCGAGTAAGCATGCACACACAGATACACTATAATTGATACTGTTATCGAATTATTACAAATACAAAATTATGGTTGATACACTTATCAAATAATTTAAATGGCAAGTCATCGAAGTACAATGCATGAATGATGAGATGCTACAACTTCAACCCGGAACAGGGCTCAACTCCTGTGATCACGACTTCTCTTTGTATGTTAACGAGATTTACGAAACCTACGTAGGTTTCATAGTTTATATCATGTACTGATCTTGGAAAGCCGTTAAAAATTAGGGATCATTATGCAGACGATTTTTTCTTGCAGTGCGCATTCATGCCTTCATCTGAGATTAAACCCAGGAGCATCAATTCGCGCTACCTATTAAGTTTTAATGGTCGTCCGTGATATAAACAATGAAATCAAACAATCTACATTATTTGCATCTTTTTAAAAAGCCATTTAGCCTGAAATACTCGTTCACGAATTTTCTTCTGTATTACTGAAAATCAATTTAAATCGATTTGTCAGTCAACTGACAGATTTGTTCTCTTTTCATGTTTCTTATAACGGCCAACCACTAAGCGTTTGATCTCCGAAAAGAATGAGGTTACGGTGTATATATAAAACATAAATATTACTTAGTTTGATTCACTAAACGCAGCTCAGTATTTAATTGAATGTTTATTTCAAATATTATTCATAGAAATTGAACATTTATTGAATTATTGTGTAACTGGTTTTAAGTTCCTCTCAACAGAAGCTATTTTATTTTTAAGACTCTTACTACTACTACCAAATTTTTAAAGTAGTAAGATTAGGGATGCTTTCTTTTTCGAGGTTGTATTTCGAAAATACTAAAACTGAGAGTTCCCATTAACTTCATATTCTGAATAAATCAATTAGAAGAAAGCTTAATTTCGATCTGTTTATTAATTTGTCCGGTTTCATATAGACATTTTCAAATGGAATAATTCAGATTACTGACATTGATATTTGGTGTTAAGAAGGAAGGAAACACAAAATTCGAAAATCAATTGTATTTTTCAAATGATTCATTGGATTTGTTGATTATATATTTTTATATAGACACATTAAATTACCAAATAACGGTTATTTCAGTTTGATCGAATTAGTTGATTGGCCGAACATTTAATTGTTATATTGTACATTATTGTTATTATTAGTGTTATTAGTATTATAGACTATTAATATAGACGATATATCAATTTTATGTTCGGTTTCGAATGTTCATAGGTTAAATCGCGAACTTAGTTAAACTGCCATTAAAAACCTTGAGATATTAAATAGCCGTTATGCGCTCTCACAAGACTCTTCAACAGTGCGTGTCCATGACTCTATCATAGTCTATTGAAAATAGGACATTCAATCTCCATCTTGATTTTGTGCCTAAATTGGTCTTATTGCTGGAGACTAAGCTCCATGAGATACGATGAGCTGTAATGTTTTTACAATTATTAGTAAAATTCAGCTTATGGATGATGAGTTTGCTGCTTTTAGTGGTACAAATCCCTAATCGACTTGCCTGGATCGTAAAAAACCGTTGTTACAGCCAACGTAGCTTGGTCACGTCCTATACATGCAATAATCTGTATGAAACCAATAGTAATTTAATTCATGTAAAAAAAAGTATTATTTATAGGCTACAAAATGATAGCAAATCGAATTCGTATATTTTTTTAACATTGGAAAACAAACACCATGATTCACTATGATCTAAATTCACTGCGAACCTATAATTAACCGTCATAACATTCCATTTAAGGTAATAAACCAAATAGTATTCCCATTTTTAACTTAAGATAAATGTAATGGTTTGCGATATAAGGGTTGGAAAGCATTTATTTCATTTTTCAATGTTCTTTTTACAATTCTTGAATGGAAAAATAAATTATTTCTGCCAAAAATATCAGCTATTCGAGTGAGAAATGAATTGACGAGATGATATAAACTAAAACAAAATCAATCTATAAATTACATTTTACTATGAAACAATTTCTTGAATAATGAATTTATTCAAAATTGCAAATTGATCTTTTGGCCTAAGACCTTTAAAACTTCCCCGCGCTTACATTCTATTTGTATATATATTTTTTCCAAAATAAACTAAATGTATGTTTATCATTGAGTTAATTCAAAATTCCCAATTCACTAAAGGTTATTGCTGAAAAAAAACTACATGAAGAAATAGTTTATGATTTTGTTTATACTGATTGTTTGTTTAAAATGACCTTTACAGGCGGTTTAAATGAGAAAACAGCCAACAGTCATAAGAATACGAGTAAATAAATTTAATTAAATTACAATTCTTACTGTTGATGTCTATATTTCTCCAAGTAATTCTTTCACAATATCCTATTCGCATTCCAATCTGTGTTTCTTTAAATTTAGAATGTGTGATATACCGATTTCTTTTATTACATTTTTCTACCTTAATCTATCGTAATTTTGAAATATGGTACATATATCTTACTATTATTATGTTCATGAAAGAATTCAGCTTTGAAAAGGTTGATGAGTTGAATTCAGTGTTTTTACCTTTATTGTAAATGCTATGTTTTTGATGATTAGATTGACGATTTAAAGCGTTGCTCCATCTACTTTGTGATATCAGTGGATAATTAAAATGTCACTATTCTTCACACACACACACACACACACTGTATAGCTTAGATCCATGTGCGTAAAAAATGAATTTAACTACGCCTTTAAACTTCATTAGCCAGTTATATTTCAACCGAATTTCGTCCAATCTTACTTGGAATATGTTGCATATAACGCAGATTGCTTCCACATAGCCATATTGTCACAAGTGTTGATACAAAAAATATGGAGTAGAGATATATCATAGGATTCATGATACATGTGTTTTATTGTATTCAGGACTTGCCATAAATGTTATTCAGTTCAAATCCTGAAGTGAACATCAGCACCAGGATGTAATCACATCTAGGTACCACGAAACCCGACTCCTGGATTTCATTCATATCCACACTATATTTATTCTATGTAAACTTGTTTGCTGACTGACTGTTGCACTTTTTGACTTGGAGTCAAATCAAAGTTTATTCATTTGACTCGAAGGCATCTTTCCTTTGAACACTATATACTCGTGAATAGGTTTTTAGAAGACTTTGACGTCTGTTTCAACAACTATGCCACTGATCGATAATGACAACTGCTTCAAAACTTCAAAGGATATTTCTCTGCAGTTCTCAATTCATGACATTGTAGTTAGATTTTAAGTATTTGTTTATACAGCGACAGTGATTGCTAAGATTCCTATTATCTATTTTATTACAAGTGAACATAACTTGACTTAGTTTTCAATTAGAATGTATGAAAAATCAGTTATTTCTTCTTGATCCAACAAGCAAGGGAGACCAATGACAACAAATGGTCACTTCGCCACTTTCTTCTTTATGATATATCGAGTAAAAGTTTAATCCATTGGAGTAAAAATGAATATTAAAATGATTTTTTTCCGACTGCGAATAACATGTATTCATACCTTATAATGGATTAGTGATTCTTAATTATGTAATATGATGAATGTGTGTTCACATAGAGGGGCTAGTGAATTATTATTCTCAGTATACAGGTGTGGATTGTTGAGTTTTACTGAATTTAACAATCGATCAATTTCGGACCACCATTAGAAACCTGTAAGGACCGGACAGCTGTTTCGTTCTGGTATGCGTTTCATCATTGGAGGTGCGCATATACGGCCTTTTCTCGCGAGAATCGAACCCAGAAGCTTCAGTCCTGCGTCTGAAGGTTTAACCTCTAGATAAATGAACCGGCATCCAACGGTGTTAATGTCTAACTTTAATCAGTCGTAGGTATTGTGCAACCTCGCCCATTGTCTTCGGTTAGTAATTCCCCACACTTGATAGGATTGAACTCCTTGAGCAGGAAACCGAAGGTTGGATTCCTACTGGAGGGTCGTGAATGCTCACTGTTGATGAGTCCCGTACTAGATCATTTTTGATTTATTTTGTGAGCCAAATAAATGCTTATCACCGGTCTTTGCTTTTTTTATTCGTACCCATTCTCTGTGCTGAAGTTTCTGTGTAGATTCAGCAGGAGTTTATTGGAAGCTGGTAAGAAATCAGTTATAGCGTTCAGTTAACAGACTCATCACATTTGTTTACTACACGTTCTGATATATCTTTAGACAGCCTAAATGGTAGGACATGTTTACACCTGCTATTCCAACATACTAGCTAATGTTAAACATTCTTTACCTTGTTCTCACTGTTTATCAGAACTCAACGCATAGAAAAAAAGAAATAATACCTTAAACATTAACATGTCACAAATGGTAAAGCGCAAAACTAACAGTAAATAATTGGCATTAATTATTGAACAGTAAAATATACAACCAAAGATACAAGGTCCAGTGAAAGCTTTCAGAAAGGAGAATATGGAAGCATAATACTACAGTATAATGTACTAAATACACTATTCAAAAAAATACCATATCAATACTACTTTCGTAGTAGAGAAAATTTCACGTCCAATTGTGCATCATCGTAGTTCTTAGTAGATCAACACATAAAAATGTCATTCTGTAATATCCGGTAGATTGTTATCATTGCAACTTTGAATTTATTATGATGGAAAAAACTTGTGTTCAATTTTTACCATTCGAAGAATTAATTTCCATCACTTATTCTTCATTATCTGCCATAAAATCGTTTTTTCCGCTCTTTCAAATCACAATTAAGAAATACGTTCATTGATAGCAATTGTACACTTAAAGCATTAGTAGTGATAGTGGTTGTAGTTGCTGTTGTTGTAACTTATTTGTTAGTAATGCTGAAAGTGAATTCTCTTACAATTAGGTTAATTTTAAATAGTTGTTGTGTTGACTAAAGTGATTGTTTGTTTGTTTGTTTGTTTGTTTTTCAAAAGGTTTCATGAAGTTTTAGCAAAAATATTCTTGCTTTAATGCATTTTATCATTGGAAATGGAATGGAAAAATTCCTTTTTTTAGTTTACAAATTTACTTCTATTCTCTTCAGTATTAAAACAACACTATATGAAATTATTAATAGAATTTTTGGAAAATTGCAAAATTTCATTGACTGACTTTATCATAGAATTGGTGCATTATTTGATTTCTACTAGTGTATAACAAATGTTTGTACATACAGACATTCAAAGTAACACTTGCAACGGTCATTCGCTTGTGTACACAAAGGAACACACAGATTGCATAACGTTTTCTATTGAAAAAAACAAAAACTAAACCAAAGCAAAGTGGTTACACGCCAGTATTCGAATTTATGCTTGATAGATGTTGATTTCATGTTGTGTTAATCATTATCACACTTCAGAGGAATAGGCACTTAAAAGTAACCAATGTTTAACATCCTTGTGAATGTTTACAAATAAATCCAAGTAAAAGTGTTTGTAATTGCTTCAAAATCAATGAAACTAATTTCAGTAGTCTTTATGTTTCAGTAGTACATTTATATCTATTTTCCTCAAGCCACACTGGTCACTTTAATAACCGCTCTCATGGTTCTTTACTTGTTAACAACACCCTAGTCTCAAGCAATTCAACAGTTATTCTACCTGATTTGTAATCATTTATTACTTGAGAAAAGCAGTAAAGAAATGAAAAATAACTTTAGCTGCAGCTAAAATTTGATCTTATAAAAATTACCTTAAAAATGATTGACTTTTCTTTCGTTTTAATCGGTCACCAATGTTGAATTTTTGTTGCGTAAAATTGCTGTAGACTTTTTGATTTAATCAACACAATATTGTAAATCATGCGGTATCATCTATTGACAAACTGATACAAACACTGTGAAATCGTGTATTTTCTTCCAAGTAATTATAATGACATATATTCATGTAGTCAATGCTAGTCAATACATCGTAATTTCAACTTCATATGAAAAAAACTTCTCTGCAAAATAATTTTGCCAGTAATTTATATCATTTGATGCGTTTAATACCTGAAGGCCTTACGTTCAAACGCCCAAGTGGTCGTGAAACGTCACAGTTAGGGAAGTCCTATTCCAGGCTAAAACAACTGTTCAACACCTTCCGGTTTTGAGTGGTTGTCAGTTCGTAGTGGAAACCATGAGAAATTCACTGTTGAAATAAATAATTTATACGAATTTCTTAATGACATTTCTGGTCGAATCAGTAGAACTTCAAAAGTTAGTTCATCTTTCTAGTATCAACATAACTCAATTTGTTCATGATAAGTCTCGTATGATAGATCAGTTTTATTCAACTTGACCTAGGCTTTTGAAACTTTTTGAAAGATGTCTGATGGCTTATATTACAGTTGGATAAAATGGGAGAAATGCATTTCAAACCTGTTTTCCTTGTTACTTCTTAACATTAAAAGACGCAAGTTCTCGTCAGCGTCATCACCAAACGAAATTATGTCATCTGCGTATCCCAAGTCGAAAAATCCATCACCTGATATAAGACCAACTCCTGAAAATCTAGTCTACATATGTTATCATCCTAAATGTCTATGACATAGTTCCATCAAAATGAAAGAAGTGAACAGTCCTGACAAATACCACTTGGGGTCGAGAACTCAAAAGACAGTTCTCTGTGAGCTCTGACTTGGCCAGCAGTGTTCATGTAGACAGCCTGTATATTTGAAAATAAATAGTTGAAAAAAGACTAAAGAGTATACGACAAATATTTTGCCAGCAATATGTATATAAATCAGAGTTTAGAGGTTCATATGAAGAGTCAAATCCACTGCTTAACCCTGTAAAATATCAGTATGTTACTCATAAGATTTCTGTTATTCTGTAGTCTAGTACATAAATCTATGGCTTCCCTTTGATAGATACTGGGCTGGAACATCTGCAGTTTTGATGCAGGTTAATCCGATCGGTTAGTTTAAAGTAGGGAAAACATTAGTCTAGGATTCAACTATCGATCGATGTCCATAAATAGGATGCATGTAAGAGTAAACGCCATAGTTTTCCGATAGTTAATTGTGAAGACAGATTGGATTTGGAAGAGGATGTTGGGTTTCCTTAAAAAAAAAGTTATGAACAATCTGATGGAACATTTATAGTTTTAATGAATTTATTAGAAATATAAGTAAGGTCAAGTTAACAATTGATCAAACAAATACAAATATGATGAATGCTTTTGAAGACGATTAGAAAAAATTTATCACCACTATGATATTTCCCTTATATAGGTATGTTTAGAAAAAAATCGTTTATTAAAATTAAACACAAGTGTTATCAAAGTCTGGTAGTGTACACAAGTTATAGAATATACATTTAATCGTATATAATTGTTTTTTTTAAGACTAATCACAGTCTAATCAGACAATAAATTGATCTTTGCATATTTTTTGGACAAAAACATCATTGACTCATCGTATGTTAAGTTTCACTGTACAATTAAATAAATTCTTCAAGACAGTAGTATACATAGAATGTAGATTAATTGTTCACTTTCGCGTATTTCTAGACAGACACAATAGTAGGCACTAAAATCTGTTATAACTGTGTGTAGTAGTTATTTTGATAAATGAGGAAAAACAACCCATAAATTTTGATCGATTTAAGCGATTAACACCGTTCTGATTGATTATCGTTGATCATTCGATGTCACAGTATTGATCAATTCATGGTTTAAACTATGAAAATTCTACACTCTCTTCAAACCTTTCCTATTGTACCAAAAATTATTTTGTATCTCATTACTTTTTATTTTCTTATGAAGTTGGTCAATTATCCATGGGTCGTGAAGAAGCATTCCATTTGTTTAAACAAGACTATCCACTTCAAGATGAAATTAATAGGCAGAAAGATGAATTGAAATCACTTTATGCTGAAGCAAAATTACAAGGAAACAAAATGTCCCAGGCAAAAGAAGAAGTTGGTAAGTACATGAATAAACTTTTTCCCGTAGTAAAACATCGAGGCAAACAAATAAATGACAATCATGATGTTTTCTCAAGCTGTTAACTAGGAATCATGGCTGACGAAGTTAAAACATGTCCGGAATGAAATGGTTGAAAGAAATTAAATCATTATGATTTTTCATCATACAGTTATTAAGATTGTTGTTTTACATTGAATTTGGGTGGCAATCATTGTTAGACAACAGTTGGAAACCTGGAGCACTGGACGACTGTTTCCTCCTAGTATGGGACTCTTCAGCAGTGGTGCACATCCACGACATCCACTCTCAGAAATCCGACCTAGGCTTTGCGTGCAAACGCTTAACCTCAAAACCACTGAGCCAGCATCCAGTGGTTTTATTGTCTAAACCATGACCAGTGGAAATAATTGTTGAGGTTGCTTGATACCTTAGATTGATCTAAAGCTAAACTTCGGTGGATGAGTAATGTCACTATTCTTCACACACACAGTGAAGCTCAGATTCGAGTACGTAAAAAAACTACCTAAGCCTATCCGCTTCATTAGCTGGTTAAATTTAATTCTACGGATGACTGAATGACTACCACAATGACCTTGATTAGCTGTCCAAGTTTCCACTTGTGGTCTAACAATGCTTGCATTTCAAAGTATATCAATTCACGTCAAGATTCGAAAATGTAAACGTTTTAGTAACAACTTTATGGTTCAATGATAAAGTATTTGACATGAATTCTGAAGGTTTCACGTTTGTTCACTTCCAGGTTAGTGGGTATGTACCAATAGGACTCCTTATAATCGAAAAAACAACTCCCTGGTGTTCATTTGTTTTTCAGCCAACATCAATCAGTGATGAAAGCACCATTCCAAGTTAAAGTGATACTAGTACCACTGTTTTCATTGCAAATACAATTGAACTGTTGATCGTCATTTACTAAACATTTCTCTTTTTTTTTCAAACCAGGAACCATTCGTGTTCAACTCAACGCACTATTGCAAACCGATCAAAATCATCCTAAAACACAAGAATCATTGACAGAGTTACGCAGTCTTCTAGAATCGAAGAGGATTCAATATCGAGATTCATATAGTTCACTCAAAGAATTGAAACCACGAGTGGAACATTTACAACATTCATTAGAATTGGCTAAAATGCGTTTAGTTCAAGATTTCGAATCTTGGTGGAATCAAATAAGTAATGGACAAGATGACGATTATAATTCAAATGAACAACGGAAGGAATTCATTACTCCGATTCCGTTGAATGACACAAAAAATATCAAGGTGATTAATTGCTTCGAATAACAATAATAATAATTGACTCTTTGTAACATTTACAGATGTCTTTAGTCTATTAGTATGTTTATAATTTGAGTGAACATGTTGATAAAGATCTCGTCTAATGATATCAAGAAATATTCAACTAATAAGACCCCCGTACAATTCTTCTATTGATTTATAGTTCTATACGGATAGAAGTGTGTTAACAAGTAATTACCCTCACTTACAGGGTTGACTAATCCTGAAATAGTTTTTTTTTGTACAGTTGTGGAAAACACTCAGTTGACAGGTTGAAACATTTCAATTATTTTAACAACTTGTCACTTATATACAAATGAGAAAAGAACGATTCAAGTTTGTTTGATATTTAGTATTCAATCAAACATTCTGATACACAAGGAAGAAACATATTGGGAAACTGCATGTCCTTCTTTCTGTATAGACTCTAATCACTCCCAAGAAGTCATGATGAATAAGGTTAAGTACTGTTAACGATGTTTACTGAATAACTATCCTGAACAAATCAACATAGAGTCGTCGAGATTCATGATAAATAGTTGTAAAATTATCCGCCATCTTTAGCCAACTTTCTACAAATTCGGAATTTCCTTTGTGTTAAGTGTTTTAAAATTCATGAACGCTCAAAGAACTTTATTGATGAATAATAGAAATCGCATTTTAACATGACATCCAGTACGACTTACGTTCATTCAGTGATATACTGAATTATTTTGAGATGCTCTCGCGATATCATGAATTGATTGAAGTTCGACATAAGCACAATCGAGTCCTACCTCTGCGATTCGGAGTTTAGGTATTCGCGTGCCATGCCGAAGATAGTCGGTTCGATCACTTTTGACAGGTTCGTGAATTTACACTGTTAAGGAGTCTCTCACCAGGACAAAATGGCCGTTCAGTGTCTCAAGGTTTTCAACTATAGTCTAACTAATATCAAATTGTGATTTAAACTACAGACACAATTACAAGTAATAAACTCCCTTCATATTTTTGGTTTTATTTAGCTGAATGACACAAGCTCAACTCACACAGTGGAAGTTCAAAATATATTTGAATCTTCAAATCAGTGTAAGTAACTCATAAGTTCTCACTACTTCTATAATCGTATTTGCTTATCATGTGTGTGATCAAATGTTTACAATTTTCAGTAAACTAAGAAAATCTAAAACTTCGGTTAACTTTGAAGATTGACATCTTTATCACAAAAATTTACTTCACACATTCTTTATCATTAGTAACTCAGCATCAATTGATGATATATGTAGCTTGTCCTGCAAATACCCACAGTGTGGTCATCACCTTTTCTCATACCTGACTGTACGATCTAAGTACTGTCTGCTTTTCATAACATTTTTTAAGTCCTCAGAAGTCGAACTCTCCATCTCTCTTGTTGTTGTCTGACGTTTTACTATGGCTATACTATTCCAATGCATTTTTAAAAAAGAAAAAATCGTAAGTTTTACCTGATGAGTAGAAAAAACGTACTTGAAACTTGTGAGGAATAAAAGCCTAATAAACAGGCTCATTGTCATGCATTAATTTGACCGAATATGCACTTAAAAGGAAATCACACGTTTTACGGCTTGTAGACTTTTTAAGACAATGTCACCAAGGTCAGACTGACTCACCATAGGTTAGAATTATGAGCAAAATGTGATTCACTGTTTGTTTAGGTATGTTCGAAACTAATAATCAAGGTAGCTCTGTTTCCTTATTTATTTTACAGAACGGATATGCATGCTAAATCTATTTAACAGGCCCAGTATAATTGTTAGTGCATATATGGTCCTCTGCCAGACCTTGATTTGGCCCCTAAACCTTTTCTCAACCTCTTATAGAGCATTTATAACGATCGCTCATACCCGTGATCACTTTTCAATGTAGCTAAGCAAAGTTATAGAGTAGTGAACATTTTAATACTTGTTCGAGTTGTTCAAACTGACCAAGCCTCAACATAGATCATTCGTTTAGCATAGTTTTCCAGCCCTTTAAACTTCAGTAGCAGTAACTATTCGAACTGAAAAATTCATATTCCTGTGTACAAAAACAAATGAGGTCATCCTTGGACTCCATGACTCAATCTGAGTAATAATCATGCGGCTTTTCTCTCTGTACTTACACAACCTAAAATTAATCTTATTCAAATATTGCTATCATTATTGTTATTATTAATACTAAAGAATGAAGAACTTGCTTTAAACCCATTTACAGTTTACTCAATTCAAAAAGCTCTAACTAAACATCTGATTTATTAACTAGTGATAACAGCATTTTTTTTAAATGAGCTTTTAGAAGTTATGTGGTTTTTCTTCAACGAATGACATTAAAGCAATGACAACTGAAAAGAAGAAAGCATTTAAGAATGGTTTTATCGTATTACAAGAATCTACAACAATAAGCGTTCAAAATTTGACTATTGGATGTCGTCTTTGTAGTTTGGAGTTTAAGCGTTCATTCTGCGGTTAAATCTCCTGTGGCGATGTTATGGCTGTGCTGAAAGTTTCCATACAAAGACGTAACATCTATTCGACGCTCCCAAGTTTTCACTCCTGGTCTAGCTAATGTCAGTTTTTCACTTAAAATAGGCAAATTTTACAATTTTCCCAAAAGCTTCCCATTATGACGATTCATCTTACCTTAACTAATAATAATGTTTTGTGTGCAACTTGAACTGAGACACTTTTTTTAACTTTTTATTTGAAAATAGCTTGTGCAGCAGAGTTAAAGTTGAATGAATCGTCATGTGAAAGTCCAAGGTTAAATAAACAAATCAATAACAATTCAAAGAATTACCAATTAGATCACTCAATTCCAATGACCGGTGATCCTGTAGTTGACGCAGATATTCTTACTTTTATAAGGGCTAGAGAGAAAATTCGTTCTAAGCGTGTATTAATGGACCGATAAATGAAATATCATTGTAACAAATAAGTTCTACACTTGACATTGTATTTTTTGTATTTTCTTAATAAATCAAAACTAATTTGATCAGTGTCCTAATTTATTTTAGATACTAACTAAATGATAAAGTAGGCAATGGATGCACACCTACTCGCATAACTTCAGACTGCAACTAATGAAAATTAACTTCAGTTATTAATTGATTAATTAAATTAATAATTAATTCCTAATTGAGGATCTTCTAGACTACACTAATATGATTTTCGAGTTTGATATGGTCCAACTTCAGAAACTAACTATTTAGGAGTATTCAATTGTTGCATATTATAAAGTAATTTTAGTCAGATAACTAAAATCTTCATTCTGACCTCATACAAGTTTGGAAATCGTTGGAACACTGAGCAGCTGTTTAATCCTAAGTAAATATCTCCTCGGACAGGAGTATGCGAAACATCGCTCAAAATCATATCTATGATCTTCAGATTTCATGGTCAGTGTGAGCTCAGTTACCTTTTAGATCAAAACTTCTGGGAACACTATTTCCTACTGTAGTCAATTATCAGTACAGTGTTGGCAATCGCTCAAAATATCGCTGATGTCCAGCAAGTTGAGATTTATTTGACACCAATTATTATTATATCAGTCAAATCCCATGGGGATTTCTATGTTAGTGTATTGATTATCAACTAAGCAATCTATTAAAAATGTATTCTTAAACAATTCAATGATCTTGTGCTACAGACTCTTGCATAAAATTCTACGATTCAATACACAACACATTTTCAATGAAACGCAATCATCCTATGATAATTTCTATATATTTACCATCAAATTCTTCATTAGCACGTACTTATTAACACGAAAAAGTGCATCATCCATTGATTACTATCCGTTGCTATGACCACCGTCATTGCTTCCCTTCTACTAAAAATTTCTTCCATCTTTTTACATGAAATATAGGATTGTGTTAGTCTATGTATATGTGATAGTTAGAATGCACATTGCATGGATAGAAAATACACACAAATGGTTGAATTTTAAAAAACACAAACCATTTCATTCCCAATAGATCAATAATTTCGGGAGGTGATAACCATAAATATGAATGCACAAACATGGGACTCATTAAGTTGCATATTGTGCTTCGTATTTCGTTTATTTGTTTGTATTTCCTTCGTAGTTAGCCATGCTGAATTGATTGAATATCTCTACTATAGGCAACCTACAATAAGGTCAGCCCAAATTGTGCAAAATAACCTTGAAAAGAATATGTAATCTTTTAAAGTGAATATGATGTTATTTTTATGATTGTATGTATGTATATGTGCCTAGTGAATATCGTATTTCATATTAATAAAATATATGAAAATAAAAGACACATCACAAAAATAGGAATTTCTTATTCTAGGTCAATACCATAAAAATATGTTTAGTTCAATTTCCGCTGGAATCTGCGATTTTTCGCAACTATCCTTGAACAAAAACATACAGAGAAAAAGAAGCACTATTCGTAATCAATAATGGTGCAATAATTACCTTAAGTAATTGGCTTTCAAATGAGTTCAACATAGTCATGTCTTTTTATAGTTTGAGTTATACATTGACCTTAAACCCGAAATTCAAAACCTGAAAATACTGAAGCAGTTGTATTGTTTTAGTGTATACTGCATATCAGTGACCTCGCCGCAGGTGATTGATCTTAGAACTTTAGGTCTAACGACTTGACACATAACCTTTAAACCACTCAGCCGACACGCTCAGTTGTCTAACTTTAATTGATTCATGATAATGCGAAACCTTAATTAACAGACTTCAGTGGATGACTGTTTCATTCATGACATAGTTCTGAAACATGGTAGTTCAGTTAAAATGAGTTCGTGATTTAAACTATGAAAATCTTACAGATTCCACATGTCCACCTCCGCTGAATTTAAGTTCACTCAAATACCACAGAATAAAACGTTTATGAATAAATAACTGTAAATTAAGTAACGGCTAGTACGATTAAATGAGCAACGACTAAGTTCACTGCAGTATAAACAGCAAATGAGATTGAATTTTTAAAAAATAATCTAATTGCTCGTAACCAGTAGTCACATTTTGAGAAAGAGTAACAATATAAGTTAATCAGTTTATTAGATTTATGAACTATAAAAATGCTTTGATTGTATCAAGTGGTAAATAGGTGAACACTGTAAATTATGGATGCTTAAATCAACCTGTTAATTTGGCTATGAAAATAAATCCCATAAAAGAAATGCTGTATATTAGTAAAAAAAAAGATGTTTACTTTTTAATTTTATTTTGTCAATCAAATAAATTCTTTATCATTATTTCTTTATGTTCTTACTACATGCAATGAAATTCCATTATCTAGTTCAAGCTAATTAATCATTCCATTGACATCGCTTTGCTAGACACAATAAAAAGACTTCACAACATTTCAATGAATAAAAAAAATGAAGATGTACAGCTAAAATATCCATATCAATGAAATGTTTGACAAATGTGCATTCAATACACAAATTGATTCACTAAGATATAGTATGTTGAGTTTCTCAATTTTCTTATGCTACTTCATTTACATGAATATTGTCACATAAGAGCAGAATGAATGTTTAGTAGCCTCTGGGCATATTTCACATTACCGGATTTCTTTCTAATTAATAATCAAGTTCTATTTCACGATTCATGAATAAGAATAATTTTGCACACAGTCTGTAAGATTCAAATGCATGTCAAAGTTCGTGAAAGAAAAATAGAGAATGAACGATTATGGATCTGGCATGGAGCTAATGAGGTGTTTAGATACGTACTTCTTTCCAAGAGGAGATTTTTGAATGATTCAGTGACGAGCATGAAAGTTATTATTCCATCTCAGCATGTGTTTAGAGACTTTTATACTTCTCAGCTTTGATAAAACCAAGAGTCAGAAATCTTATGAAAAACTTTACTGAGATCTAGCGTCTCTGTCTAGCTCTTCCTCACAAATGAGAGGTATGTCATTCATGATCAGCTATTCGTAAAAAAGTAGCTTTCATTGCCTATCAGTCGGTTGGTTTCGACCGTCGAACCGGTTTTCTTGATCTATATTTTCAAGATTTTTGCAGCTGTACTGACTGGTCAAGCTCAATAGGCTACAACTGGAAGGATAATATCTTTGTTTTATTTAGTGGAAAGAATGACTATCATATACTTCTTCTCTAGCTGTAGAGTATACTGATTAAGTGATATTAGAAAGTTTTCATTAGAGAATCAACTACGTAAGCTGCAGGTTACGCAAGCAATCTGGGACGCGGTTCGTCAGATCCTGTTGGCTTTCTGTATCTTAAGATTCGGTACTTCATGTACATCTATTCTGTAACATTTATTCCAAAACAAATCCGTACTCTAGAAACGTTTTGTGGGTAAATGCGTTTCCAATGAAGCTAATCATAGGCTCTGAAAAGTTTGTTAAACCAATGTTTGTATCTTATTTTCTAGTCGCTGCTAATAAACGTCAACTGAATCTACACGGTGACTCGAACACAGAATGGGTGAGAAGAACAAAACCAAAAACTTTTGATAAGGATTTATTTGATTCATTAAACAAATCTAAAATGATCTAGGAATACACTGCTTTTTATGATTTATTTACAGTTATATTTATGGAACTTAAACTACGTTGTATTTAACAGTCACAATTCAATAACCTACAATACGAACAATTATTCACTATATTACATAATTAACAATCTGTAATCTATTATAAGATGTAAGTATATGTTATTCACGATTGGAAAAGAAAGTCAGTTTCATATTCATTCTCATTCCAATTGATTAATCTAATACTTGACAAAACAGCCTTTTACTTTATCTTATCTTATTTTGTCATCTGAAATTTTACAGATTTACCAAAAATAGCATGGATACCCTGAGAGGTTTTGTTACCATAAATTATATTGGTAGAAGATACTTCGGATGCCTAACTGCAAATGATGCATGTTCAGTATCGCATCGAAGTCTATAGATTGTGGCTATACATCTAACTCGGATGGTCTTAAAAAGATGCTTTGCTCGGACGATGCTAAAACTGTTAGCGACTACCAACGTCGAGTACTTTCGTTAGTACTAACCCTTGATGAACCAAGTCTCATTTTCTTTGGTATCGACCAAGTACCAACGGTTACATCACGTAACTGTAGAGATGTTTTTTTGAATGTCTTGATAAATCCTCAACTGAAGCTACCGAATGGGATATAATTTTCTGTTATGTTAATACTTTAACACTATTATATCAGCTTGCAAAAGCCAGAACAAGCGGGTGTATCATCAAGGTACTGCAGTGAAATTAAGCATGATTACTGAGTTACCACTTTTATCAGGCGTCAGGATATACTACATACAACTGAAGTAAATCAAGAATGTTTAGGATTTTGTATTAATGTACATCCGATATTTTCAACAAGAGCTAAGAATAAGATGAATTTCGATAGTATAAAATAAAACGAGTGAATGGGTGACTTTCTTGTAAGATCATACCAGTTAATAAAAGTGTGAAACCATAAATTCTACGTTTCTAGCAAGAGTATTTCCAATAATACAGGTTGTAAATTCGGTTATTCTATGAACATATATATATATATATATATATATATATATATATATATATATATATGAAATAGGCAGAAATATTATCACTTGCAAAGTTAGTGAAAAATAATCGACAGCTGTTTACTCATATTTTTTTATGCTAGAAATATTTTGAAAACAAATTCACTGAACCACTTCTCTGTTCAGTCTTCAATCCTTGGATTATGAGTTAAGTTACTGAATATACTCCGCTTGTATTCATGGTATATCGCTGTAATACTCACAGTTTGTTTATTGGATACTGTGACATTGCCAACCTTATTGTCTATGATTTACACTTTCAATCATTATTTTAAAATTAAACACACTCATTTATTCCATCGTAGTTAAATATGAAGATTCCTTTCGCTTGCTCCATCAGCAACACTATCCTGATTAATTTGCTTTAGGTTGTTGATTAACGTTGTTGAAAAGTGTAAATGATTAAAGATTTATCATGGTGTATTCATCACTTTCCTGTAGAGGTAAAACGCCCCAATTTCATGTTTGTTAGTTTAGTATTCCATTTGACTACACAGTGAAACATTTAAACAACAGTCAGAATACTACTGTTTATCCATTGAAATCCACTTAGAACATGTAGTGATTTGTTTGATTTGCCTATGGAGAATTCCTTGTATTATCACTTCACTTGTTGTTGATAATGTTGACATTCAATTTAATGTTTGCTGTGTGATCTGAAACGAACGTATATTTTATAAAGTGTTTCAGGCTGCATCAGTTCAGTTTAGTTTGTATGAACTGGGGAATGAATGAAAGATACAGAAAGGCATTATGGGAGATTTTTAAAAAAATATTTTGTAATAATTATTGTTGATATCAGTATGAGTAAACAGTAATGAAATTATTTCAATAAATTAGTCACTTATGGCAATCAGAGAAGCTTTAAAAAAGTATTTGTGAATTCATTCTTGATCATTTGTTATCGAGCACTATCATTCAAAATTGATTTACAATGCATCAACCTTGCTCATAATCAAAGTGTCATTTACCCTAAGATTTGTTTTTCGATCATTATCTACTACTACTATTACTACTACTGCGACTAATACCAGTAATAGTTCGAATTATCTTCACTGCTATGATTGTTAAATACGTAGCACTTGATAGTATTCATCGTAATCTCTTGTTCTTTTTATTCCGAAGAATTCTCCGATCCTAATGGAGCCTTGTGCTACTTTGGCTAATATCAGTGCAACTCCTTTTATGTTTATGTGTGTGTGAAATATATACTTTCACTTAAACACCATACAACAATAGATCAGTTGAATTTGTTCTTTTCTGTCCAAGCTATATGCACAATGAGTTCCACTTATTCCAGGCACCAACAGTTTGTGTTCGTTTATTTCTTCTTTGCCTGGTCGCCTACACTGCTCAGACATCTCATATACTCAGAGTAAATGTTGATTCGTTTGTCAAAAGGAGGACTGGCCCCGTGACTTTCTAATCATCTGCAACTAGAGAAAATGAAATGGAAGTGGAAAGCACGGAATAACGGAAGCAATAATTATTATAATAAATTAATCAGATCTACTATAATTTAATGATCTACTGTTCGGTTTAGATGCTATTGAAACTTGTTGATTGTACAAAGGATGGCGTTGGTATTTAAGCTTCTGCAAGTAGAGAGGCTTAATCGATGCACTCAGTAATAAAATTGATTAAACATATAAATTTCTTATGATTTCACTTATGGAATGGGTTTTACTTACAGGTGAAGGCATTTTCAGAGAAGTAATCATTGATGCAGCGAAAAAGGATGTTAGTGATTTATTTCATGAACAGATTGTGGTGAATTATTCTTTAGTCTAAAATTTACTGTCGAAGTAATTATTCATCCAGAGGGAAGATAACATAATACATAGCGCATACGAAAACATCAATGATTATTCCATTCATAGTGTATGTCAATATCCGATCATTTCGGTAGTAAATCGTAATTACTAATACATGGTGGAATGGTCGTGAATTTAAGCCTTTTATCTACTGAAGCTAGAAATGTTTATCTCTGGATACCAACGAAGTGGTCTAATGGCTAATTGTTCTCTGTCGGTTCTCAAAGTTCTGGGTTCGATCCATCACATGGTTACAGGTTAGATCTGTTGTGTAGTTTAGGACTTGTTCAGAACAGCTGTCCATTCCTCTCTGATTTCAAAGCACTCTAAACTGAGTTTTGCCTCTGGATATTACAACCTAGATATCACACTATGACTAAAACACTTCTGGAAAAAAACCACATCAATCTCTTCTAAATAACTGTCTGCATCAATTTTTGACTTGAATAAAGAAACAACTGTCAGCTGCATTATTGCCAAGTGTTGACAAGCGATCTCACGTTAGAAACAATCTATTCACTCCGTCATCAGTTTGTGAAGATTGTTGATTTTGTAGTTAACTTATAACTCAAACTGTGATTAATCCAAGGACGAATGTAGAGACACTGACAAATTGGTCATTTTATCTTAATTGGGAACTATTCAACATTACATATCATTGAGTGACTACGGGTGGGAGTTTGTTGATCAAACATATATCATCAGGATTCATTTGATCGATTAGTTTGAATGTAGTAAAAGTTTTCGAGAATGTTGATTAATGCGTTGTATGAAATAAAAAAGCTATCCATTTTACATTTAGATCTGACTATATTTTGTAAGCTACACTAAGAAAGTTTTCAATTTTACCTCATTTTTTAAAACTTCCTACTGTTCTTTCAAAAATCAATGTTTTAGTTTAAGACGCTAGTAAAAACAGTTTATACAAGGCAACGCATTTCTTCTAATAACAAATTGGGAACCAGCCTATTCGCTTACAGATTGAAAGCGATTCTTCAAACATCTGAAAAGTAAAATGTGAAATTGTGTTACACCCACGTCTATTGAAATATTTGTGACAAGAACGTCAATATTAGCATAAACATGGTGATCTATTAAATTTATTTTTCTACAGTCAACATTTGACTGAAATGTATTTTACAGATCATTCCACACAAAATTGTGAACAGTTTAAAAATTGCTACAGAGTATTTCAGTGTCAGCCGACACATACGTACATTTATATATCGATTTAATTTTACAACACCCACAATCTTTAGAAATAAAAGTGCGTGGGATATTTTGAACTAAATTTATAGGTTAACTAGATTGTGCTTCTTTAGAGTAACCAATCTGTGCGTTATAAATAAACTGGGAAAAACAATAACAAACTATCTTTTACACACCTTTGATTACTTCACTTTTTCTGAGGAAATAAGTTGTGTCATAACTTTTCAGTATTTCGGTAATTTGGATAAGGTAATTTTGCTTCCTTGAATTTCGTAAACGATTGTAATGGCATCGCCGGACGTTGGTATGGCGTATCAAATGCCTCCTCAAATAATTCCTCAAAATAGCAATGTGGCAACGTCAACTAAAGTGCTTAATCTTTCGAGAGGTCAAGTTAACTTGGCTCAACCAGTTCATGGTGTCTACCCTGCATCAGTACCCGCACAACAGTCCGCCCAAACCAATGCCTATAGTCATTCAACGCCTCAAAGTCAATCCCCTTCATTTTATGCCTATCCTGAACAGACAGGAATTGAACAACCTGACAACAATTTTAATAGAACAGGTTTTCAAAATTTTGCTCAACCTCAAGTTTTTACAGTTGGTTCGAGTCAAGCTTCTCAAATACAGCCGACTCAGTATCGGCAGCCAATACAACAATCTCAGCCACCACAACAGTATCGAGTTATTGCTACTCCTTTACAAACCACGAACATGGGACAAGCGAATAATTACCATGCAGGACAGAATGTTTCGCAACCTTTTTACAATACTCAACCCAATGTCGTTTATTTCGATCAGTCTGGAAAATCACAGCAACAGTTACCGCTTCAGCAACCTTACTATGCAGAAACACAACGAGAGGCAGGTCATGTGGTGTACGCTAGACCAACCAGTCAGTCTTACGCTCCTCCGGGAAATGCCTATCCAACTCAAGCACAGTTTACACCACAGGCTAACACATGCACAATAGCGTATCAGCCAACCAATCAGCAGACACCTTCTCCCCAGCCAATCACGATTCACCCCAGTCAACAGGTTAATCAAACAAGCGAGCAGAATTTTATTCAGGCACCAAGGTTACAACAAGTGTCAAATCCTTTGCCACCTTCAACACCTTCACAGTTTCAATCACAAAATCAGCAAGTTTATCCTCAAATTCAATCAAAACCTCAACAATCATCTCAACCTTACTTTTCTCAAACTAATTTTAATCAAACTGAACAGAAACCAGCACAAGTTTCATACTCCACTTGGAGTGGACAAACTAATAATAATCAAGTGGTTGATAACAGAGAACAGCAGAAACATTATCAATATCAACAACAACAACAACAACAACCAGTGCAAACTTATCAACAATTTCAAAGTAATCAATTAAGCGCACAGAGCCCTTTACCACCGACTGTATCTAACCAAGTATTTGATCAACAAGTACCTAAACGTATTCCTTCTGGAGGTCAGTCAAGACAAGTTAAGGTTAAATCATTGGTAAGTAGTAACAGTGTTTAATTTTAATGATCGAAACTATTTGTCATTCAATCTGTTTATTGATAAGTCGATATCAGTGATCTTTTGTGAATTAACTGTAAATTGTGAAAAGTTTGTTGGTCAAAATATTTGTTCCAATGATATTTCTCTGTAGTAGATAAGTTGGTACTGTTATCATTTTTGATCGGAAATGAATATCAATTTTGTTCACATGAATTATTTCATGATTATTCTTTAGCAATATTGTAAGGTAAATTTCATTGATTAATTATTTGTCTAATGGCTATTCCACACTTCAGGACTTATTATTTTTGAACACTATTACCGTATCCGTTACAAGATAAATACAGCCTATTCACTAATTTTATTCAGTTGAATAACCAACCATGTGTTATTGATAATCATTTGTTTGAAAAAACAAATGTGGTTAGGGGTGCTCGATTTAGATGGGGAGATAATTAAATGATTGTGAAATTTGAGAGGATATAAAGAGAAGAATAAGAACAGTTTATACTAGCCTAGATTGACTTCAGTCGGAATTTGTCTTTTATTTAACTGTATCAATCATGTAAAAATAGGTATTTCAATCATTATACTTTCAAATACTTACAAACATATATGGATCAATTCGTGTATTAACTAATCAATCATTCATTTGAGTCAAAGTCCGATTGATGTCAGGCTAAACACCTGTGACCTATTTTGACAACATTCACCATATCTGTTAAACAATTAAATTCCCAGCATGAAACTTATTTTGTGAAATGTCAATTAATTGTTTTGTCGTAAAACACTCGCTTTTATTACTAATCAGTGAATGTAACTCTATAATGTGAATGTCCAAGATTACAACCAGTTGATAACTTGCTCAAACTCTATTCAGTCAGTTGTTTTTTCGCAGAATAATTTATGCAAAGAATTAATGTTTTAGGGTTATTCAATCATCAGTGCCTTATATCTTATGCTAACAAAATGAGAACATTCATTTAAGACATAGTGGATTATTTTAGCTGAAACACACACGATGTGATGGGTGATATTTATTAGTCTGTTTAGACTATTTACATTAGTTTCCTAATATGTATCCAATTTCATCCACATACTATAATTCAGTTAGTTCTATAACATGATATTATGCTAATAAGGATACGTTCGAATGAGTTTCAAAGGACGAATTCAAAAAATGGCGAGATTAAAATAGTCAACATTGTTAAGGATAAACTGGATAAAGAATAACTTAACTCTGCGATGAAATAGTCCCACAACTATACTGTCTGATTAAATATCAATAATTGTTTAGGAGAATGAAAAGAAAAAATTCATTAGCATAATACAATTGTAAATCTGATGTGCACTTTAATATTCTAACAGTTTCATATGTCTTGATGAGCTAATTCAAATCGCTAAATATTCCGCATTGAGAGTCTAGTACTTGATCTGATTTCATAATTGTCTACAGGCGATTTAATATGTTCCGGATTCCTGCAACAAACTGTTCGATTTTCAATTCAATTAGTTTCACTCCCTTTTTTACAGTATTACTGGATTTTTGTATGTTCGCAAGAATGGCACCAATGAATAAGCTAAGGCCCCTAGGCCATCTCATTACCTCATTATCCACTTAAGGGAGATCTTCTTAAACAAGACAGCTGACGTCCCACAGTTTACTTCAAAAACTTAGACCACTGTGATCTCCAAGTCTCGTTCATGTGCCATTCAAGTATACTCAGATTAATTTTTGAACACTTCGATTTCTCCTTTAATCTGCACACTAAATGTTAGTTCGATTACTGTCAGTTACGAGCTTGGTATCTGCGACTGGTACGATAGCTAATGCTGTCAGGTGGCAGTTCTGCAAAGGAAAATTTTCAGTTGTTGTGGAATGTTGAAGGTTCGATGACTGTTGTAGCCTCCACTACATATGTTTGCTTAGTTGGAACAAACAGTCTCTTTGAACAACATTTGGTTGTATTTGTCGAAATACTAATAGATCTGAATCTCCTTTATCAGCCATGATATATTACGAATTTAAGGTTTCTTCTATTTTTTGAAGGTGCACAAACACGGGAATAAGTAGTTTTATCGTTTGTCTGAATGCGAAATCCAAGGGAATAAGTTTATTGAATTTTGTATTATAAATCGTCCAGATGAGTAAACAATAAGGGTGGGTAATTAAATGTCTCCATCGACTAGAAAGATTCAAGTCGAAGTTTTCTTACGGTTCACTATCAAATGAAAAGAAATCCTACTCTCTGACACTTTTGTTCAACTATTGGATCCAATGAACTTGGACGTGAATAGAGAGCCTAATGATTTTATCATATGATCCGAATCATGGATAACAATTGAACTACATAATTCGACAGACGGGAAGATATCTTTTTCATGTGTTGCTTCTGTTCATAAAGCTGCTCGATCTTACATTTTACTGATTGATTTTTCCTATTGCTACCTTACAACTTTCAACGGAATATGTTTATGCTCCTTTATGTGTTTTGTAACAGCGTCATATTTCTTATGACAGTGCAATTCACTCTTCGCAATACGATATTCTTTACATCTCTAAGTCTTATTAAGAATGAATTTTTGCTCTCTGAAGGTGTAGCCACTCCATATCAGGGCCGTCGTTAAACTTCGCATATTCTGATTCTTGGGATGTAGTTCGTTACCTTTATTTATATTTCAAAAGCAAATTAAATTTTAACCAGTTTTACTTGCAGTCACATTAGATACAATTAATTAATCCTAATTTAGTCTAGCAGTTTCAGATTTTCTGTCAATCAATTCATTCTTAACTATTCAAAATGATGCAAGCGTAATCAGTTCGTCTTTGTATTTTTCAAATGACAGATTTTTCAATTGTTACTCCTCTCATATTCACCAATTAATGTTATTTCTCTGAGTACACAAATAAATTTAAAGTCCTTATCCTTAACTGGAATAGAAATGTTCACTTCTTCAATGTATATTAAACTGTTTACTTTAAATCCATGCGTATTAATGGTCCTTAGTTCATTCATAGTTTCATTGCCAAAAATGACAAAATAAAAAATAACGAAAATTTACAGAATATGTAATTGTCGTTATTACTAAATAAGTCCATCAAATTACTTCAGTTAACTGTATCTAAACTTGTATCAACTGGTTTCATCATAAAATGTCCATCCTAGTTTCCTTCTATTATAGTAGGGTTTCTGCATCCAAATTCAGTGAATAGTCTTATTATTAATCTGATATATCATGTCAGTATGGACAGTTATCATGGGGTAACGAAAGATTTATGCCTATAATCCAATAGTTATTACATTGTACTGCATAAAAAATCTGCTGAACAAAACCTAGAAGAAGCAAATAACTGGGCAGACGTTATCATATAGTTCAGGATGGATTAAGATTGGAGATGTACATCTTTTACATAATTAACTTTATTCCACTCATATATCACAACACATGAGTCAGTTCTTTTCACGTTGATATGCTTTAATAGCTTTGGACAATAAAGTTGTGAATGTTTTTTGATAACTTTCGTTTCATTTAGCCAATGCGTAATTCAGTTAGCATAGATGGCATTGAATCATCTGGTCCACCACAGTTTGTTGTCCATCCCGTTGGTCAACTAACCATAGCAGAAGGTGAACCAGCTAATATATCTGCTCGTGTACGTCCAGCTGGCGATAGTACACTAATTGTTGAATGGTATAAAAATGGAAAGCCATTATCAGCAGGTATGTAGCTGTATTATACATTCTCATCATATGAAATTCTTCCAATCTATCATTTGATTTTTACAAATATTAGATAAATTTATTATATGATGCATTTGTATTGGTTGTTCGAATCCTGCCACTGATGCTTAGGATTGTCATCCTGTGCATCCTGTAAGGTTACAAGCATTGTTGGAAGAGGTGGATAGTAGCTAAGTGGAGAAGGTGATGATGTTTGCGGAGTATGGTAATGGGTTCGAGTGACGTAGTGAGCATTAAATCCCAAGAGCATGTACATCTAGCTGATGAGTCCCGAATAGGACGAAACGCTTTCTGGAATTTGGTACTGTCCACTTCTGGTAATTTCTCATTTGACAAGATATTTCAGGTTTATATTCTTAAATAGTAGTTTGGGGATCAGCCAACTAATCGTTATCTTTTTGTTAATAGGCGGAATACAATCACTGATTGTGGACAGACAAACTAGAAAACAAAATATTCGCTATTTTTTCAAAACGAAAGCATTTCATGCAATTGCAACTTAACCTGATATGCTAAGACAGCACACTGATTCACTGATAATCATCATGTGCTCAATATTCACAGGCTTCGAGAGGAAATTCTCAGAGTGCCTGCGGGAAACCGTGATCACCGGAGTTCAACCGTATTGTGGAATGATTGGATTTGAACATTGACAATGCTACAAGCCGACTCAATAGTCCTAAATTGTTCAAAACTAAGGTCTTTGGTTCGATTCCGTGTAGTGCCATCAGGGTCATTTTAATGTTTATTGGTTCCATGTCAGGATGAAGTAGATGTCAAGTGCTTCCTGGTTTAACATAAGGAGGATTTATTTAAATTCATCAATGGTTTGACCGCGAAAAATTGAAAAAAAAATACAACATTTCCTCAGTTTTTGCATTCAATGAGATGAATATGAATCGTTTCACATACTTTAAGTTTCATATTAATAAACCTGTGTTATCTTTTTTGTCAAGCTTCTCGTTTCACAACGACATTCGATCGAGGCTATGCTGTACTGGATTTTCTGTATATGAATGAGGATGATAACGGTGATTATTCGTGCGTGGCAACTAACAGTCAAGGGCAGGATCAATCAAGCAGTTGTCATGTGACGTGAGTAATTCTAATTATCTTTTTCAATGAAGTTTCTGTTTCATTTTATTTTCGTGTTCTATATCTCTACATGACAATAAAAGATGCGACAGGAATGTAGTCAATCTAAATACTGACAAAATATTCACTAAGTTACACATACAATAAAATGATTATGGTTAACCATTGAGCTGATAATTCAATTGAATGATAAAAACTTCACATTCTGAATACTTGAAACAGTTACTGGTTTTAAAGTTTTGACAACAAAAAATTTAGTTTTACCATTTATGAGATGTCGTTTTCATAATTACACCAGTGAAATAAGTTACATTTCAATCACAACTGTTTGATTACTCGTATCAGTAAGATGTATATTACTCATTTAATGCTAACAGAGCTACTTTCATTCGTGCAACTCTTCAATTAAATGTTTCGAAATGAAACGATTTGATGAATAAACGTTAAAGGCTCAATACGAATGAATAAGTTCATTGTGATAAATGTTGTTTCATCATAGTTTACTGTGTCATCAAACACTGACCAACGGAAAGTGAATTCAACAATTTAGGAATCCTCAGTTTCAACGCCTAAGATTAGATTCTATTTGTATTTATGAGTACAGGCTTTTAATATGAGTCAAAAACACAATTATTTGGTTGATTTAATAATATTTCATAACAATTTCAGCATAGTGATGACACTCATATGTTTGTAGATATGATAATCAAGGTGTTTCACATAAACTGACTGTTAATTCAACTTCGTTGTAAAATGTTGACATGCTTGTAATATTCCAATAAGAGGGAAAATAATTTCTCAACATCACTCAGATTAGTGTAGTTTACTTCATCATTCGATAAATAACTGTATTAATGTAATAAATTAACACAAGTTTAGATAATGCAAAAGAAATAAAGCAAAAAATTAATGAGCACTATCAGATCAACATCATGTTATTCTGGTCAAAGTGATTTTTGAGCAAACCATGCTTGCTTATTTATGCGAACGATAGTAGGTGTAATTGATAATATATATTTTCTGTTGAGAGCAGTAGGATTTGACAATCTATGAAGACCCTATAAAGTTTTTTTTCATTACAAACATTTGCTTATCTATGTTCGTTACACATCATGTAAGTTGCACAGTGTAATAAAAATCTAGGGACAACTGACTGGTCCCCATTAGTTTTATCCATCAAAATAGGATTTTGAAGACTGGTGAGTTTCATTGAAATCATCAATCGATCAGTACTAGACCACCATTAGAAACCGTGAAGCACTGGAGGGCCGTTTCGCCCAAGTAAGATACTCATCAGGAACGCATATTTACACCCTCGAAAATGTGAATAAAGCCCAAAAACTTAGGTCTCTCAAGCGAATGCTTAACCTCGGCATCCAGCAGATTTAATGTTCGAATTCAATCATTCCATGATATTGTGCAACCATCATCCATAGTCCTTGGTGGAAAACTGTCTCACAACCGATACGGTTGAACTCCACTCATCACGGTTTCTCACTAGGAATCTAAGAACTTCCTCTTCACGCTAGTCACTAGTGAGGACATGATAATTAACTGTGTAGTTATGGAGATAGTTGTCTTTCATAGTTTTGGCAAGCTTCGTACTAGTGATATGCGTATGGAACTTTACATAGTGTTGGCAAACTCTTTTTTACGGGTGATTATTTTGACGAATAATGAACTCCAACATGTCAATTTAACGATATATGAGAGAGATTAATATTGTGCTGGCTACTAATTATTTTGTCAACAGGTTTTCTAATTCTTTATTACGAGGGGAGGATGTGTTCAGTTGTTTTCAGTTATTCAAAGAAATATATGAAAGATAAGAATGTTAATACAGTTTTCGTAAATTAATTTCATTCCCTAGTCTGCATTAAATGAGATTTTGAAATTATACAAGTTGATGAATCTCACTGTTTCATGAGTATTATTTCCTCTCAGGAGAATTTATCTAGTAATCTTCACTTGTTAATCGTTTTAGTTATTTGATTAATTATCAGAATATAAGTGAAATCTGTTTTATTTGTGCAGGATTATACCAGAAGAAGGAGTTGTCACTGAAACTCAATTGCCAGAAGAATCAATGATTGCAAATCTAGCAATGATGGAAGATCATTTAATAAGAAATGGACTAGATCGAGATAATCGTTATCATGATGAAGTACGTCCAGCACATCCACCAACTTTTCTTAAACCACTTGTACCACAAATTGATCTTCGTGAATCAGCTCCGGCACATTTTGAAACATATGTAGAACCAGTTAATGATAATTCACTGACAGTTGAATGGTATAAAGATGGAAAACCTGTTAGCATGGGTAAGTATAATTATACTGTTCTGGGTCAAGTATGTAACGTAAACGTCTACATAGAATAAAGTTTCATTCAAATAGACTCTTTTAGTTGCAAATATCTACGTAGAATTATTATTGATAATTTCAATTTTTTTTCTAACTTGTATTGTAATTCAGTAGATTTCATTTTCAATAAGTTTTTATTAAGAAGATTTAGGAATTCTACTTTTTTTTAACTGAACAACGTAATCTTTAAATTACATGCCGAATTTAAGCAATGAAACAATGAAATTGTTGGAGAAATATTTCGCTTTTGGCATAGTTTACACTTTTGAACTTAATGCAATATGTCAAATTCTTGAGATCAACGTAATTAAAGCTAAACTAAATTGGGTAGAAGACTGAACTAAAATAGTGAATAGTATAAAAACACCTGATATTGTATCATGAAAAAGCTGAGCAGTAGGAAGTTTCTTTTTAGTGCCTTCCTGTTTCTGAAAACTCATCTTTCTGTTACCTGCATCACTCAAGGAAAGTATACTTTACATCCATACAGGTAACGTAGTCTTGCAGTTATGCATATCGGGCAATACACATAGGTATTCTCACATCATGGAAGGGTCAAATAATATCACTCTACTCATCCGTATTTACTACAGCTTTCTTACACTTATGTAATACATTCATAACACTAGAACATAAGCCTGCGACCATGAGCTTCATAGAATACATATAAACATAAGGACTTTTAAGAAAGGATTGATGGTCACCTCTACCTTAATTTGTATATGCTACACCAATTTTTGTTTTGATCAGATCATTCTAGATAAGCCCGGCACGTACCCCATGTAAATACTCACATCACCCTAATACACTGGCTAAGACTCATGCAATTAGCTTATAACAGACTGTTTGTTTTCACAGCAAATACTAAATACTTTATAGGTTTTATTTTAATACAAAAAAAACCTTTCTGAAACATTTTTTATACAGGTTGTCGTTTTAATGCTGTTTTGGACCGGGGATTTGCTTCGTTAGATATTCATTATTGTTATCCAGAAGATAACGGAGCATACTTTTGTGTAGCACGGAATGCAGCAGGACAAGTACAAAGCAATGTAGTAGAATTACAGTGAGTAATTGACATTCAAGTGCTTATTTGCATGAATATTCCTGTTAAGTGACAATATCCATGATTCTATTAACTGGTAGTTTGTGCTTTTTTAGATAGATATGTAATTCAATAGCTCGCGAAACTGCGGGAAAAAATAAGATCTGGATGAAGTTTAGTTTTTCAGGCTTAATAGTGTGTATCGTATTAGTATCCATAACGCAGAATTGATAGGTATTGTGACAGAGAACAGTGCAACTGAGATTCAAAACAGAAAAATAATTTTTTCAGCATGAATGATATTTCATAGCTTGAATTTGTTCAATCCATACTGATGAAATTTGTCGAATCACTAGTTACACATCGATCACGGTAAAAACGATTTAATTTTGTAGGACGATGTTTTACAACAAATAGATTCTTTGATCGACTTTCAAAATATTTTAATTAATAACCACTAAACGAACTGCAGTTTATCTAACAATAATGTTTCACTGAACACAGCTATCACCGGAAAATTTTTTTAAGTGTCTGTTATTTCTCATCAACTGTACGTTGTATTTAATTTATTGAGTTCTAAGCATTTTTTCAGTGAATTAACTCATAATCAGTGTATTTATGCCCTACATCGATTGTAATTCTTCACATTCATCATACAAACCACTCAGTGTTGCCTATTCTACTTCATTGACTCGATAACTGAGGCGATTGTTTAATATGATATTTTGATAGTTAAATATTTCCATTGAATATTATATCTCATGCGCTAACTATTCATTGAATTTCCAATTACAGATGTAATGCAGAAGAACACATTGTTACCAGTTCAGTATTATCAAAAGAATCAATTTCATATCTTCAAAGTTTAGATGCTTGGGAAAGTGATGCAATGGCAGGGTAGGTTTTACATAAAGACTTTTTAACAATACAACTACAATATTATTTTGTTAATGAAATTCTAGTATACACTAGAATAGATATTTTAGTGATCTTGATCAATTCTATAGCGAATGAATGATGAAGACACTAGTAGTGCAGTATCGATCCTACTACTTAAACTGCAAATATATTCTGTTAACAATGCTAACACGATGTTTATGATCAAAATGCAAATATCAAAATGATCAGGTAGTATGTATTCACACATTGAATATGGAAGATAACATAAGAGGAATTTATGTGAAGTGGTGAAGACTGAAATTTACAAGCGTTAGCAAAGCGCAAAATTAGCAATACAGAGAACCTGCAAGGAGATAGACACTGGATAGGATAACAAAAAATGCACATAAAAAAACAAGGACACAGATTTAAGAGATACATAAAGTATTGGTCAGAATTATAAATTAATAATACAGTTATTAAGACTGTTAAAATGACTTGATAATCATCCATAAAATGAAGTTTCACTGTGCTAAGTGTGTTATCTCTTTAGAATGATCGTCTATCAGTCACCTGCAACGTAGAACTTCGTACGTACGTAAATCAATTCAAATTGCATTACCACATTAGCACATAAATGGAGTTGTTTATTCTAATTCCACGATAGTGGAGGTAGTAGAATTATTAGTGGTAATCAAAAAGATTACGGATCAAAGATATTAGTCGAGAGGTATCAACCAGTTAAATTAATTTCAAACGAGAAAAAAAGCCATAAGGTGTTCAGAAGATTAGAATTCCAGAGAGAAGACTAGGAATGGATGCACCTGCACCAGTGAAAGGATTTTCAGCCATGTCATTCAAGTTCATTAACCCCAACCTGCCAGTCTACACCTACAAATATGACTCAGTTCAGTAGTCGGTCACTTCATGGATTCGCGTCATGTTTTGATTTGGCCTCCCCTAGCTTTCTTCCAACCTACCACTACATCAGACAACATCGCTCATCCAGTCACTCAGTGATTAGGCATACGTAACACAAGTCCCATCCACCTAAACTGATGAATATTTACTACTTCATCTATTCATATACCATCCTCACCTTATACCCTTTTCCAAACAACAGCATTGCTTACTCGATTGTCGAAGGATATAAGAGCAATGTTTCAAACACTAGTATCATACGAATATCATCTTGCATTACTGACCATGTTTCGCAAGCATATAGTAGGACAGAGTGGTCTGATGTGCAGTAGGCTCTTCCCTCGGTTAATAGACGGATATCTCGCCTACGCCATAAGTCACACAGATCAACACACCCAACTACTTCATTCCACATCACTAGTTCGTGTGTTGACACAACATAATCCTGAAGCAACATTTCGCATTTCGAAAGGAAGAATCACAACCGGAACACGCTCTCATTATTGCTTGAGGTGGTCAGAAGACTCTACATTTTGTCCAGGTCTTCATGAAACAGAAGTTTACCATCTGCATATTCTGAGTCAAAAAGTCAGTCTCTTGGTAGAAGGTCAACTCCTGAAAATCAGTCAATGGCACTGTTCTCTCTAAAAGCATTTCAATGACAAAGTTAAATAAGAGTGGAGCAAGTGAATAGCCCTGACGAACGCCACTTGAGGTAATCAATTCTGATGATATTTCGCGTGAGGCTCTGACTAGACCATTGGTGTTTGATTAGAGAGCCTATATTAGGTTAATGTACTTCTTCGGTACACTTCTGAATGACGGATATTAACACAGAACCTCACGATCAACAAAGTCGAACACTGCCTCTTAAGGTTAAGGAATACAACAATTGTCAGCCATCACAATCTGTGTCTGTGTTTTAAGATTGCAGAATTTTTGAATACTTTCTTTGTTGCAAGATGATATTGAAAATAAAACATCATCAAATTACTGTGAGTATAAAGAATCCCTAATGATTGCTTGTCAGACAATCCTTTTTATCTGCCCAATTAAGATCGCGAACTAAATTTATTCTTTAAGAAGCTGTTAGCGTTATAAACTAGAAGGATTCTCTTGACGATTGGGAACTTATCAAAGGACACATAATCTTGTCAATTACGATAAACCGTTAAATATATGAAAATACAATCATGTATCAATAATAGTTATTATTGATAGAATGAAAATATTAAGAATTCGGTGAAGATAATTTTATTTTCAATGTAATCATTTACTTCGGCTGTATGTTCGTATTTGTAACTGTTTGATAAATATATATATATATATATATATATATATATATATATACTGCTGGTCCCAAGCCTGGATAAAGGAGGAGGGTTGGACCAAGGGTTGGCCACCCCGTCCCGCAAAACACTAACTAGTTAAAAAAACGTCAACAAGAAAAAATATTTCAAACCATATAAACTCTGCTCTGGGAGTTAGGAGGTCTTCATTTTGAAAGGTCATGACGTCTTATGATGAAAGCCGAGTTCCTTCGAAAGTCATGAGACCGACGCCCCTTCTGACAACCAGAACCCTTCCACGTTGTAGGAAGCCGGGAATTAATATCCACCCTCATACCCATAAAGGCATACGAGACCGAACCGGTCACAATCAAATCCTTTCTACACCTCCTAATAACTCTTTTATCTCCTGTCTCCTTAGAATATATCAATGCTGGAAAAATGAATTTCAAACATCCTTCTTTCTATACTAATGCAATTTTTCATGGCAGTTTTATGACCACTTTCACAGCATAAAATCTCCGCGTGTGGTTTCTGTTTTCGATGGAACTGGTAATCACAAATGACACTGTGGGAAAACGTTGAATGCTCGGATTTTCGGACTCTGTTCTTGAGCGCTTCCAATGGTGGAAAGTCTGCTGGACAAAGCATACTTAAAGATTATTCACTTGTAACAAGGACAATTTTCGAATTTGAATGTTCAGTAGGAATACATTGATTCCTTGAGCTCACTGTTATCTAAATGTGCATTTGATTATAAATTATTGGGATTTATATAAAGACTGAATCCATAATAACCAGTAAGATCGTTTTTTAGAATGGTTGATTTTGCCGGACAATAGATATGAATAATTCAAAGGGATAGATTGTAACTGACAATGGAATAAATGACACTTATTTCTTTCTCTTTGAGACCTAACAGGAAGACGTACCTGTTTCCAATTGCCAACACTGGTAAATTCAGCTAACCAGTTGAGAATAAGATAGCTCTCATGCCGGATTTCTCATTGAGCTGTATTTCATTCTATTCTAAAGCAATTTGTAAAGAATGACTATATTTTGTCAGTAATCACAAGATGCACATATAGATCTTTCCTAATATAATAATGATTATATAAATAATCTTTATTGTTGTTGTTATTGTCATTATTATTATTTTCCCTACATAGTTATGATAATGTGAAAAAAGACGAAGAAGAACCACCTTGCGCACCATCATTTGATATTCTGCCTATTTCTGTCACTGTTACTGAAGGTTCACCAGCTAAATTCATTGTTAAAGCAGGTGGTTATCCAAAGCCTAAAATATTCTGGTATATTAATGGGGAATTGATGGCTTCCGTAAGTCTAGTCGATGTTTAAAGTTGTATGAGTAATTCATAGAATGTTCATCGAGTCTTAATGAGAAACACAATAGAAAAAAATATCCATTAGCTCAGTTTGTATTTTTTTATATTCTCTTATGAGAATATTTAGCATTCTTCTACGAAATGCAAAAGGAACGGAATGTTTTTAAGTATTTCTCAACAACTGACTTATCTTGAACATCTGAGAAATACAACAAATGTTTATGAAATCTGTGTATAAATGCATTGGGGTTTTGGAAGGTGTATTACAAATTTCTTTATTCCCAAGTAGAAATAATTAAGCTATGAAATAATGCATATCATTGTATGATTTTAGATATTTAGTAAAAGCTTACCCATTAATCCTAGTATCATGAAACAATTAAATTACAACAGATCTCTTATAGGAAGGAGACGTTAAAATTATAATCGGCTGATGTCTGTTGTCTATCGTAAATACCTCAATTAAAATGTCCGAGACATTACTTGATTAGGTTTCTATGTCGTTTTAATGGATCATGTGTCCGCCAAAAACTACGACTAGACTTTATTTATACCCACCAGCTAGGTATGGAACTTCGTTCAAATTGAGTTCACCCTCATAATATTAAGACGTCACTTAAGTTGAAAGCCAGGTTGGAACAGGATTCTGAGAGGTTGATCCACACAGAGATGGACACCATAGAATGGGTGATCCTGTAGATGAAACAAAGTGCTTGTTAGGATTTTCAAAAACTCATTTGCTATAGATTAAGCCTGAAAACAAATTTTGATGTCAACATTAAATTTCTATCTTAAACTAACTATTCGTTTGTCTTGGTTAAATTCTTATGATAATTTCAAGTCGCCAATGAGAATACTTGTAGCCCATGGTTAGAGTGTACGACGTGTTGGCTCTAAGCCTAATCGTTTAAAGATAAAACAACATTGATTGTTGAGACTGCTGTCATAAAGTTCATCATTATCTCATGGTTGTCACTGAAGAGAACTATGAATATTAGTGAAATAAGTCGGTTCACTGATATGTACACTGTTGTTCAAGTTGACATGCTTTTCAGTGATACTGAAAATAATAAATCAGTAGGAGAATATTTTCTTAGTGAATGTCCAGCTGAGAAATAAAATGTATTTGCACTTAAACACTTTACTAAGGGCATAAGTATTAATGAAATTAACATTTTTAAAAATACCGTTTTCACTACATACTACATATTGATGTAAACTGTGAATTTTTATCATTTCCAATCATCTATTGATTTATAGTCTGGAGGTGGAGGAAATTGGCGAATATTTCAAGACGGAGGTATAAGTAATTTAGAATTTCATCGTGTTGGCTCACCTGGTGAATTACATATTAAAGCAGTCGCAAGAAATAATATGGGTGAAGCTGCGGCAGAAACGCTATTGACAATTGAACCACAATTAGACTTCAGACCAGATTTACGTCATGTTGAACCGGGTAAATAGATCTAAATTTTCTGAATATGATTACACACATTTTGTGTAAGATAATTTTCAACTGTCACTTAGACTGATCGGTAGTGTTGAGAAATAATCTGGTCATAAAGTTTCACATGTGTACGAATTTAGTTTTCTGATGACTTGACGGCCCATTTACAACAAAAATAATAATTTATCGTGCTTGTGAAGAAATCTCAAACTCCACTTCGGAAGGTTATGAACTATCTTTCTGGTTCACAGTCGACCTAATTTAAGAACACAAAGAAAATCAATGAAATTTGTTCTATTTGAGGTAGATAAATATAAGTTGGAACCACAAAAGTATGCTCCACTATAAGAAGAAATATTCACTGAAATCATGAATCGATCGATGTTAGACCACCATTAGAAACCGAATAGCGTTAGATGTCGATTTCGACTTAGTATCGGAATTATAAGGCACAGCGCATCCGCGACCTAAACATGAGGAAATCGAACCCAAGACCTTTGATATCGCGCGCGAGTGATTAACCCCTAGACCAGTGAGCAGGCATCCAACGGTGTCAGTGTTTACTTCTAAACAGTCCACGATATTGTGAGACCTCATCCATTGTCCTCGGTGGATAACTACTTCACACTTGATACAACTGGACTCCACTGGTCATGGCTTCTCACAGGAAACCCGTGAATTCCCTCCCGAAGCTAGTCACTGATGAGCACATTATAGAGTTATAGAGATTGTTGAGTTTTTAACAGCTCTAAGAATAATTTCCAATACTTAACGTCCTGAAAGTGGAATTTAATCAAAAACGGAATGCGGGTACGTCCGGTTAATGAGTTCCAGATAGGACGGAACACGTGTCCATGATTATACTTTCAGTCACATTTTATCTGTTATATACATAACCCAGTATCTGTTTTTTGCGCCATATGGGTTTTCGATATTCAGGATTAAACATTGATCAGTGTCATTATCAAATAAGTGGAATATTGTTTTTCTATATTTGCTAAATGGCAAGCAACTGTTTGTCCCTATGACATTCCATTTTCTTATAGCGTAATTGTATACTTTACCGAAAGTATAACTTTTCATTTGCGGCCAGATAATTCATGCATATAAAGTTAAAATGTTTGAATGATTAATACCAGGTAGTTGAAATGTATCAATAGGTTGGCTATTGTTTTTCATTAATCGAACTCAAGGCTGTGAATAGGAAAAGAGCATGTGTTCCGAATCGGTTAATATTGACTAAATTCAACGTTACCAGTTGAATTGGTCAATAAGTTATATAACTTAAGATGGTAGATGCTAACTGGAGTAATTACATACGTAGGACAAAAAAAGAAAGAAATTATAACAAAGATTTCAATTGGTGAATCGTTCCTCGCATTATTGATCAACTTGTATTTATAAGAACATAGTTTTGACTTTTTCATTGTTACTGTTCATTATGAAATGTTGAAGATTTTTATTGAAACAATTTCTATTGCTTCATCATTATATTTGTACAAAAAATTATTTCATTTTAATTATTTTCAAAATAGAAAATCCATTCAAAAAACTTTCGCAATTGAAAAAAGTAAAATGTAGCGATGAACTTTCATCAGCTTTTCGTAAACCAAAAGCTCAAGCACTTGATTTACGACGTTTGGAAAGAGGTGAGTTTCATGTTTATGTTTATTATTCTAATTTCGTGTTTCGCTACACTTACATGCACACCTACTTGTGTATCTGTGCTCAATAAAAATAAAAATTTCGGATTGTGATTAAAACTGGAAAAAAAAAAGAAATAAACATTCATTGAATAATTGCAGAGTTATCTCTGCAATTCTACTGAATACAAACTAATTCCATTTAGACAACTGTCAAACTAGACATGTGTAGTTTTCGTGTATGGACAGTGTAACAACACTGTGAGCACTTTCAATCTTCATTCATTTCAACAAGTACGTATTGTAATTTTTCTACAGTCATGGAAGTTCATGGAAGTATTCTTTCGAATTGTTAGTCATTAAATTTTTGGAGGATTTTTCGTTGAAACAAGGAATATCTGTCCTTTGTTCAAAATATATATATATCCAAACAAAATCAATGAACATTGTACAAACTAGTTGATTAAAAATTGTTGATCATATAGCAGTACCAACTGTTCAACTAGTTTGTCCATATTAATATTGTGAATAAATTACAACTTTTAATTTGAATTATAAGCTTATCATTTTTTTATTTTAATTTACTTACCTTCACTATATTGAATAACATTATTCGAGTATCATCGTAAGGTTGTCGGTAGTTCTGACAAGGTGAGGAATCACAAAAATTGGCTTGGAAAACACTTGTCCATTGATCCCCAATTCTTTTTTTCTCAACTGTTTATCTACTCGTGTTAGTCTATTAGCAAAGTTGCTCTGACTTTTTTAAATACTTGTTTTTTTCGAAGCACTTGAAACTCGTGGTCGATCTGCTGCTGGTGTAGAAGTGGAAGATGCAGAAAACCTGTATTCACGTGTTCAATCTCAATTACGTTCTAATAGACGTTCTAGTGTACCACCAAGAACACCACCACCTCCACAACCTCAACAACAGAATGTTCTATCAAATAATGTTCAGCATAATGCACAACCAAAAGCACCAAATACACAACAGTATCAACCACAACCGCAACCACAACAACAACCAGCTTTTCAAGTAAGTGAACTGTGATTGACAAATAATCCAAAATTTTGAAGCTATTACCAGCACTGGTCCAACAGCTTATCGAAACTCAGTTACAGTGAAAAATAGAAAACTACTCCTGTTTTAGGAATTCAGTATAATTTGATTCAAGAAATTTATACAATCAGTTTAGAACGGTCATGTGAAGTACTTTCTGATATTCGCTATTGTAATATGAAAAGTTTGCATGTATCATTCTTATAAGATTGTCAGTTTAATAGAATGAATTGTAAGGAAACATAAATTTTGAAATTATACAACGAATAATGACTATTGGTATTTTTATTGTACAATGAATAGATGCCCCTAATTTTATATTCTCCTGTTTCAGAGAATTTGTTTAACTCACATAACATCGTTATATATATATATATACTGTGTTGCTGTGTGATTAGATATTTCCAATATGTGACTGATTGTATGAATTGCCTCGAAATCATGATTTTGGCTATTTTAGACCAACAATATAAACCTAGAGGTAATAGAAGGTAGTTTCATCGCAACTCGTCGTCACGAAACTTCTGGACCATTCAGTTGACATTCGGTGGTATTATTGCCTAATTTTAATCAATACACACTATTGTGCAAGCATCTACCATTGTCTTCTTTGAGTAACTGCTCCATTGTGTGAGTTATACGTCATGATCAGATTGAATACAATAGAGAAATAATCCGCTGTTCTTTTGTGTCTAACAATTAGTTGCTAAGATAGAAGGAGCTCGTGGAACAGTTAGCATTCAGATCTTCCTTGTTGTTGACTGATCGATATGTCAACCGGTAAACACAAGATCCTAGTGGTAATAAGTGTGAACTGATCGGTAATTGTGCTAGAGATTATACAACTGCTTTCCTCTCATTATGGTTCAATCACACGGCACACGAAATAACTCATGTTAGCTAAATATGTTTCTAGAACTTCATAACAAATCAAACAACGGCTAATATTCACATTTCATCATTATTCATCTGAGTTTGAAAATAGCAATGACTATGGTCCTACAATAATGTTGACTGTATTTTGCCATAAATTTTAGCCGCAAGCAATGCAAAATCCAGTACCTCGAGCACAATTTCAAGCTCCAGTACCACCACCACCACAACAACAACAACAACAACTAAACCAACAGCAACACTTTCAACAGCCGAATACAACAGTGGTCAGAATGAATACACCACAAGTAAGTGATTGTGTAATCCATCCAAAACTGCTAATTAAAGATTTAAACTGTTTAACCCCTTTATATTTTTGTACACTTTTAAATATTTCTGTTGTAAACGATTTAAAAGGCCTTAAAATTCAACTTCTCAATTGTTGTTTCTTAGTGAAATGCTTAAAGCAAAAGACATAATTGATTTATATTTCAGTCTTGAGTTTTCCGAAAAGGAGATCAGTTCAATCCACCGCAGTCTAACATCAAGCAAACATTATTGATATTGTGTAGTAAAATTATTTACTTTTCAAATGACACTTAGTAGATGATAACAGCTATAAAGCCTAATTACAACATACAGCTCATAGATTATTTTACTCTTCATTTATAAAATTCCATTTTACTCTGGATGATATAGTTGATGATGTTTATTTTTGTAAAAGATTGTCTGGCAGATGTTTTGAAGGACTTTTTGTAATGTTTTTTTATCAAATCACTTTTGATGTTCTTTTCTTCGCATAGAATCGAAATCTAGAACAAAGTTCACCACCCGTAACAACATTACAGCCATTGACAATCAGTCCACCTGGACAAGCACAAACACCAGTTTCATCACCGAGGAATGTTCCATCTCCTGCTCAGCCAACACCGACGCCGCCTGTTGTTCCCAATACAACACTACCCCCACCACCTGCTTCACCTTTAATGTCACCACCGATTGTGAATTCTGTAAGTTCTACTATTAAACAGTGTTCACTAAATTCCTCTCAGTCAAAAAATCACACCAGTTTAATAATGTTAAATACGAAGGATGGTTTATAGGAGTTTTCTGAGATTGTAGAATGTGCATAATTTAAATCAAAAACCGAAGTACCTAAGTTTGATCTCCTGTAGTGTAAGGTCGTAAGTGCGCACTACTGAAGAACTCTGTGCTGGGGAAGAATAGTTGTCAAGTGCATCCTGGTTTTTGTTAGTAGCTTAACTGAAATCAGTTTGTGATTAAACTGTGAATATGCAGTTAACCTCTAAGAACCAATAATGAATGCATAACAATATACTGAAAAGTTGTATTTTTAAGCTTGTGGGAGAAATTCCAGTCACGGTATACGATTAAATTTCTCATTTAATAACATAAATTGGCTAATATATATACACCTAAGAGAAGCGCTTAACTAAAATTATAGCACTTAGAGAGTTATTCTCAGGTGGAATGAGTTTGCATATTTTCCTATTTTTATTCATTTGACAGTTCGGTCGTTGAATTTTTGTTATTTTAACAGTACGCTTTCATTCTTCTCACTAACTGTGTATTGACTATGACTAATTGATCATAGAGCTTTATGGTCTTGCCTTTTTATGCTTATAATTAAAAAAGTTTGTTTTTAGTTTAACCTGATCTTTCTGGTATTCTTATTCATAGTTTAGTAGATATGAGTAAATTTCATTCGGGCACTTCTCAGTTAGCAAACAGATAGCATATAGATATGAAAGATTACACAACAGTACTGTGTCTACAACTAGGTCCGTTTCATTGTTACTCAGGCATCAACTCCATACTATAGTTGGTTTGTTTTAGTCACAGAGACTACAACAATAATAGCATACATAAATGTGTGAAATTTCAGGACAATCTACAAGGCCACTCAAAAATACACAGAAAATACGGATTCAAATATTTATTGGTCGGTTCTTATGATCAAATTTTCCATGTCCAAACTATAAAAACGTTTTGCTACGTTTAAAAGCTTAATCTTATTGCTTGTTATCGTTTAAATTTTGATTTGGATCAAACTGAAGATATTTGTATGTGAAACACGGTTTGTGTTGTGCTATGCAATCGATGAAATGTATTTTTTTTCTAACTTCTTTACGTGGAAGTGTTTTATGTCCAGTTTCGTTTATATGAACCACAACACATTACAATGGTGCCAATCACATTTACACTTTATTGAAATCAATTTTTGTTGAACATTGTTAAACATACTCAGCAATCAGGCTTGCTACTATTACAAAAAACTACACTTTCACTTACAACATTTTCATAAATACAGTTGTCAGATGACCAACTGTTCGATTGATACAGAACTATTTGTTGATACAGTGGAATCGCATGTTTATTTCAGAACGTTTAAGAAGATTAAGATATTGCTTAATCAATAAGTGAGCAAGTTGAAATGAACATTTTATCATTAGAGAAAAAACACAGTCATTGCAATATACTGAGCGTTAGCTGCAATTGACGAAAATTTGACATATTGTTAAAGTTACACGTGATGGTAATATAAACCTTGGTTTAGATTCCAGACGACATTCAGTTAGCATAATTCAGGAAGATTTGACGGTCATATTGATCCACTCGCTACACAGCATTTATTGTTGTTACAGTTGTCACGACTATCATCGAACTAAAGTAATAGTGTCTGAGTTATTCACGTCATTAAATTGTTTCGCATTATCTAGCATACCTACCAGCATAGACTTAAAATGACTGAGTATTTATATGAGAGTTTGTTCATACAACTGATCATTATTGACTGAGACTGACGGTATCATTGCGGTTCAAATAATTCGACAGGTTCTTGTTGAAAATTTAATAAACAGTACATTTTCAAAAATTCTCACAGAATACATTGATCAAAATTTTATCTGCATGAGACATATGCAAATTACTCAAGATCCATGTTCATATTATTGTTGAATCGCAGTGTTATGTAATAAGAAGCCGTTTATCAAAATGAAAATCGAAGTACTACTTAAAATTGGATCAGTAGATTATTCAGTAAAAATATTCAGCTTTCAATTATTAGAGTGTAGATATGTATACCAATTCACGAATCTTGGTTTTTTGACAGTTGTTTAGTATTATTACCACTTACATAGCCAATGAGACTCAGTTGTAGGTATACAGATCGCATGGTTTGTAAATTTTCTACATTTAATTAACGATGAACTGTATTGATTGACTTATATACGATTTTTTGTATTATTCAAGTCAAACTAATTCACAGGTTTTTATCAACTCAGTAAGTTACTTCAATTAGATTCATGAATATAAAACAGTAGATTTTTTAAAATTTACTTATAATAATTAGTTTCATTGATTGTTATAATCACTTAGACTCATTTAGTTAAATGTAGTTTGTAAAACATGATGTATTCGTTTATTGTGTAGATAGAAATATATTCATGTATTCTTAAACTTTGGGTATTTTGCTAAGAGTTTTAGATGGATTATTTGTAGATGTATGCTTCAGTAGTTTTCATTGCATGCATGATTAACTGTATGAAATGATTTCCTCTCACTTGTACTCTTCTCATCAGCATTGTTTTACCCGTCATTATATCCTCGACGATTCACTTCAACAACTCATATGGATCGATATTTCGCAACAGTGAATCCGACTTTCTCCACTTGTAAACATTCATCCATTTTCCTATTTTGAATGGGTATATGAGCGTGTTTATGGTTGTGTATTTGAATGTTGTAGATTTTGACACTTTCGTCGTAACTGACTATTATTTACATTCATTGGTAGTTACTACTTATAAGTAGTATGAATGTAGACATTTCAAATAGATACATTTTACGGTTGTCATTTTAACAACTCAGTTTAGATTAGTCATTTTTTATTATAGATTGGTATGAACTGAAGAAACTTTTGTTACCTCATTTGGATTATAAGAGAGAGTTTATTGATTTGTTGGTTAAATGTGCATTGAGGAAAAAAAGAGGAAACAACTAACCAGTATCCTTTGGTTTTCATTAGTTTCAATTTTGTAATCAATCTGAAGAGACTGAATATTCTTTGTGTCATGGATGTAAAAGTAATCGAATTTTTCGAGCAGACAAATAAAAGTAAAAGTAAAAGGACCAATCGGTCAATTTTGTTTATTGAATTCAACAAGTAATAATACAGACAATAACTCACTTCAGTAAATAGTGAAGTAAACCAAAAAATAGACGGAAATGCGAAAATATACCTCACCAAATCAATTGCTATGATTGAACTATAACTGTAAAAAAATGAGACTGCGGAGAAAGAAAGTGGATCTTCCATTATTGAAACATGGGAGATTTGTATTGATAAAAAGAAGTGGTTATGTGATATAGAAGACGGTAAATTACAAGGTATTCAAAGTGAACAGTTACTCTTTTATTGAGAACATCTAGTTGCACAATAAGTTATTGTCAACCTACTGCTTACATAACTGATCAACACGGTTTTGGTGAAATTTTTACTTGAATGAATTAAAGTAGTTTTTACAAAACTTTAGACTAATTTTTGCATCACGATCCTGATGTCCACTATGGAATATTTTAATAAATGATAATTCTTTATTGTTTCACAACAAGTTTATTTTCAGCATTGAAAAATAGCAAATACAGTTTTACTCAATTGGCTTTTGATGGGTTTTTGAAACTGGTTACATGAATCTATTCCAATTGGAAATAGTTCTCACTGCATGTGTTGTACAGAGTTGTAGTCGTTAACATCGACAAATCAATAAATTTCTAAGATCATAATTTCATAGGTTTTTCGTAAACTTCACTGTGTTGCATAATTTAATGCATTTATTAGTAAGAAAAGTCTTTGGAGATTGTTTATTCGTGCTAACATTACAATGTTTGGGTCTTTTTTTTAATTTAGGTATAGCAATAATTTTGTGAAATAAAACCACAAAGATGAAAAAAATTAGGGGAAATATTAAAATAAATGTGATTTTAATTTCCTATTCACACCCATTTATTCATTGATGAAGAAATGTTCACAATTTTCCACTTTGTACTCCTTGAACTTATTGCTTAATGATATTAATAATTTTGTACATGTTACCAACGGCAATCATAGTTGCATTAAGATGGATATAAAAGCCAATAATTTGTGCAGTGATCACGTATTTACAAAGAATTTGCAATGATAATCATTGTATTCTTTTTCTTCGGCTTCAAGTTTAAACGTGTTCACAGTTAGACATAATTTATTTCTTAGTGTTATATGTTCATGTGGGGAAAAATGTGTGCAACATTAACCAATCACATAGTTTTTACTTTTTCTGGTCATGCTGAAAATTTATTATTAGTACTAGAGAGGAAAAGGTCACGATCGTTTTAATGAAATAAGTTTTTGTTAACTCGTACAGTCATCACTAACAACTTCGCATGATTAATCTTTAATCAATAACTAGACAAGTATATGTTGAAGGTTAGTATAAATTATTATCTTTATAATGGCAATAGTTGAAGTTTAATTTCTAAAAGCGTTTAAAATAATCTCTCGATACTTTTAAGGAATTTTGATCAATCTTAACAGGTTTATATATATATATGAATCGCCTCGATAAGCTTTTACAGGAAGTTCCGGAGGAACGTTCCATTATTAACGAAATGTTGAGATGGTGGAGACAATTTGTGGCTTAGGAAGATAATTAAGACGGATTTTCGTTCTATGAGCTGGATGATTTGGTTTTGTGGCTTTCCTTACTAATCCAATTTATCAACCAATTAGAAAATTCATAAACAAGTATCGGATCAAGAAGCAAAGCATCGGGGGATACAATCGGAATTAAACGGTAGCCATCGACAAATTAACGATCGATAATACCAATCAGGATCGAGGTAAACGAGACAGGCTACGAGTCATATGTAGAGAAGTTTGGATACATCACTGTTACCTGTAGTTTGTGCTGATAACGTTACTCGAAAAAACAATGAAAGCTTCATAACAAAACCAACCAGCTCAGCAAACGAAACTCCACCATAAAATGACATCACTTTAATGTAAAACACTGAGCGATGTGAGCATTACCAGCTACCGTGAATAAATTTTGAACTATTCAACGATGTTGTAAATAGAAGAAAGGATTTTATGGAGTGACGAAAATTTGCAAACGCGCTAACACTATAATTTCTTTGATGTAAAGTAAGAACACTAAGCGTTTTTAGTTGATAAAGTTTGAGAAAAAGCTGCGAAGGTTGGCGGTTGTCCAACCAGTCCAACCAGGTGTCATGTTCGTTGGTATCCGGCAACAAGACGCATTTGCGATTTTCAGGGGACGGGTGACTGGTACTAGACTTTTCGAACTTACATCACTAAGCACTCATTTCAAGTTCCCGGGGTAAACATCAACTCCAATATACAGGTATAGCAACTCGACAAGTTTTAAATAAAACGAAATGCAGCCTGAATTCCTATATTCTATTTAAATTATTATCATTATTATCATAATTATGACTTAAGCTAATTTTTTCATACTTTTTTGCAGTCGATGCAATCATCGGATCATTCACCAGCTCAAATGGCTTATTCTGATGCAGTCAGCGCAGACTTCACCATACAACTTTGAGTCATTTTGTGACAAACATAAAAATCAAAATAAAACAAAATATCTTAGTGAAATATCAGCACACCAATCAATCATTGTGTCAATATTTACGAATAAATTCTACATTGTTTCACAATGTAATGTTTGATTACACTAATCTCCAGTATCATCTTACCCTAATCAATTATAAAGCTTTAACAAATAAAACAATGAAACAGATAGACATTTTCAGCAATTGAATTTTGGCTTCATGCATGTCTTACCCTTCCTTTCACAGTTATCACTGTTATCTCAGTACACTTACTGTTATTATTATTATCACTATAGTCATACATCTTGACATAACTAACATTAATTTACGTATTAAACAAATACAAAACTACAAAATTCATTGCGTAACAAGACAGATTACATTCAATTACATTCATGGAACAACAACCACACGCACACATACACAGTGCATGCCTCTTTTTACCTAGTTTGTTGCTTACATCGTTTCTTCTCTCCATTCTGATCTATTTATTTGCAACAAAAACAATGACATCGATCACTTCTTCTTCTTCATTCGTCTACAAAACAGAACAAAATGGTTTGTGTGTGTGTGTGTGTATTGGTGGTAACAATGAATGAATTCAACATTGATATCTCTATTTATGTATGTGTTCACAGCAATGAAAAAGCATTCACTCAACTAATCAATCAATTTATTAATTAGCATAGTTCACATTGATGTACGCCCTCTTCAAACGACTGTTCTGTTTTATGTGTTTTTATTCAATGCTTACATTATTCTTATTATATCTATCTATATATATATATATATACCACGAACAAAGAGTAATGCTACTTTCGCTTTCAACCAGTCAAGTGAAAATTAGATGTAAACACTTTCAGCTTATTTTTTATTTCTATACTAGACTGGACTTTAGATTTGCATTTCGTTTAGAAAGTAAAAATAATTATGTCATGAAAATCACAGTTAGTCAAACTTCGTTTCTCTCTCTCTCTCTCTCTAGCTTTGGAACTGTACACTTCTGTTCGGTTGGTGAAATCACACACAGAAAGAAACAGACACATTGAAACCCATGAACAAAACATCGAAATTATTTGACATTAAATTTTCAGTCTTACAATCTGAATGTTACTTACCCTCTTTTCCCTCTCCTTCAATTCATCTTCTACTGATAATTTCAAAAGACGAATTTTCCTTAAAGAAAAAATGTGGCTTATATTTATTTACGCACAAAGTCATCATGGACAAAAATACTGGAAATCTCCGGTTTTTTGAGCGTGTTTGTGTGTGTGTGTGTAAGTGTTTGTGTAATACAATTCATGCACTTCATCTTATACATCAATGAGTGTTGAACTATTGCTTTCTATTTACAAATATTTGTATGACTTACCCCCTTTCCCTTTATTTAATTAACAATCAGCAGTTTAGTCTTTAAAAAATTTCAAAATTTCCTATCTATTGATTCTTTGTTCTTTTAATATATACGGATTTAAATCTTGGTATAGGAAACCGCTTTAAGCGTCATCTTATAAATTTAGAAGAGGAGCTTAAGGAAACTTATTCAATTTCCAAGTTAGTTTGTATGATTGACTGGAATGAATCATTAAGTGTTAAAATTGAAAGAATGGTTGCTTCATAGAAGATTAAAATTTCCCCAGTAATGTCTACTACATATACGCAATGACATCAAGTGTATGGGCAGCCAGGACGTGACATCTGCCCACATACTAGTAACAGCACCCCAGTCCAAACTTAGTCCGATTCTTAATAATTGATTATTTCAAATGGCCAGTTTATTATATTGTATTGCTGATATTCAGTACTATCGATATTTATATCCCTTTTTTGAAATATTCATGGATTTTTGGATTATCAAGGTAAGGCAACTTAACTGTGACGAGATATATAAATATAATTCAGTTTCATAATCTATGTCAGTGAGTAAGGTACAACGTAGAACTTCGTACGTACAAATATCAATTCAAGCTGCGTTAACACATTAGCACAGAAATGGAATTGTTTATTCAAATTCCACAATAGTAGAGGTAGTAGAATTATTAGTGGTAATCAAAAAGATTACGGATCAAAAATATTAGTCGAGAGGTATCAACCAGTTAAATTAATTTCAAACGAGAAGTAAAGCCATAAGGTGTTCAGAAGATTAGAATTCCAGAGAGAAGACTAGGAATGGATGCACCTGCACCAGTGAAATGATTTTCAGCCATGTCATTCAAGTTCTTTAACCCCAACCTGCTAGTCTACACCTACAAATATGGCTCAGTTCAGTAGTCGGTGACTTCATGGATTCGCGTCATGTTTTGATTTGGCCTCCCCTAGCTTTCTTCCAACCTACCACTACATCAGACAACATCGCTCATCCAGTCACTCAGTGATTAGGCATACGTAACACAAGTCCCATCCACCTAAACTGATGAATATTTACTACTTCATCTATTCATATACCATCCTCACCTTATACCCTTTTCCAAACAACAGCATCGCTTATTTGATTGTCCAATGATATAAGAGACCAGCTTATACTGTTTGTGATAAGCCTGCTAAACAAACGTATTATCTGATTTCTGTCCGGTTTTATTAACTCTTCTAACTAACTACACTACAATTTGATAACAAGAAAAAGGAGCCCTACTCCAAGTTTAGTTAATACACAAAAACTGAGGCTATTTATAGAGCTACTCATGATCCTGAGCTTCTGGTAGGATTGAGAACCATACTAAACATGGTAAAGTTACAGCTCGAAATATCCGATATTCTAGATGTTTCTAAGGAGGTCCCATTCAGAGCTGATTGGATAGAAATATTTCCTGGCGTTTCTGCGTTTCTATAGGCTTTCATGAGGCATATTTCAGTGCTGCTTATCTGTTTTCAGTGGATAGTTGTCACACTCTCGATATAGTTGAGCTCTACTGGTCACGAAATTTCAGTAGAACACTTGAAATCATCTCTCGAAGTGAGACACTAGTGAGCATATGATTATCTTTTTTACAAGATGTTTGAGGTGATGGTTGAATTTTCGTACTTCACATTATAAACTGATCTTAACTGAGCAACCACTGAAAAGCAGGATCCTTTGAAAGTTATTTCGTCTTAGTATAAGACTTGGATAAATTCACTTAGACTGTTATCAAATGTTTGTATTAACAGGCTAATAATAATACTAATATAGTTCTATTGAATATTATATGTTCAGTACGTAATGAAATTCTCAGCACAGAATTTTTCAACAAGTTTCCTTGAGAAAACCGAACCATTAATTGACCAGTAACTGCACACACACATATAAACATTGATAAAAATAAACAGACTAACTGGAATATAAATGATCTGGGTTTTTTTCTTAAGCAAATAATAATCCAGACATCTTTGTATAAGGAACATGTTTAAGGGATACATGTTTTTGACTAGGTCTGCTCTTGCCACCTGTTTGTCACGTAGTATATTTGCTGAATACAGTCTCATAGAGTCTTTATACATGGATTCTAATATATTATTCTACCAGAAGATATAGGAACGAAGTTGACGATTAGTATTACATGAGATAACACTCGGTAGTAATCTGCATGATTTTAAATGTCTATCTACCACCGAATTCGTAAAGATTTCAAAAGATCCATCACAAACCGTGCTAACTGCCTTCAAAATTGTTCGCTACATTGCAGAATCTTTTCTTGAAATCATTGGTAGGAATAACAGGGAACAGTATACAAGAGTTTATAAAGGCTAAACGTATATATCGAGTAATGAAAAAAGCATATAGCTCCTTTATATGATAAGTCAAAGGGAAAATTTCTTTAATATCGATGAAGCATGAAAAGACTTTTCACGCTTTTTATTACAGAATATCCAATGGTGAAGCCTTAATGGAATTCCAATGTGATGTTGATGTGCTGCTAATCTGTCAGGCTAACAGTAGCAATTTTAAAAAATCTAGAAAGATTAAGTGTGTAGACCATCAACAGTATACCTTCGTTCAATGAGTGACAAGAAATCATTCGGACAATATATGTAGGCAAACAAAAGTGTTTTCAATTAGAACATCGTCAGAATTTACTCCGTAATACACAAATAATATTTATATGCATATATGAAATTATTTAAACCAATCAAGGCAATTTGTGATTCAGTGGTAACAGTGAAATAAAAACTAGGCATACAACTAACTAAACAATAGAGCCAACGCAGTTGGCGAACATCTCTCTTCGTGGTTTGAAAAGGGCATAATCAAAACAGTATGCAGCTCAATTTTATTACACATGATGAATAGCACTCACGAGGTGGATAGAGAAATAAGTCATTTAGAGTAGTTTGTCGTATACCTACTAGTTTTCCTCAAAACGGTTCGATCTCGTCTCATACACAGTAGAAGTTATGGGTATTCCAGCTAATTATCTAAGTGTTTTTTTATCACAAGACATTTATGACACCTCGATCTCGTCTTTGGCCTGATTCGCCTTAATACACAATTTTATTCATTTATTTATAGTAATAATTTTTCCTACTCCTTGCTTGTTTCATTTGTATTTCTGAACTCTCTCCGCCCTCCCACTCATTGTTCTCAAATAGACGCTTCGTTGTCCAATTATTTGAAGCCTTCTTATTACGTAACGTATAATTATAATCAATATTATTTCAGAATCGAAGCTGTTTCACCTAAATAATATTGTTACCATTTATTATCAGTTTTTACTTTCTATTTCATGGTTATCAGTAAATCATAAATTACCTTTACCAGTTTGAATAATTCCATATATCCATATAAATATTATTTTGTCATTACAGAGTAAATTCTTATGATAATCTAATTGAAAACACTTTTGTTCGCCTATGCATGTTGTTTTTATCCATAGTATGGACACTTTTAATAATATTAAAGAACTCATTCATTTCCATGGTGTGCGAAAAGAAGTCAGCGTATATTAGGTGAGTGTATTTGTGTAATTAACAAAAGCGATTTTTGAAAAAAGTGTGAGATCACGAAGAAAAAAAGAGTGTAAATACAAGGAGGAAGGATGGCTCCTTGTCGCACAGCTTCTTGATTAGGTAAACACGTTGAATGATTTATTCCGAGTATGTTTCTTCACCCCTCTGAAAGAGAGGTACACTAAAATGGGAGCAGCAAAAGTTTTTATACTGTTTTAAGAAAAGGTCAGGTTAGTGACATGAGTCTACATTTTCTATTCTTATCACCAAATACTTTCTATAGTGATGGAATTAGCTTCATTTCGCCTCAGATTTTCGGTACAAAATTAGTTGAGAAGTATTCATTAAAGATGTTCGTCAATGGAAGACACAGAAAGTCAGCACACTTCTTAAAAAGAAGGATTGGGATATCTTAAGTTCCTGAACGTTCGGACATGTCAAGTGACTGAAGACACTTTGGACATCAGTTACCGTGAAAATCATTCCTTCTTCTTGAAACTAATCCATATGAAAGGCAAAAAATCAGATGATTTAGTTGGGCATTGTCACTCATACTTTCTTCACCATCAAGTTCCAACACATTCGAACAGGTTTTATATGAGATGGCAGTTTGTGAGTAAACATTCATTTCTTGGTTGATTAAATCGTTTAGCTTTGGAATTTCTTTCGAGTTTTCTTTTCTTATGCACCGTTTCTTTTCGTCCTTTGTAATCGTTTATAGTTGTGGGGATGTGAATGGATCAATAAATCAGAAATTCCAATCGTAAATTACAAGGCTAACAGTTTTCCAAAGTCATTTGAAAAAAAATCCGTTTGTCATATGAAACATTTTCTTTGATTTGGGACATTTTTTCAGAGTGATTCCTGTATTCAACTATCCTTGTCTGATGTAAGATTTTATTCTCTTCACCTTTGTCATATATTTTATGTAGAACACGTTTACAAATTTTATATATTTCCGTATCATTAGTGCAAACCACGTTTAATAGTACATTTGAATGGTCAGGGTAGACCATACTAACCTAGTGATGAAAGACAGCTTCACAGCTTCACACGAACTAAAATCACCATTGAAGACAGTAACAGTAAATTCTGAGATTTTCTCAATGAAAACAGATAGCACAGTTGAGGTGAACTGCATGCATACCAGAGTCGCATATATTGTTGATAATGTCATTTGTTTTGGACGGTCTCTTAGTGTCAGGCAGTCACTAAAGTCGTTTGGAAAATTTAGAGCATGTAAACATAAATGGAAACGTGCCCATGTTTACAAATTTCGCTACACCGATGCCACTTCTTTTCTAACTGCTTGACTGATTCTGACGATAAATACTGGAACTATGTGATATTTTAACTCAGTAATATTGGAAGAACTATTTAAGGAAATGAGTTAGTTTAATGCAAAATACAGAATACAAATTACTTGCTATTTCCAGAAGGTTGCCTGTTCACAGGTTTCAATATATAAAAATGCTCACAATTATGATGATGTAAGATAAACAATTCCTCGTGTGTAACTAACCGGCAATTGAAAAGTTGAATGAAGTGAGCTAAAATTGTATGCAACAAGAGTGCTACTGAAAAGTTAGAGATTGGCAGCCAGCTAAGTTAGAACATGGTGTGTATGTAAACATGTATATTTTTTGAACGGTAATCAGTAAAACACGTAAATTTTGCACAAAAATAAAGATAGTCTTTTAAACAAAATTCTTCAGTTAATATAATGTTTACGTATATTGAGTGAAATAACGAAATATTCCAAATGACGACAGAAATTGTTTGAAAATGAAGTTTATCTCAACTATCTCACTTTCTAGACCTTGATATAAAGCGTAATGCAAATGATCCATTGGAAGGATAAATTTTTCGAAAGGGCCACATGAGGTGGATTATACATAAACATCAATAGCTTTTATCCAATAAGCTACTAAATAGCCTTGGTTAGAACACATCTATTGATAGTGTCAGAAGATTATGTTCAGTAGGTGAAATTTATGAGGAAATAGCCATAGTCAAATACTGCTTACGTGATTAATGGTTACCCTCAAAAATTCATAACCAAGTATGGGAAGAATTGAAGTATGCCACTGTTGAGAGGAGGTCTGCGTTCCTAAGACTGGACTTCAAGGGCGATGAGATGGCAAGAAATATTAATTTCAGATTAAAAGCCATCGTAAAACAGACTTATCCAGCCTCCGAACGGATTCATCTATATCACATGAATTGCTCATTAAGACAGTCATGTGTGGACAGATTCCTGCTCTGTGTCAACTTCCATAATATCTACCAGTTTACATGTACATTCCAATGCACATAAGTTGGAAGAACAGAAAAGGGACTTAGTATCCGCATCTCTGAGTACATTCCATGGAAACTTAGACTAAGAGGACGACATGTGCTCACTGGTGCAATCGCACACCATTTGCCTTGACAGTAGTCATCAGTTTGTTATCTGAAGGTTTTGTCAAGGTAATTATTACACGATGAGCATCAAATTTATTACGGTTCACTAAGACCAATAAGACCAAATCTCTGCATTGACAAAGAATCAACTATCGATTCGGTTTTTTTTTTGCGCTGATGACCCCATCATTCTTCATTCACAAAGTGTTGTTATGTAATTTTTGTTGATGACGAATTAATTATTCTCAATTAATATGTGATCTGTGAACTCAGTAAATTTTGTTTTAAGGGTTGCCACACGCAACTACTATAACATTAATGTCTTATTTTCAAATAATTCTGTTTCTATGTTCTTCATTGTTTATTCCAAACTATTCTTATATTCAATCGTTTTAAATATTCATATTAATTAACATACAAATATTATCATTTATGCAGTCTATGTTGCTGTTTCATTAATCTTTACTAAAGAGATCTTTTCCAATATAATGGATAGATAAAGTATGTACACTGGTTTTTTTCAAAAAATGAATTATACTACTACAATTATGTTTAGAGATGACAAGTAGCTGATGAGAAATCATGAAATAAATTGAATTCATATTATTCTGCTATGTTGATTGTTTCTTGTTTTATTCAAACTTATTGATGGAAAAAATTAAATGGAAAATTCTGCCTTCGGAATAATTTGTAAGTCGAAATTTCACCCATAAAATGTAATCTCAGATGACCGAAACAGTTGTGAACTATGAGTGCTAGGATTGCGCTAAATTTCTCTAACTTTAATTTGACAATTTAAGATAACATGAAAAGTTACACTTACAAACTGTAACTTAGTGGGAAGAATTCTTGTAGTTATGCCTTACTGTATTTACTTATCTATTGAATATGGCACTAAAAAAAACAGATAGAGGGTCTTATCTTGTGAAATCTTTGATCTGCCAACAAGACTGATACCGAAAATAGAAAATGTTTTATTACTCTGAGTTGTATAATAATCACCATTCCAATATTTTGTATAGTGAACGATTCGGGCACTGCAGTATCACGTGGAAGTAACAGAGATTCGCAGCCTCAAATCCACCTTGCGTGTACAAAACGAAATTTCGACGTAATCCGAACTGTTGTTACCATCCGACCTATTTCTCAATAATATCTTTTCAAATCAACAAGAACGGAACATTTTTCGTTCATGATAAGAATCAACTCTATATGGGAATTTTATTTTACATCGAATAACCACAATAGAAATTCTTTATCTTTTACACAATTCAATTAATTGCAAAAGTATCCTCAGTAATGTGTAGTGTAATGAGGGTTATTTCTCACTGAGACCACGAACCGAATCAAGTTAACTAGCTAATTAAACAAAGAAATAGTTGAATAATTAATCCACCCAAGTAACAGGCTACTCAGCACTGAACATTCATAATGCTAGCGAACATGATCAGATTTAGCGGTAAGAACTTAACTTTCAGTTCATTTAACCGGCATTCGATAGTTCACAAGTTTAATATACATATAACACTTGGCATTAATTAAAACAGCAGGATTGCATTCAAAATTTATTTGATTTCTCTCTGATTATGAGCCAAAATATGAAGTGACATTACTTTTAAAAGAGCAGAAAAATATCAAGGAAATAAGAGGACAACAACATGAAAAAGAAATTAAAACAACAAGTAAAGATAGAGTATATTTAGTGTGTTTATTATTCTCTATCAATCTATATTCACTGAATAATTATGATTGAAGATTTATGCATGTGTTTCGAATGACGTAATTGTATGTTATACATAGACCAGAGTAACAACGGAATGATATCATACCTATTCTCTTATGGATTCATTTCCATTTCATTATTGATTTAAATCGGTACCACATATAAACTACACCGAATCATAGCAACATTCCATAATGATTCATATTTATTAACTGAGCACTTACTATAAATCGATAGCAAATCACAGTACAGTGGATGCATGAACGTGATTGAATTGAATGAATAAATACACAATGATTATTTATAATGAAATGTAGTTGGCGTTTTCTTTCCACTTTTTAAATAAAAGTTATCTGCAAGAAAGAAATTTTCTAGAATTTTGAAAATAAAAAGAAATGCTAAGTAAAATGTTACAATAACCAATGAATAATCAAGTTCCTATTTCCAAGTCACTATTTGATATTATAACATGTCAGGCATTGATCTCTGCAATAGACTTTGTATTAGATGGCACTTGCACTTTCCAGTGACAGATATAGACATTGTGCTACACGACTGAAATATCAATGAATAAAGCGTTCAGATGTGTTGTAAGTTATCAATGAAAAAAAGGAAAAATAACAAATAAACAGAGGAATCATTAAAAATCAGTGACAAACATCAGCTGTGCCAACGAAATATGTAATTTCACTACGAACCAACGCTGATTATCAATTTATTGTAAGAATTTTAAAATATTCCAAGTTAGTTATTATGTGTTGTCATTGATCTAGTTGTGTAACACCGAAAGTCACTGACAAGTAGATTGATGAATGAATAAAGAATAAAATAAGTGAACTACACCAGTAAAAAAATCTTACAAGAGAAACATACAAATCTCTGTACATTGTTTGCAGTAAACTTCTTCAAGCAAAACACAACGTAAAATGACAATGCAGGGCATGTGAATTAGTTCACGTGAGTGGATGTGTGTGCGGATGTATATATATTCATGATTGTATATAGCCGACAAGAAGGCAATTAAATGAAAGAACTAACCATTTCAATTTTTATCAAATCATATAACCAATGAACAAATCCAAATCATCACAAATATCCTAATAATTAGAATGCGATATTGTTTGCTTTCAAGGTCAATGGGCACAGCTACATTTTTAATTGAATTTGAATCTTGAACTTTATTTAAATCAGTTAGGTTGGTTATTGCAGTGTTTTTTGTATTTTGACTCTTTGTCCTTGAAAAATTATCCACATGGTGCGGAAAATTTGAATTAGATAAATTATGATTCCGTAAAAATTTATCATCTGATCCCATAATCGATATATTCAATCCTTGTGAATTCATATTAACAAAAGGGAACATTTGTGAATAAACAAAATCATCTGAACCCCTGGAATCATGAAAACCACTTCCGTCATAATTTATTTCTAAAAATACAATAATAGAATATGAAAATAAACGATAAATAATGGTGAAATAATATTTTTTTTTCTAAATAACGTTTAGGTACGTTTCAATTAATTAATTTATTTATTTACATGGGTTTGTATCTGTTTCGTCTATTGTTTTCAAGGACTGTAACTTATCAGGGGGGATGTCACTGTGAATAAAAACTTTCTATGCACAAAAATCACAGTTTCTGTTATTTTCCTTTCGGCATCATATTTTGCATATGAACTTGGTTTTTGTATTACAAATTTGTTTAAGATTCTTGGTCAGGTGATAGTCACTTAGTATAAGGGTATCTTAAACAAGGACGAATTATTTGGTAGATAAATGTTTATAGAAATCGACTAATCAGTAACCAGGTTTAATAAGAAACATTTTAAAACTTGCAGTTTGATTTTTTAGTTAGATATTTACATTCATGTAAAAGGTATGGTGCAATCATTTATAGGATATTTGTCAAATCTCATGAATGTAATGGTTGTCGCATTGATCATTCAAACACATTAAAGTACTGGAATTTTTTAGTTGGTCTGATGATTCATTCATTTATTACATCGACTGATCTTAGATAACCATCGAAACATTGAAGAACAAATGTTATATTATCCAAGAGTATGACTCTTTGTGTGCAAAGCACTTGCGAATTCACTTGAGCTCGATACGAATATCTTCAGTTTTGTGTGCGAAAGCTCAACCTCCAGGCCATAGAGCCAGTGTTCAGTAGTGTACATGTGTAATTTCAATCAATGCTCAATATTCTGATATCATGTGAGACACGTTAGGCAATAGGAGATGGTCAGTCAGTGATTTATTCTACGAAAATGTAATCCACACAGAACGCCTTACTTTATAATTTATTTTACTCATTATTACGAACAGCACTTCATGATTTCCTCTCAAAATATTGCTCAACTGTATTTTCTTAAAGCTGACTATGTGATTAGTGGAAAATATAAGTTTTCTCTCTACTCGAAATCAAATATTTTGAGACCTACACCTGTATCTGTGAGATTTATTGGTCTGTCCTTAAAATGATGCAGTTATTGAGGTTATTCATAAAATCTAGCACTATTTAGGATGTAGACTTCTCATTTAAGCACAGATATGCTCTTTGGGTGATAACGTAAGCATAAGTTGTCAATAAATGAGAAAATAAAAAGTATTCATTTTAGCCAGCACAACATGTTCATATGAGTTTTTTTTGAGAACAGCTACTTGGGATGAACGTTATTTTATCTTCATCAGGCTATGTACTTTATGGAACCAATTTTGTGTAATTCAGTCGAGCAACGATGCCATTCGTCCAGCTGATACATCGTCAGACGCTTTCCTTCATTGCTGTGATCTTATTCTCAAAAATCTGTTTACACAGTTCATCACCATACAATGGTTTTCTCTTATCCTTCTTACCCTTCAACAGTGCTAACGATACATATGATATGTACTTATGCATAATTTACGCCTTAACGATTATTATAACTGACATAATGATCATGTGGTAGATCTGACTAAATAACTTGTCAAATGATCAACTGTATAATTTCACATTTTCCTAAAGGAGTACGATCTCGTCTCTTACATCATATTTGAAGCCATAGGAATACCAGACAAAAATCTTAGTTCATATGGAATTTAGAAATACCCGTTTGTTTTCCTTCAGTTAAAAAAATTCTACAGATGATTCTTCCAACTCTTCAGACTCGTCATTTACGCTTTTGATTATTCACTTACGTTTTACTGTGTGTACATTTCATGATTATTATTGAATAAATTTTCGAATTTGACTCATTTCTTATATCGAGGTTCCATATACAGACAGTGATTATAATTTTTTCTTATAATTTCTGCACACACAGACACATGCTATTTATCTACTTACTTTTCACAGTCTGTTATCGGTTTTCTTTTTTCAAATATTAAAGTTAACATTAATGAAGTTAATTACTGGAAACAAGTTCAGTAGTGAAATTATCCACTAATTAATCAATAGTTTTGAGTTGCTTTTCCTCAAAGTTATCTTCATCGAAATATTCGTTTTGAAGTGCATTAGATGGGTAATTTTTTTTGTATAAAAAAATTATAACACATTGGACAAATGGACTAGATTTTGACCTTAAATGCCACAGTGAAATTTTACATGAATAATAAATTCCACTCATTAACAAGCAATTTAATCAGATGCAAAGTTTGAGATTTGTTCGATCAATAGAGTTATTGATATAATCTCACGGATTACTTATTTCATGATAAAAAAAAATTAACTATTCTACTGAATCTTTACCTTGTTGAGTAAAATTATTATCTACTGGCTTTTCATATGAACGTTCATGTGTAGGTGAACTAATTGGAGTCCATGCATATAATGGCCAACCTGGAATAAAACCAGAACCAAGATTTGAATTTCTATCCAATGGTCTTGTTGATTGTGACTTGTCGATTGAATTCTGAAAAATTGAGAGAGAGAAAAAGAAGAAATACATTTAAAGAACAGTTAAATTTGTCTTAGCTACAGACAATAATAGCTTTGTTTTTCAATAAGAGTTTCGGAGATCAGTGTTTTTACACATTGAAATCATTATTCAATCATTGTTAGACGACCATTAGAAACCTGAAAGCGCTGGACAGCCATTTTGTCCTAAAATGGGACTCACCATCAGTCCGAACGCAGTTACTACGAATACAAATGGGTGGGGTCGCGCCAAATCCTTAGATCGATCAGAGTTAAACATTAACACTGTTGGATGTTGAAGGTTAGATGTTCGCGCACAAGACCGAAGGTCCTGAGTTTGAATCCTGTGATTAGCAGGAGTCATCGATGCGCAGGGATGATGAGTCTCATACCAGGACTAAACGATCGTCCAGTGCTTTCAGGTTCCTGACGGTGGTCTGACAATGATTGGTTGATGATTTCAATAATAGCTATGTATAATTTAGAATGATATAATAAATATTTTTACAACAAATTGCGTATACAATATCGAATCTAGGCACGATAACAAGAAGTACCTAAGAAGAATGAGTGAGTACATGCTGTAAAACAATTTCCAGTATTTGAAACGACAAATGTTGTTGAAATTCTGAAGGATAATAATATAATGTGCAATATGTGAGTATTTATGGTCAAAATTTGAAAAATGTCTGAGAACTGTTCAAGCTGAAATTATCACAGCACCTGACTGACGTCCATGTGAACAATTTCAACAATTCGTAATAATAAAATTTTAAACTTTCTTCCATGCAGTAATGATGGACGTCATTTTTATTTGAAACTGGAAATCTACTGAATGAAAGACAAATAGCATTATCTAATTGTTAGGCGATCTGATTGAATTATTTGATCACAGTAATAAACGAGCCAACAGAATGTGATTTAAATCATTTTTAATCATTTAAATGTATACTGCACACTATTACATTGAAATAGTCATTAAGTTAGAAAATACCAATGCGACCAAACTCTAAAGAATCTGAAAAACGCCTGACATGTATGTAGTCTATGGATTTGTTTGAAAAGTGTTTAATGAATTCCCGAAGTCAACTTCTTTTGTGAACTGGCCAGTCAGACTCAAAAATTTTTAAATGCGTGAAGCACAAGGTAACCTAAAAATTATACAATTTATTCAAAGACCTGCAACTTAAATGTCAATATTCATTGCAAACTATGTGTTACCCGCCATATTGGATTCATTTAATCAAAAATAAGTTTACTAATCCCAAACAGTTCATCAATGTTCGTGTTATCTAATTTTAGCTATTGAAAATAAATTCATAACTTCAACACAATAACCATTCGAATTATCTTACCTTTTTCTTTGAGATTCCTTGATTCATTGTCGTTTGTACTGGTTTTGAAAAGAAATCTTGCGTCGATGGATTGTGGCTTTTAGAATCCATAAGTTTTCCTTCTGGTTCTTCCACTTCTTCTCCTTCATCTTGTGCATTCCAGCTCAGTATTGATCCATAAGCGAGCACGCCCAATGAATTACTCGTATCTGCAGGAAAATTGGATGATGTTTTTCCAGTTTCGAATTGTTTTGACCCTGAAATATTAAAGCAGATATTTAGAAGTTATGTATGTTGATAAATGTTGAAACAAATAACTTGATACTTTCAAATGAAAGGAATTGTCATTTAGCCTAGAATATTATTACTTCTAAGCCTGTCCTGAATAGGAACAATGGAAATGTATTTTGCTCTTCATATTATATAAGATACTGGTTGTTTACATTCTCATTCATTAGTGAAATTATTGTTAGTCAGTTAGTGCAGATAACCGGTTTGGTTATTACACTAGAAGGAAAAATTATTTTACTTATATTAACATGTAAAAATTATGACTTCTGTTTATTTATTAATTTACATTGAAACCATGAATGAATCATTGTAAGAAGACGGGTCAGAAACCTGGAAGCATTGGACGAACATTTCGTCCTGGTATCGGACTCATAGGCAATACGCATCCACGATGATGATCAATACCATACCAGGACGAAACGACCGTTCAGTGCTTCCAGGCTTCTGAGCGTCGTCTTATAATGATTCATTCATGATTTCAATGTAAAACTACTATATCTGTAATACTCTATTTATTGACTGAGTGTTAATTACGGTTGTGGATTTATTCGAGTACAGATATTAAAGAAGAAAATTATATTTATGAATCCCAGTGATTGAGCTTAGAGTAAACTCAATTATTCTCTAAGCAGTCTAGTCCAATCGTTTTCAATGAAATATATCATCAAACATCAAAATTATCGAATCTCAATAAATGAATACATACAAATTTCATCGATTATCTGTAAGTCAAACAATTCATTCAATCATGTTAACTAATGTAAAAGTTGGTATTTATTGTAGTGTGTATGATGTAATCGGTGTGAACAATGTGTTGATATGCCTGATGAATCAATTTCTAAGTGAATATGACATGAAACAAATAGGAATTTTTGGTTAAACTAGACAATTTAATTAACGAGATGTGTGCAGGATATCGGTATGAATAAAATAACATGATGTAAACAACTGAAACTTGTATTCTTGCATTTAATCAAGCTGAATGCCCATGCTCATGCATTTGGATAAACCAAATGATGAGAGCAAGCGAACGAAGTTGTTGTTGTTTAGATTAGGAATGACATAAAAAGCAGAGTTGAGATTAATTGATAATTCATTAGTTGTCACAGGATAGCTAATTGTATTCCATCTCTTTTACCTAATATTGTTTGTATTACTCCAGATGAGTAGGGCTTCAATTGTCAGTCATTCCTTGTATAAATGAAGGACGTTTTTTAGGATTCTTGTGCAGTCAAAATCAATTGGATGATCAGAGGTACAATGTTATCAAAGACTAAATTAGGTAGAATGTAAACATAGATCCAGAGCTTTTTCTATCGTATCATATTCACTTAGAGATTGATTCATCAGTAGTCATCTCAACACATTGTTCACACCGATTACATCATACACAATACAATAAATACCAACTTTTACATTAGTTAACATGATTGAATGAATTGTTTCACTTACAGATAATCAATGAAATTTGTATGTATTCAGTTATTTAGATTCGATAATTTTGATGTTGGATGATATATTTCATTGAAAACGATTGGACTAGACAGCTTGGAGAAATTACTGAGTTTACTCTAAGCTCAATCACTGGGATTCATAAATATAATTTTCTTCTTTTTTGACTTAAACTAACTCAAAGCTCAACGTTTGTGAAATTGTTTTTTGAAATTTAGACGAAAATTTTTATAAACTCAGTTAGAATACTGTATAACTTTTCCACATAACACATACTAACTGATGTAAATTATTCTTCTAGGCACTTTACACCATACAGTTCTTTTTTATACATTTAAGGATGTCAAGAGGTTGATTCTACTTCAAATTATTACTTGAACTGTTTTTGCTACTGTCCCATGCACGATCCGTATACATAATTATTTTAACTATCTAATCCATCTTTAATGCAAAATTACAAGTAGAAATAAGCGGGTGGTTTTTTCACAATATCAAAGTTCATTTGTTTCCGGATGTGATGTTTTAGTGATTTGAACTATAGAGACTTTGTTATATCCGAAGAGAAAATTATTATTATTGACTCGTAATTTGAAACAGTTTATATGGCATCATTGATTCCTAAACTAACATCACCGACAAGACATTTTACTGGTTAAGCAAAGATAATAGTACTATGTACTTATAGCTCAGGTGGATGATTTTTAGCCCAGTTTCGTACTCTGAGCTGCGTGGTATAATTATGAAACTTTAATTGTTATTCACGCAAACGAAACTCAAGGGAACATTCACATTGTCCGATACGGTGTTTTTCGTAGTTTGAACAGTTCACTTTTTTCATCACTTCATCTCGTGCTTGGCATACGGTTGATTAATGTGAGTTTTGCTGTTACACTTATTCCAGTCAGCTTCAAATAACCTAGTTGTTTCTCATGACTTTTACATACGGTAGGACGATCTATCCATTGATTACTATAACTGATTTCATTCTGACGAATGAGTTGATTAACATTTTTTTAATACAGCTGTGTGACTCGCTGTTCTTTTCTAAGATAATCACTAAGTATTTCCCTTCACTTTTCTATGTTATAAATGCGATGAAGTAAATTTTGATTTTATCATAAGAAGTTTGTATGCAGTTATGAAATGGTTACTAATTTATGTGAGAATATGATCTATACAAGTTGGTTTCCACTCAACCTGAATCTTTGATTTTCATATGTTGGAATAAAGTAAAACAATTTAAAAGTGATTTTATACATATACAAACATCTCTCAATACTATGTTGTATACTAGTTAGTATACAGTTTCACTGAATTCAGTGAATAGTTTCAAAACGTTATATTATACGCATCGCTAACAATCCTTATTCCCACCAATTAATAGAAACTAACGAGTTACTACTGTAAGACTGATGATGAAAAGTCCCTGAAATCATATGGGCAAATTATTAAATTTGATCAAATCGAAGAGAACTCGTATGAATACCTGCAGGTTTTGGAGATGTTGCAATTTCTACCAATGATTCGGTTGGTACATTTCATTTAGACTTACCATCTTGATTTGTAGGAGACTTCTGATTCATAGAATGATAATAATTGGTTTCAGTTAATAGTGTTTTCACAGACCATTCCAGATCTCTCGATGCTCTGACTAGAATTTCGTTAGCACGTCGAAAAGCTAATTCTTTCTATTAGAATTAGATGATAGTACCAAAAATAGAGAAAAAAAAGTGTAATGAAAATGAGTAAAATTTGAAAACCACTGATTTTTTGAAGATAAACATTCAATTTTATCTAATAAGTAAAAATCTTTTTTATCATCTAATAAAATCAAGTTTTAATTTTTGAGTTTACAAATAAAATACATGAAACCTACAGCACTGATTCACTAAATAAAACACTATGTTTCTTGTCATGAATCCGAATATCCGAAAAAAACGTTTGCTCCTCATTTTACACCGAAATAAGGTTTTGGACTGACTGACTGATTATGGAAGATATATTTATTGCGCAGAACAACTGCTGGTTTGCAAACATTCAGCTGAAAATATTTTCCATGAACAAATAAACTTTCAAGTTGCTGCTGAATTCTAAAATATTCGGAAGCTGTAATGTGAGTTCTGAGAGCTTTAGCTATTTAAATTAATAGTGAACATTATTTCAGCGATGTCTGAATATGTGCACATATTGACTTTTTGCGGAATATTTCAGAAAGCATTTAAGCTCATGTGCATCCATAAAAATAACCAAGTTTACAAGAAGACTAGTTTTTTTTATTGTATGAATGAATTTTTAAAATAAATTGATAATCATAAAGTAACATTTACTGATATTTTGATTGACAGGAAACAGAATAACGATAAAAGAAATTGGTTTATTTAGAAATAATTGCTTTGTGATTTGTTTTATCACGAGAACAGGATTAGCTTATTTATTATGTTTCCTTATTACAAAAAATGGAATGACAAAGGGCGCTAGTGAGATATATATGCTACTTACAACGTTGCCAATATATAGTATGCAGTAAACATACAGCGGAATGTAAACCCAGAAGGTAATACTGAAGAGAAGAGTGCCGGATCCTAGCGTATGGCGTGACCGAGGTTTTTTGAAGACTGGAAGACCACATTAAAGAAGCCAACCAAGAATCTGTTTGTTTTTCCAATGGAGGTCTGAAGATACGGTGTACACATCTTGTTGGTAAACTGTGTTTCATTAGAAAAACCACTTATGCCTTCTCATCCTAAAGTCTTCACTCATTAGGTTGGAAATTCGATGGATTCCACTGCCAACCACTACCAAACCCTGCTTAAAATGATTTGAATCATCATTTACAATTATTGGATAAACATTAGGTCCATCCAACTCTCATCTAAAAATCACACAGGGATCATCTATATTAAAACAAATCAATATCTTATCATATGGTTTGGCACTGTTGATTTGTCCAGACTCTTCAGTCTGACTTCGCAATAAGTGAATAAACAAGAGCAACATTTTAAATCCCATTTTCTTGAAGAAGACTGTAGCTACTATTATCAATAGCATTCAGTACAAATTTTAACTGAGAGATCAATACAAGCATAACTTCTTGAAACTATTTCATTCAAATGAGAATAATACTTGATGTAGTTAATTCATTTCACTGTAGTTTAATAAGCGATTGAGCGATATCTTTATACTTCCATCAAATAAAATTATCTGACTTCCTACATTGGTTTCTTATTAATTTTGATATATTCTTATGCAACATTAACTGAAAAAAAATAATTACGCTTTGTTGATTAAGTCAGATGTTCTTGTAAAAAAAATATTATTTGTCATTCATTACAAAACGTTTAAAAAATTAATACGTCATTAATACATCTCTGTGTGAGAAAATCCTATTACAAATTCATAATGTACAGTTAGTAACTATATTATATTTGTTACCTATGTACTACTGTGCATTGAATTTTCATCCAAACTCTAAGAGGTAGAGAAATTTGAAATTTCGACAATAGCATTTCCGTAGATAATTTTCCCGCCTTCAAGTATCATCGATAGATAAATGCGGGATACTTAACATGATTAAACTTTGTGATTTCTGGTCAGAACTTTTGACTGTGTACAATATTATTATTATTATCATGAATATCATTATTGTTATTATTATTATTATTGTTGTAGAAGGTTTGTGGATCAATGTCCACGTAATAATAAACAACAAAGTATTTATATGTTCATCGTACAAATGGTCCTCAGTTCAACTGAAACTTTCTTTGCTAAAAATGCGATGTCTTATCAAAGTGTGAAATGAAATGCTTTGTCAATAATACTGATTAAATAATAGTCTATTATAAATTGTGATTCACTTACATCATGTTGCAGTGGAGAATTCCATGATGGATTATTCAACAGATAATTGGTTGATGCAATTGAAGCTGACAATAGATCATCAGTGTCATTGACATTTTGTTGTTCTCTGTCATTAGTTGGTATAAATGATGTTCGTTGTTTTCGACTTGATGTGAATTTCTCATTGTTATTAATTTCATTGGGTGAACCTGTGGGAAAGGTTTTTTGTGGTTTTGGTTCATGTTGACAAAATGTACATTTCTCTTCATTGAAACTGAGAATAAATTTTTTTGAAAAAATGTTACATGAAAATAAACTTTTTATTTTATGTGGTATTTGAGATTCTGGTGACATTGTTTCGATAATCTTAGAGTACTAGGTTAGTGATCAATAGTGCATTCGGTGAGCCCTATAGTGCATCAACTCTTACATCTCTCAATTTAGATTGTTTGACCTCGTAAAATAAGATTAAAAGTGTTTAATGCCTATTTCTAATTTCAGGCTACATTTGACACTGAATAACCAATATTAATTTTCTCCTATTTGATAACTTGTTCACATCAGATACTGCAGAATTCAACTGGTTTGTATTAGAATTTAACTGGCAAAATATATTCGTCTATTTACAAAATGATACTAAGTGATCATTTTCAAAGATTTTGAGCTAACGCAATCGTACGTAGGTTAAATGAAAAGAGATTTAGAAGTATTCGCTAAAGCAGGAAGTACTCATATGCTCGCAACAGAAAAAGTGTACACAGGCTGCAGCTAAAATGAAGGTATAAAGCGCATTTTATGTGAATTCCTAGATTATTTTTGCGGTAAACTAATCTACACAAAATAATAACATGCACATAGACGTTCATTACAAGATTGCAAAATGGTTCGTTTCTCTACAAATAGACGGAAACTTTTATAGCTACACATTTTTCAAAGATGTACGTAGAGAATGCGACCTCCCACAGTACAGATTTCTAAAGAAATGGTTGACGTTACACGCGATTATATGTAATGAAATATACAGACTGCCTTTCTTACACTGGTAACGAAGTTCTCCCTGCCTATACCTTATCAGAATTCTTGTTCCTTAACTAGAGATTCGTCATTTAAATTGTACTGTCGCATCTTTATAAACCAATATTTTTGAGTATATTTCCAATGTATCATTCTTGACAATTTCCCAACAATGTAATTCAGAAAATACTTCTTCTGCTTAAACCGATTAGGGTTTCAAGTGTTTTAGTGGTATTAACTTCTCTGAACTGGATGGTCGAGTCGCAGAGCTAGTCCGTGCAGTTAGCTCTGTAGATGTTGTCCAGAATAATAACGAAGGAGATAATCAGAGAACTCAACATCTCCAAATGCGTCCACTTAAGCTACATATTTTTGCCTACATTTCAAAGATTTCAGGTGTAACGAACATCGACGTCAATATTCAAGAAAGTTCAGAGTATTCGCATATGATTATTCAGGTCATCATAGAATTATATCATACACGATGTGCAGTAAAAGACTATGCAGCTTGCATAAAAAGTTTAACAGAGTATTTCGAGGAATTTACAACTATTTATAAAGTTTGTACCTTGCAATGGTCGTTCCATTCCAGCATTGATCATGTCTTCCATTGAGCAAAGCGAGATAAGGTGATTCTAAGCATAACGTTGTACTTGAACGTGACCATATGTTTGTAATTTCATTCATCTACAGGGACAAAGTTTCATCAAATTCACGAGTGGTATAGGGAAGAAATCATTAAAACGTTTATCAAATAAGTATTGATCTTTATTAATTTCTTAGGAATTATTTTAAGCAAATATTGAATTTCATTTTGGCTGGTTCTGAGGAACTCTTTCAAATTGATTCACTTATCAAAATCGAATATTCAAATGTGTGTTAGATCTTTGGAAAAGACTCGGTCGAGATTGCCTAGATTCACTTAATCACCCTCTTTAAAATAAGCTAATATTTCACATATCAATGGAGTGCTGTCATACAGTTGAAGTAAGAGAAATAATAGTTTTATTTATACTGTTCCATCCTACGATCGATTAATCATGTATCTGACAAAATTTGGCTATTTATGTCTTATTGGATTTTGATGGCGTAAATTTTAGTGAATCATAAAAAAACCCGACTAAATTGTTCGTTCGTTATTGTAGTCTTGAATGTGAATTTAATATGGCAAATATTATGCAGCCTACATAGATTTGTTTCATCATATGGGTTTACCGCCTACTGGGGTGTCTTATGAGCCTTTTAAATATTACTTACGCCTATCTTTCCTTTAAAATACTAATTTGGAAGCAAAACCGGACAAAAAGTGTTTTTGCATTATTCACTGTTGAAAAAATATCTTGATTTTAATGCAAATTTATTCTGAATAATAAATAACAAGATAAATGACTATTTAACAAGACGAATTCGGTGTCAGTTTATTTAGTATAGTAATGCTGACAATTCTTCACAGCAATCAAATACATGCTACTGAACAAAGTATTTGAAATAGTTAATATTCTCCGCTGTTTTCTTGTTTCAAGTTATTAAAACAAGGAGTAAATAAATTATCCATCAAACTAATTCAAATCTTTATTTGATATCATTGTTTCCTTAGTTACTCTACGATTCCTGGATTTCGTTCAATATTATCAACAATTCATAACTTGTTAAATAATTTTGTGTGTATCATTTGCCAATGTCAACTTAATCGGTTTCGAAACCAATTAACTCATCATTTTAGATTTTGGAATTAATTTCGACAAATATTTTCGGTACTGTTTTGTTTTTCGCTAACAATATATGCTAAACTATACACCGAATGATTTTGTTCAATGAGCTTAGAAAAAATATCTGAATTTTTGGAAGAATAAAATCAACAAAATATGACAGACTGTGGAAGTTACTTCCCGGAAGATTAACTTTTATTTAAAAGCTTTTGTCTCACTTATAAACTAATGTTATATCACTGTCTGTTCTAAATTTCTTTCAAACTAAACAAGAGTCCTAGTATTTTACGAAAAATTTCTCAGTATTTCCCAGTAACTACAGGATCACTGTGCAGATAAAAAGTCGAATCGCTGAAACACATGATGCCTACCTTTGATTCGATAAAATTTATGCGTTGCAGTTGACAAAGTGTGTAATTTTGTCAATTAAAAAGACGTATAGATTGAAATAATTTACTTACAGTTGTTTTCATTTGCTCAAAAATCTTCTTGTGATGCTTTAGACGTTTTGTATTATTTTTCTTCATTGAGTGGAATAAAATTTTTGAATTATTTCTAAGTTGGCTGAACACACTGTACAGCTTTTTTATTCCAGAACACTGCGGTTGTAGCTTATGTAATAAGAAATAATGGGTTAATAAAAAAACCAGGATTAAAGTATTTTCACAGAGGATATTGAATAGTTTGTCACGTATTACATTATAGCCTTAAAAGCGTATGCTACAAGAATTTCTGTGATGAGTCCGCATGATTTTGATTATGTGATTTAATTTTCCGAAAATAGTTTTCGTCACAAAATTGACTGTATCTAGCAAGTGATTCATCAAATCTGGGGATCTTATGAAATATATATGAACCTGTTAAGAATCTGAAATCAGAAGTTTCAGGTCTTGCTGTCAACATGTCACTATCAGATCACTGAGAAAGACTATTTACAAATTCAGTCAGCTTGTGAAGCTAACGATTATCCCCTGTCATCAGTTATATCTCTCCTGGCTTATAGAGCCGCTCACTACTTCTCACTATAGGTCGTGGAATGCATTGTATTGAAACTCTTCGATGACTTACACTATTAGTTTAATTAAGTTCAGAATAAAGAACTAATGAATCGACCAGTATTAGACCACTATCCAACTCAACAATCTCCACATCCCTATAATGACAACTATAATTTGCTCATTGGTGACTAGCTTCAAGAGTAAATTCTTGGAGTTCTGGTAAGAAGCAGTGACCAGTGGAGTTCAGTCGTATAAAATGTGAGGCAGTTACCCACCGAAAACAATGGATGAAGTCACACAATATCATGAGTTGATTAAAGCTAGAAATTTATATCTTTGGATGGCTGCTCAGTAATCTGGGGGTTAGTCGTTAGGCGCGCAACACCGAAGGAGGGGTCGCGGATGTATACTGTTGATGAGTCTCATATTAGGATGAAAATGGTGTCCATTGCTTCCGTGTTCTTAATGGTGGTCTAATTCATGATTTCAATAAAGCTCGACAATATCTCCACAGCCTTACAATTACAACAACAAAATCGGATTAAATATGTAACCTTTTGTGAGTGTTGAAATCAAAAGTGACTAAGGTTAACAATTTGATTTCTAATATTAGGATTTGAAGCAATCATCGGGAAAATAAATGTGGTAACAATAACCATTATACGTATTTTCAAGAAAAGTTGACCTCAGAAAATGGTAAAATGTCAGTTTAGTGATTTATTAATCAAGCGTTGGAGAGTGTAACCTATGATCTGATCACCTTTAGTGCATTCAGTGGTGTCAACTACCAAAGGTCCTCGTGCTTGCATGAGACTGCTTTCCAAGACCTGGAGATTTTCAATAGTTGTGTAACTAACTGGGGTTCATTAAAGGAACTGTGAAAATAATGCGGATTGTGTGGATGAAAAGTCTGCTAGTTTTGAAAATTGCTTATTTCCACTGTTTGAATTTATTGTGAAGAATTTCTACATGTTTTTATGTCTGAAAAAAACTAAATGTTCTGTCTACAATCTGATTTTTATTTCATAGACGAAGATAAGTAATGATTTCATTTAAAACTAAAGAATCAGTATTAGTTTCTTTCTAGTTAGTGATGGTTTATCAATGGATGTAAGTCGACACTGAAAGCTGTCTTTAATTAAACCCAGTATAAAACAGAATCGCAGTTGAAGTAAAGTACAGTTCAACTCACATGTCATTTACTTGACATTTGTACTACAAGTATAAATCTCACTAAATTTTAGCGACGTTAAAATAAAATTTGATAGAATGCAAAACTTAAAGTCACTATATTTCTATTTGATGATATGAATGGTGAATAACTCATCATTACTATCCAAAACTCCCAAACTAGACTTATTCAGTCAAAGCCTGATACCAAATTTTTAGATTGTTAGTGTTGCCTCAAAGACAAAGTTTGGCTCACAGACGAGATCAAAACTAAATCATAGTCAGTAAATATTTATTTTATTTTGTGAACTAAATATACTCAATTTATAATATTACTATCAAAGTTGAAAATCTGGAATTGTTCCTAGCTATCTGATGTCACTGCGCTCCCAATACTCTTATAACTGGCAAGGAAACATCAGTGCTTATATTGTAACAGCTAGTAAAATTAAAAATATCATTTGAAGTATATCAGTCATTGAACTACAATCAATCAGGCGTTTTAATTAGGTGAATGTTTATTTTTTTCTCTGATTAATTGAATTAGCCATCTCTTACCCAATTATGATATGTATGCAATAATTGATAATAATAATTTACAAGATGTTCTGGAAAGTCATCCAGTTGACTTTCTAATCTTAAATGTGGTTTTTCCAAAAATATATCAGCAACACTTTTGATAGTTTCTACAATAAAAAAAGAAACAAATAATTATTGAAAACAAGTAAACAATTAAACAATTAAAATATTCTGTTCAGTAAGTGAAAATCTTAATATAACCTATAAAAATAATTGAAAAATGAAATCTCTCCATATATTGCTGGGAACCAGTGGAAACTATGAATCATTTGACTACTGAGTTGGCAATATTTAATCCTGTCTAGTCATAAAAACTCTATGATACTGGAACACTGAAGTAATGTTATTCTCATCTGTTCTACATATTTTTTTACGAAAAAATAATTGTTGTAACTGTACTAGAGTTAAACAACAATATATTGCCAATCTCAAATTTAATGATCGTTTGAAAGTTAACCTTCTTATTATAAAACCTGAGTTGTCTCGTTATTGCATATGATGAAAATATAAGTTTCGTTGGGCTAGTAGAAATATTTATTAACACTAAGTTTCATAACTCTAAGTATTTTGTGTAAAATAAGTTTGTCTACTGATAATTTGAAAGTAGATAAAAGTTTAAGCAAAAATATTTTGGATTTTAATTATTCATTTTATTTAATTTCGAAACCACATAATTGGTAACAAGGATGTAATAATCTTAGTTTGATTTTGTTATTTAACAAAAAGATTGACTCAAGATCTGAGCATATGAACACTGAAACTGCATTGTTTTGTTAAAGTAATATATCTAATAATGAACCGATAACAGTGAAATGATTGTTAAGCGCTTAAAAATATGCTGAAAGTAAATTGGAATTTGTTCATGATAATTTTTTTTGTAATAAAACTTTTGAGGTAGCATATAGATCACCGAAAATAAAATACTTGTCTTTGATCATCACATTAATTTACATGGAACACATCATTTAGTTTAATAGTGCTGGTGCATCTTAATGGAGCTTCAAAATCCGACTGAACTCCGTCATGTTCAACAAACTGGCTTTAATAACCATATTTCATCTTGATCGATGTAGTTTATTCGGAACTAATATCTCAACAGCAAGAAATTAGCTATTAACTGGTGATTCTTCACTGTTATTCACTGGAGACAAATGTTTTTGAATCTCCAAGTTTCTGGCTTCAAAAAACGATGCCTACTAAATAAAGTAATCCTTACGTTGTATTACCAGTTTATCGCTTAATAAACTTCATTTTGATTTTTTTTCTTCTAACGAGCTAATAAAAGTAACCATTAAAGCATGATACCTAATCATAATATTACAAAACATTTTGTTAAAAGGTTTTCAACATTGAATTCATTGAGAAAATTTCAATGAAATATAAAAATTGACAAGCGAACCAACAAAGCTCAACAAGAATTGGAAAGCAGATTTATTCTAATGATAGAATTCTCATAAAAATTAAACAATATTAAATTTGAACAGTTCACAAAATGTTTAAGTAACAAGAAGTGAATCATATATGAAACCGAAATTTTTTTTATCAAAACAACACCATTGAACTTTGAAACTACATAGGTTATTTTATTTACTAAACAAGTCGTTCTAACTGAATTATTTGTTAGGTGTAAAAAGTACGAAATTATTTCGTTGCTTTATTTTATATTTACAAGCATATATCTTCGCGAAAAAAAAACCATTTATCAGTTTTTGATTTGTTATGTATCTCGAGTAACCAACCTTTCTTATTTTGACTGATATAAACTTTAGCCCCATTGAAACATTGAACATTTATTTTTTTTTGTAATAAAATACAGTCGTAATCAAAATAAATTTTGATTAGTCACAAGTGAATATTTTGATTACTCATTATCTTAGCAATCAGTAACAAGGAAAGCTGCCAAATATAAAATGTTATTTTCAGGTCAAAAGCACTGCCAGAAATCTAACTTTGTTTCCAAGAATAGTAAATTCTAATTGCTAAATGAAAAAGTATTTTTTTATTTTTATTACATCAACCACAAGTTGCTTTCTGATTGGAGATTATGGTGTGGAATTCAATCAAATTCCGCTGAAACAGTTTGACGCTGCTAACCATCAGAAACGTTGATGCCACCTCTTAATCATAATCGAAGAGTAAATATTTATTAATGACTAGATTAGTAGTCAGTACATATGTGTGTGGAAGCCACTACTTGGCTAGAGAAACAGTAACATATTGATGATAACATTGACTTATAGGTTAGAAAATAATATCATATATGTAGTCGTACTGATGATGATTCTGAAATTTGGAAGAAGTTTCAGCCATGAAATCAGTGATATGCGGTAGTTCTTTAACAGGCATCAGTTTATGTACAACAAGTGATCTTTAACAAAACTATTTAATAAATGAAGATTCTGTGAATGAAAATGTCAGTTGGTATTATGCACTGAGAAAGAAACTAAGCATCTATGTGAAAGAATACTATGAACGCGTTGAAATCATTCAATAGTTTGTTGGCAGGATTTTATTATGAAGAATAGTATCAGTTTAAATGTGACTTCATGCATGCAAAATAAATCAATAAACGTATCAGCATCTAGACCAACATACATTGATGTCATGTTATTTATTTTGACGAACAAATGACCGAATAATTAAATACACAGTTATAACTAAACTATTCTGTCAAAATTAAGAAGGATTTGTGTTGATTCTTGTTGGCCTAAGTCCATCTTTTCAGAGTTGCCTCGATACAGACGTTGAATAGATGGATAGCGGTTAGCAGCAAATTCCAAGATTTGTTTTAAATGAGGCTGGTTAAAGTGTACAGGGTTCAAGTAGCCGAAACTGCGATATAGGTACGTCCAAATGAGACGCGATTCGCATCCTGGACTCAAGTATTAACCATAATCGGTCTATATATATATTTCACTACATTAGATGTTTATATTTAATAGTGACCCAAGAAGAAGTAGCCATTGAAACAATTGTTTTTATTAATCATTTTCATAATTTAGACAGATCTTCTATCCTCTGTATTGGCTGTGTGAATATTTACAAAGTCGTTCGGCACTGCAGTTTGTTCGTAATCTCATAGCGCATAATAATCCTGAATGGAATCATCACTGGGTCACAAGTGTTATTAAGCTGAGAGGCATATGGCTATCAGTGAAATCTAGGACACGCGTTCACAAGCAAGTGACTTATTAGGCAGAGCTGGAGAACAGGATTGGAGTTTAAAGAGAATAATATGGACATGAATAGTTTCAACGTTCTGACAGATCTATGAATGATACAGTCTAAAATTATTCATGAAGCTCAAATTCCTCCAAAATTTTAGTTACACTCTATTGGCACGTGTCAACCAAAATGAATCACTAAATCTACCGTTTTTCAAAATCAACAAACGCTTATTCTTACCTGTGAAACGATGCCAATGTGGATTAAGTTGACTAAGTGGTCCTAGACAATTCAATAAAATTTTTAAACACAACCCAGGACATGGTCTTGATAAAGTTTCACCAGCGCATAAAGCACAATGATGCATACGCATCAACTTTTGCATACATGACCCTTGTGCAATATTGAACTGAAATTATAAGGTAAAAAGAAAAGTAATCAATGCAGTAGAAATTGTATATATGGAATAAATGTTATTGCTCATAAATTGTATTTTATCAAGTGTAAAAAGGATGAAAACACAGATTGGACTCAGTTACTTATAGGCGTTAATGATGATAGGTGAAATTTAACCTATGCATATATATTTGAATAATGCGTATTTTATCGAACAGATAGAATTTTATCTCCATTTCATAATAGTGATTTATGCACAGACAAAACTTCACAGATTTAGTGACAGATATGCTTCTTTTAGCTATGACAACTATAACTTGTTGGTTTCGGTTGGCGGCTTTGCGTGTTGATCACTTCAAATTTGAAATTAATTAACCAGTAAAGCAGTAAAATCATGTAATTCAATACTTTATCATATGGAGTTTGCTTAATCTGCTCCTCCAGATGGAAACAGTGTTTCTTTTGTTAACCACTGATTGTATTCTCTTACTGGTTTAACGATATTTACAGATATCAGATTAGTATGATTCATCTTCTCATCTAAAGTGTTTATACCAAATTGAAACAATGAAGCAGGTTATAATTGTGTTGATCATTTTGTTTGTTTGTTGTTGTTGATAAAACACTATAAGTTCAACATTTTTATCACATTACAAATATACTATCCGAAAATATAAATATTCATGATTCTTTAGCTGTAATTAGATAATCTCATTTCAGTGCACAATGAATTCAGCTTTAATGTAAAATAATGTAGGCATGTAGAAATTGTATTTTCTTATGGGTTTTATACACGTTGTTTAGTTTAGAGACACGATACATTATATAATTTAATAAAATTTTAACAACATTGATTTGTATAAGAACAGATGGTAATCAGACAATTTAATTGTTATCTGTACTAATTAAAAAAAAGAACAGAAGAAGAAGAAGAAAAGAAGAGAAGAAAGAAGAAAGAAGAAAGGTAATTTTTTTTTTGGAATGAAAAATATTGTTCAACATTTTCTTAAAAATTAAAAATGATGTGATCTTTTATTGCACTCATAGAAAGACAAAAGCAGCTTACATGCATGAATAACATGCACAGATAACTGATTCAAACCAAGGGACAATATGAACTGGAGAAGAGATTTTGTTTTATGAATAACATCACTCATTGATGTTGATTAATTGGGGAATAGGAAGAAGCACTACACAGTTGCTTCATCCTAACAGGCGACTTCTTAGCAGTTCATACTCATGAACTGGTCGCATTCGGACTCAGGACTGACCGTATGGAATAGGAGTGTTTAGCATCCAGTCAATTGAATGGTTATTCAATAATACACATGGTTATTAATTTCAATTAAATTTTATTCGAATAGAGGATATAAAGTTGAAAAGCAGACGAAAAACTTTTAGGCAGAAGAGTGAAATATTTATTCTATTATATCAGTAATTATATTATTGAATACATGGTATGACGCTAAAAAGACTAACTTGTTTCCAACGTACACAAATACAAAACACCACGGTTTAGATTATAATAAAAGAAACGAAATGTATCACAAATGCTTTTTGCTAAATACTTCAAGAAAACATTTTATGTAACATGTAGCTGAAATTTTTCAGTAAACTGTTGAAAAGTCTTGGTTTTGATTTTTCTAGTTACTTCTTATCAAAAGAGCTGGTTACTTGAAAAAATTGACCTGTCAACCAGGACTCATCAGAAAATATCTCAGTCAGGTTATTCCTCTATCATAATTTGTGTGTCCTTTGAACATCGATTGCCATAGATGGCAAGATACTTGTTTCTACATTACGTCATTTTAAAGTTAGAATATAAGTTGCTCTAGATTTTTTCATTGAGTTTTATGAAATGAAAGTTATTTTCATAGTGTAGATTATATCTATAACGGAATATTCATTCGAAATGTTGACAGATTTAAAGGATTGCATTGCCATTACGGCTTATAATAATATTGATGTAGTCCTCTAGTTGTTAAAATTTTATTCACGTGAAAACATTATTGAGTCGCGAATCTTTACAGATATTTTCCAGTATAAAGCAACTGTACAGTTCTGACGATTGAACTAAGTCAAGTGAAACACCAGTCATTCAACTTGGATTCTTGTCAATCTAGATGTACCATGAATCATAACTTGAATTTCACTCAACAAATTTTGACTATCAATTGTAATTAAGCAAGCTGATTAAACTACATAAGAAGATATTGATGCTAGTTCAGTGGTTCACTAATATACATTAATTAATTCAGAAAAGAAGATTTTAGGATTATTTGCAGTTTTAGTTGCATACTGCTAAAATGTTTCAAACCGGAATACAACAGTGTTTCTTTTGCCGATGTAAGTTTATCACAAAAACGGTTTTCAGTTACTATCCATATGATAAGTTAACTGGAAGTTCTTCGAATAAAAATAAGAAGTAAATCTTTGCATTCATGACAATAACCCATAGTGGTCTGATCTTGTAAACTTGAAAATCAATACCTTCTTTCTAAATGTATTTCGCTGACTAATAATAAGATGATTAAATCAACCGGGTTAACTTTCATTTTTTCATAACTTAAATGAAATACAATTAATGTGGATTTAAATATGAAATAATTCATGTTTAAAAGGATTGATTGTAACACATACAAGTATGAATTCTCGTATCAAATAATTGATGCTATAAAATGTGAATAAGTCAGTCTATTCACTCTCTCTCTCTCTCTCTCTCTCTCTATTTCATTTTCCTGTCTTCTTTCCTTTACGGTTCTTCTATTATTCTGAATAGAAATTTAAAAAGAAACTTTCTATATGATAGAGATATTAAAGACTATCACCTTAAATGTCTACTTAAATATCGTTAAAAAGTAGTAAATTTTACAATTTTGTCAAATATTACTGATACTAAATTTTCATTCAAATGATCTAATGACGTTGAAATGATTTGTGAACTATTGTCAACTGGTGTGGAATTGAAATTAAGAGAGAAAAGAAGTTTCTGGTTTGTAATTAAATTATTATTCATTTACCAAAACTGTCGATTTGATCACATTCTAAAAGTGAGAATATGAGCAACAACAGAATTATTTAGATAAATCAGTGTCATTGGTAGCATATAGTTGAAAACCTTGGTAAATACAATCCGAAGTGTTTAACAAGGAAGTCCAACTACACTAGTCAAGTGATAACTTGTTGACTGAGTATGCTGAAGATGTAGTCAATTCGAAAAGTGATTGTATATATGCAGTGATGAATTTTAGAGATGAAAAATTAGGACGATAATGACAATCGGTGTCTAAAATCAGTATGATCAACACTGAATAAATAATAACTGAATAATTAAATCAGTTTAATTTTAGTCATAGATATCTAAAATCTAAGATCAAATATCTTCTAATATTGATAGTTTCATGAATTTAATAGGTAATGGCGTAGATTATTTAGTAGTTGTTATTTTTACTGACTTCTGGTCAGTCTTGGTTTACATATATGAGTCCTGTGCAGATTGCTTCAATATAGTCAATATGTCATACGTTTAAGTGGATGAGATATAAATGTGGCTGCGAGTGAGATCCAGCATACGCTATCAATCCAGTTCATAAACGATGAGCATATACAATAAATAAAACAGCTCAGATTTCAGTAAAATTGATGAAAACGGGATAAGCCCAACCATTAAATATAAACTAAAATTGATAGACGTTGAACTCAATAGTTAAGCAACGCTATGAACATTTGAAACGAAATTTACTTGGTACGAATCCTATGGTGAATAATACTCTTAGGATGCAGGTGTATCCAGCTGATAGCATGAAATGTGAAGCCTGGATTCTTCTATTATTATTCTATGATAGTTTTATCGCTCAATTATATTTTGTTACGTTTCATTTTTAACAAATTACTGATGATAATGTGAAAATTTTCTACATCAGAATTATTCACTTAAAAGAAATAACATAAATTTACCATATTTCACTTGACTTAATTTATTTCCACACTCTGGTTGTGTATTTAAACATCTGTCCAAGAAAAAAAAATTCACTTACATTCTACAAACTGATCGTTTCCAGTGTATTTTATCAAATAGAGAATAATATTTTGTTGTTGTAGAATTAAAAACGACATTTGTACAATAGATACATATATATATATATATATATATATATATATATATAGTGTTGTCTAGTTTATTTTGCTGATTTACGATTAACTTAATTCATTTCATTGGGTCTTTTATTTTAACAATCACTTCTGTAAAATTTTAACCAAAAATGAGGTCATTACACTGTTGAAATTACATATATAGATTCTTAAGACCGCTTCTTAGAAAAATATTATGAATTTTATCATATTTCTTCAATTTTGTAAATATACTTTAAATTTATGCAATTTTATGATTTTATGATTTCATGATGAAGATGATAGATTAATTCAGTTTTGATATGATGAATTGATTTTCATTGTTAGTTCAAAGAGAGGTTATTATGTCATAGATTGTGCAACACTGTACGTTATAGATGATCAGATAATAGTATTCTCAGGGTCTCTGAATTTCGCAATTATAATTCAAGGCATATGGAATTTTAATATATATATATATATATATATATATATATATATATATATATAATGGGATTAAGAGAGATTGTAGAATCTGTCACAGTTTGAATGAAGAACTAATCTTCGCTAAAATAACACCGAAAACGCAGAGGTACTAGACTCTTTCGTCCTGGTTTTATACTCATCAACAGCGAAAACACATGAACTCGATCTAGGACCTATGATATGCCTCTTAAAAGCCTAACCTCTGTAACCACCGAACCAGCATTCAATGGTGTACATGTCTAATTACAATCAACTCACAATATTATGACCTTCGCTGATAAAGCTCAACCTAGTTGGATATGAGACTGAACGGATGAGGACTGCATAATATTTTGGACTGACTGAAGTTAGGCAGTTTCGTACCGCCGGGTATTATTTATTGTCCGATCAACTGACTAAACGTTCTGGGCTCAATTTCCGAGTGTAGAAGCTTGGATATTCACTGTCTGAACAGCAATTTCTTCAAACCGAGTTCTTGTTTTCAAAGATAATCTAACTTAGGTCAGTTTATGATCCAAAGTAAAGAAGTAGCAGTTGATCTAACAAATGAATATATGGGTATTTCAGCACACCTTGATGTTTAGTTTTTAAAAAAATAAATGCTCTTCGTTAGAGACTTTATAATGCGTTTTCAAAGATGATTCGTGCCAATTAATTTTTTTATCTTAAAATAAGTGAATGATCGAAACTTGAATTTAAACTAACCAGTTTGACAGTCAATAAACATACCGATAATTGGCCTTTAATTGGTATAACTAATGTACATTATGTATGTGTATTATTTATTAGATATTTTAAGTGATACGCTTAATTGAATAAGTATCTTGACCTTTACTAATTCACAGTTACCATTTAATTAAATAATCATTACTGAATTGCAATGAGCAAATTATGTAAGTGTATATATGAATTGAATTTATTTAAAACTAATGTGAAACTCCAAAACCACTATAAAAATCAAAAACACTAAATAGCTATCACTTCTCATCAGGAATAACCAATAACATGCTTGTCTGGTTACGATTACGCTATTTTAGAACTATTCAGTTGGAATTAACTCACGCATATCTTCAACTTTGATCAGTTCATGATAATTATTTAATCCTAATAAGTTATAACAGCTTCATAATTTGAGTAATTGATTACTGAAAAAGCTGTCGAAAGTTCTTTGCAGAAGCTGGTGATTTTAGATGTGACTATTTCTATTATAGAACTATGAATCAGTTCATAGGATCTAAACATAGAACTTAAGGACTTTGGTTGCGAAAGTATTTTATTTTGAAATCCAGATGTTATCCGATCCTATCTCGTTATAGTTGAACACAATTCACATAAATAGTAATGTGTCGAAACTTTAGTAGAGTCCTGCCATTTGGATTTTATTGCAACCCGATCAATAATTCTTCATTCACACATATTTACATTTTATGTATAGTAAGCTGTAAATCGTTACTAATTGTTGTGCTAATTGACATTTGTCCGAAAGCTGAACATTGGATATTCTAGAAATTGATGATTAGCACTAAGTTATCTGGTCCTATGAGTGGGTATTATATTCAATATCATCGCAACTAAATCGATAGGATTTAATAGATTGAATGGACGAGACAAACACTATGCTGATTACTGCTTGGTAGTCAATCATCGCAACTGTAAAACTATGAATTTTCGATCTCCCCCCATTTAACATTAGTAAGAATTATTATTCACAGTATGAAATTGCGGATTTTGTTGAGATCACCAACGGTGCGAACCCTGACCAGTGGAGTCGAATCATGCTGAATGTGAAGAAATTACCCACTAAACTTTTACGCAGTTCAGTTGCTTAGGGGTTAGGAGTTAACGTGTGAGACTTACGTCTTTCGTTCTATCCCCTGTGAGGGTGTTGTGGATATTAGAACATCACATATAAGCGAACAATATTGTTTTCGATTAGATCGTTATCAGGCTTTACTCTAATGTAGACATATAGTTATATGAAAATGTTAAACCAATCAAGGCAATTTGAGTCAATAATCACAATGAAATGAAATAGATTACATCACTACACATAATAGGCACAAGTACAAGTTGATAGTAGGAAGACAGATGTACTGATAGTAGTAAGAAAAATAAAATACGATAACAAAATTTTTATCAATAGTAGGTCAAACGTGGATAAATTAACTTACAATAATCATTACAAAACATTAAAACCATTACGTAATAAGAGGTAAGTATGCTACCGCGAAGTCCGATTCCAAGATGGGACTGTAGTCCACTGCTTCCAGGATTTCAATAGTTGTCTTAGATAAGATTATAATCTTAATGAAAATCAATATCCTCTGATGACTATAATTTAAAAACTAAATATCGCTTTTAGTTTGTAATATTGAACATCCTGAGTTTTGTTTACTTTTTTAAAGAAGTTTTTAATTTTCAGATACTGTAGTGTAATAGTTTTTTTTCAAGTTTAATATTGTTATTTTCAAGTCATAATTCAATAAACTGCACATCAAACAAATTTTTCATTTACTTTTTCCTCGGTTTCAACATCCAATAATGAAAAAGCCTTCTGGATTTGTTTTTTATGATAATATGAAAAAAGGAACAGTAACTTCACATTGGATTACAACAATACATCAGTACTTAAGTGTAATCAGTTCTCTAGAGGGAATTCAGCATGATAAATTCAAAGTTCAATGGATTGTTTATCTATTTATCCACATAACTGACTGTCTGATTCACCTTACAGATTTTGATGTTTACGCTAAAATAGTAACCTATATACCTGTCGAAATGATTTTGCTTACATACAAAGAGTAAATTAACAAAACAAATATTTTCCAACAGATATTCACAATAATCTAAATAAAAAAATAACCGGTTAACTAGTAAAATTAAAACAAAATCAGACGAAATCATTCAAGCACATACATTGTTTGTTTTAACTAGACAACTGGTTGTAAACGAGGAAAATTTTAAAATACAAAAATTACTAATTATAATCTAAGTAGTAACAAATACACGTCTTGATAAATATTCCCAATTGAAAATAAATTTCGAAAGTAAACATTTAACAAAGAAAAGAAGAAAGAAAACAATAAATAATAACAGGAATCAAACAAGAAATAAATGAATCCAAACAAAACACATCACTAAAAGGCTAAGTAGATTGCAATAATTCTCATAGAAAAATATTCAATACAGACAGTAATGCAAAGGGTTTCATCTTTACACTTGACCTCGATCCTAATGATAATGAATAGATGATTGTGGAATTCTTGAATAAATTCAACAACTAATGAACCTGTACGGATGGGATTCACTCAAAGCATTCACTTTACTAATATCATTCAACTGATTAATTTGAATAGAAACATTATTCACTACTGAATTTATTTTAAAAAACAGGGAGAATTGTGATTTGTAGAAGCGGATAGTTGATTTTATCAATATCAGATATTAAAAAAGTGTAGATTTATGAAATAAGCATATCTGGTTGTTGAACGTTTTGCAATAGTCATTACAGAAATCTCAGAGTGAAATGTATATTTGGTAGATTGCTAGACATTGATACTGTATCGATCGTCAACTGAGAAACTGTTTGACCAACCGTAACACTTAGCCTTCAAACTGTAATTTCATGATCAACAAGGCTTAGTATTGTTTTTTTCTGTGACATTCTTTAAAATTCAAACATAATAAACTAAAATCATTCTTAGTATGGATTAAGATGTTGAATCTACTTTGTATCCTGATGAATAGAGAAAACTCTCAGAACTAGGTCATCTATTCAACTTCATGTTACATCTGACCATCCATATTCAACATTTTATGTTTTGGAGTAAAATAAAACCATGACATATTTATTCGTTATGTATTTTATCAGCATTCTAAAAAAGTTGTTGGTTATCATGGCAGAGAAATTCACTTCTCAATGATCTAACAGGGCAGTGTTCGATATAATGATTTCATTGACTCACTAGATAATTTAAAAACTAATTAAGTAACAATTCAGTATAAAATGAATTATCACAGCATGTGAAAGGAAACAATACACTTGTTTCACCGAATGCAAAATAATTCTACTGAGCATAGTTGACGTACGTTTTCTATGTGGAATTATTAAGCTAAACAATTGATAACGAACAAATTATTACTTTGAACAACAATATGGATCACAAATAAGAGAATTCAAAAACACTTTGGAAAAAAATATCATTAGTCTGTGATAATCTATATCAGATACGTTGATTGTAAAAGGAAACTATTGTCATAGATTTCAAACGAATTAAAACACTTTTGCTAAACTATTTCAACTTACATTTTTCAATCCATCAATTAATGATTCACCGAGTTCCAATGATTGAATTAGTTTACGATTTAATCTGAATGTGAACACTAATTCTGGTTTATACAGTATACGGTACTGTTCAGCTTCAATGAGAAAATTATTGATTTGACTGACATGATCATTGTGCTGCTGCTGCTGATGATGATGAATGTTGTTGTGATTTTTATTTGAAGATTTTACATTCTTACTTTTTAGTAATCGTCTTTCACCATCTGCTTTATTGGATAATGATGATGATGATGATGAATGACGATTTGCTTTATTCACAAATAAATTTCTTGATTTTCTAGTTAAAGATGGTAAATCTGAATGACCAGTGAGAGAATCGAAAATTAAATTTACCCGTGCTTGACAATATTCATGACATCTAAATAAAATTAAACGAATTGAATATACGAATTAAAAGTGATAATGAACATAATACTTTGGAAATGAAACTTTGAAATAATTGAGAATAATTTTGATGTTTCTGTGAGCTAGATGGTTCAACTAGAGAGCTTTCATTGCCATGCTGGATAAGATCTATACAGGCAGAAAAATACATATCAGTAAAAGTAAACAAGTCTAACATTACATAGAGAACAAATTGCACCGATTGTGAGCAATTTTAGAGTGAAAAAAGTGGGAACCCAATTTACTTGCGCATAATATGTCATTACTGATTCCGATATACATATTGAACCATGGAGTTGAGTTACAATTGAGAAACATCGAAATTCCGAATCTCGTAAAGTCCAAGAATGTTTGATAGTGTCTCGAAGCATAGCAGTCGGATTAGTTAACTCTCAATCAGTATGCTTTTACGAAAGAGAGAAATCATCTACAAGCTCAAACGTCACCTAATGAATGAAGTTAACATTCTTAATGGAATTTACAAATGGGGACAATTCCAAACTCATCTTATGCTTGTGGTGTTACCGGAAAGCTCTCTTCTACATCAGACATAAACTGAATATTCACAGTGGCAATGAAAGCTTCGAAATTAAACCATACACTTCAGATATAGATATCCAACTCTATGATGATGTCATTACTTTTAGAAATTTTACTTCTAAAAGCAGATGGATCGTTATTGTTTGAAAGGAATCAATCACCTGATAACTTCATCGAATACCGATTGTTTAAGATTTCATATGATAATACTTTTGATCGCAGTATATCTCAATTAAAAAATTGATTTCCTGAAAAATATAATATGGTTTCTATGGAGCGGATCTGTAACACATAAACTTGACAATTAAGATTTAACTTTACTTAATAATTAGTTCCTTGTAAATCGCTTTTTTCTCAAATTCACAACACATGAAGGAAGTCTGAAGTTCATATTTAGATCATGAATTCCAAATAAGTTTTCACAAAACATCTGTCCTTTGGTAGTTCAGTTAGTATACGGTAGTTAAAACTGAAAATGTATTCAGATTAAAACTTTAAAAACACTTTATTAGTAGAATGGAATACAATTGAAGCTATTGAGTGTGAGACATGTTTTCTAGCTGATCTATTAATCTGTATATTTATCATGCATATGAAAGAATCGTGTGTTCAAAGGGTGAATGAATGATCACTATTTATCCATGTACCAAAAGACAATCTACAAATGACTTGATATATAGTTACGATTATCATTTACATTATTTTAAACATGAAGGCTAATGTTATTCTATAAAAAATGGGATGAAGCCGATAAAATTATCATAGAATGAAGAACTGGCATCTAACGAATGAATGTGAAAAGTGTTTCGAATTGTATTACTGTGCGGTATGGTTGTGTTACTGAACAATTTCAATTTTTCTTCAGTAGAAAATTGCATTGAAGTTGAACAAAAAGGTTAATAAAAATCAGTACACTGTTTTTTTGTTTAAAAAAGAAACTGAAATTCATAGGAATTCCAATAGAAATATTATTACCAAGCGTTTGACTTTTGACAATGATAATATTTTTCAAATAGTGTTTTGTATGATTATGATGGAATTTTGTAGAAGAAGGTTTTATTCAGTCACTAGAATGCTTTCATTCTCCGATTTTTAGAAATAAACAATGCTATTAAGGTTATTACACAATATGTTCATAACTTGATAACAACAAACAATGCAAGACAACGTATTTTACTTGTTCGCTTTGAAATCGCAGTGTAGATTTAAGAAATGTTGCCTCGTAATGGGAAAATTATTGAAGATGGTAATTGTACTACATTAATTTTTGGACAGTGCAGTGCCATATTCCTCTGATCACTTCCATGAATTAACACAAAAGTACAAAACAATTATCAGATCATGTAACACAATTTTTGCATGTATATAATTCATCGTTATTTCCTTACATTCCAGACATTCGCAATTTATCTAATAATCTATCAAAATATTTAACATTATATACTTAAAAAAAATAATAATTAGTGAGTCATTGGATTATTGTTTGAAATTTATCACCCGTCTATCTGCCGCTAAATTATAGTTAATTTGACTTTAAAGTTTAAATATGTATACTAAGTAGATCTCTCAACTGTCCATTAGGTATCAGATCGCTTTATTCAATAGTAGCATAAATAGTTAAATTATGGAATACAGAACAACAGCTTATGTATTTCTATGATTAAAATGTAATTATTTTATCGATACTACACAAAGATTAATACAAGTCATTTGTGAAGATTTGTATTTTCGCGTTGTTGAGATTAAGGACTGGCGGTGACTTATGAGTTCTTAAATGCTTCTATTCAAAGCGGATTCCCTTCACATCATCGTTTCGTCAAAAGACTTACAAAATTGGCCACTAGATGAAAGTGCCTTCATGATTGAGCGTCTCATCCCTTATTTCGACTAGTAAATCGAATGCGTCTATACCGCAGTCTCGATACTTATAATGAGATTCAAACCTTGTGCCAATTACTCCAGACACCACTAAGCTACTAACTGCCAGAATCAGTGGTTAACAAATTATGATGAATCTGAATTGATTCAAACGAAATCATTTAGATCGATATTGTTGCAATCATAACTGTAATAAAGACTGAATTATTAAAACATCTCATCAGATGACTTTATATTTTCAAAATTTAACATTTCAGATAGTCATTATGAGACGATCACTGGTTAGGATTACTTTTTTTTAACAAAAAGTCTTGTTTATTAGAATTTATGTGAAACACTCTCAAAAGTCAGTCGGTTGAAGGATTCACACACTATAAAGTTGGAGGCTTAAGTAGTCTTCCACCAAGTTTCACTTTGTACAACTTTACGTATCACGTTTGAAGTTCTACAACAGTAATGCGGAAAGCTCCGATTATGATAAATTATATCAAACGATAAAATACAGACTTTTTGACGCGGTAGGTATAATCAATATAATGATTTTGTTACCTTTGCTAGGATGAATCTACACTGTTTTGTACTATGTAGTTGAATATTTTCCATTCCTTATTTGTTTAAGAATAAATTGATAAATTACAGCCTACATTTAGTGGTTGTACATTATCATGAATTGGATGAAGATGTCGACTGTAAGATTTTCTCTCAGTGATCAAGTACCTGCTGTTAGACGATAAGGTTATGGATTCTATCCTCGATACGGTTGGGGTTTCACTTTATTGAGCGACTCCATCTGAAGATGAAATGTTTCTCCAATGATAATTGTTTTTCAGTACTTGTTTAACTAAGATCACCTAGTTTTGTAAGCTGTTAATTTACACAGTCTACACAAACTCCTCATATATTAAATATTAACTAACATTATACGGTCTGATGTCGACAAACGCTTTCGTTATTTTTCTGATTACTATAGTTGTAATAAGGTAACTAGCATATGAATATTGACATAAATTTATTCTCTTTACAAGTATTGTTTTACTTAATAAAAACAATTCCTTTATTATGTCGTTCTTGATGTGTTTTTTTTTCAGAATTCCTACGGTCAACTAAAACAGAACACCATATTGAAGTTACAACAAATTCAAAGAAAATTTAACAAATTAAAATTATAAAACAGAAATCTTATAAACCGACTTTGAGCTAATTGGAAAGCTAAGCTCATTCATGGAACAAATATAAAGTATAATCTAATTTTAGCCATAGTTCTAAATGATGCATTGATTATCTTTAACACACAGCACTGGAATAAAAATTTGAAATAAACAAAACATTTGAGACGCAGTATCACATCCACCTGATAAGTCTCAAATGGGGCAAGTTGTGCATACTGTTGGCCATAATTATTTTATTCTATAAAGACACATGTAATTCTAACTGCTATGTTGGTACAATCTTCTCAGAATTTATATTTGCCGACAGGACTAATCAAATTCCAGTTGAAATATCAATAATGAAATAATCCAAATTATTACAAATGTCTGGTGCTTTATTATTATTATTATTAATATTATTATTCAGTTGTCGAACAAAGAGAAACGTCATCAGTGTTGCGTCTTTAAACGTTAGATTTAGTTTTTAAAGGCTTTCGGAAAAACATTTTTCACATTAGTTTGGTTAGTGGAAAACGTGCATTTGGATACCATATTTATACAATTTGTGAATATCTTATCTAATGATCATCTAAGGTTACAAGTAATTTATAAGTTACAAGTAAAATGATGATTAGACTAAAATTACTATTTCAATTCATAATCTCAATTCACTGAAGATACATTGTATATCACCTAAGCAGATGTTCACATCAAAGTTATTTCCTTGTCAAAATGGTTATTTTCGTTAGTTTCTAAAAAACCGTTTTTTTAAATTGTTAGATGCGGACATCTTGTCAAATGAAAGTAAACTAATAACTTACATAAAAATTTTTAAAAAATTATTAAATAACTAAAGCACAGTGTTAAAGAGTGTAAGTATCATCAGTACGACATTCAAGATCTAGTACTTAATGATAAAACTTGGAGTTTAACAACAGTCACCAGATTAATTCATATTTACATAAACATTAGAAAAATAGAAAAAAATTAATCTTGAATTTATTGCCCATTTTAGATACCTAATTTGAACTATATCATCAGACGAGCTTACACGATATTCCGGATTAAAACGTTGTTAATCAAAGTGTGATTAGTTAAGTATTAGCTGACTAGACCGAATGTCCTGGTTTCTCTGTCGTCTTTTGGTGAGGTAGTGGATGAGCATTATTGAGTAGTCACATACACTAGGATGAAATAGGGATTCATGAATTTCAAGGTTTTCAACGGTAGTCTAGACTACGAATGAAAAGTGTTCATCGATATTAACAAAAAAGTATATTGAAATTGCTAAAATGAAAATGTAGAATCACTTCTGTAGACAAAGTTTATAATACGCAAAAATCCAAAAACATCCATAACACTATCATTTTATTCATTCGAAAAAGAGCCATTTTCAATCAAACAAAGT